CCTTCTCGAGGGCCACCCCTGTGTAACAGATTGAGATGTCCTGAAGACTCTAGCAATTCAGACATATTTTTGCTTCATTCGGATGCGCTATTCTTGTATCGATCGCTTGACTCGCACTTCACCGGGAGCTGCTAAGGATAACCCGAGAGCAAATCGAACCAAAGTCGGCATTTGATGATGGGAGAGATGGCACCACAGGGGCGGTGGCCAGTGAAGGACGTAAGTTATTTTTGGTATCCGAACCCTACCCTTATCTCCCTGTGCGCTCTTCTATTATTTTATGCCTTTGCCCAGTCGCAAGTAGGGACTGACCCAGTCTCTCAACAGGCAATTTTCACATCAATTATTGGAGTCGTCATGGTGATGGCCTGCCTAGAGTGGTTTTTATGGTTGGCGGCATTTCTATATTGTCTGATCAAAGTGTTTCAGAAATCAGAACACTGGTCCATCAATGTCCTCTGTATAATCCTGGGTACACTATTTACTCTCCTTCGGTTAGTGAATGCTTATATCTCCTATCTGATATCAACATTCAGATCCCTAAGCCTAGTTCATGCTGAGACTAATGGGTAACTTCTTTAGAATCGTTTTCCTACCTATTATGGTGGTCACACTGCCGCTCCCCAACCAGGTTTCACAATTCTGGCCTAAAGAGATGGTCGAGTTTCTCCAGTGGTTTGCCTTTTGGAGTTTCGCCATTCTTCTTACGGTCCCTTGGCTGTTTTGCGTTTACCAGTTAGTCACAAACCAATTAGGGCGGACAAAGCGTATTAAACAGGTCCTGGATGATGTGACAGCCCCCAAGGTTGTTATTGTTATGCCCTGCTATCGGGAGGAGCCTGAGATTCTTATTAAAGCTGTCAACTCTGTTGTGGACTGTGACTATCCTGCTGCCTGTATTCATGTCTTTCTGTCATTCGATGGGGAACAAGAGGACGAGCTGTATCTCAATACCATCGAAAAGCTCGGCATTCCTTTAACAATGGAGGCCTACCCCAGAAGCATCGATGTTACATACAAGGAAGCTCGTGTCACCGTCTCCAGATTTCAACATGGAGGAAAGCGCCATTGCCAAAAGTCTACTTTTCGGCTCATCGACAAAGTATACGAAGAATACCTCCGACGGAACGACAATTTATTTATTCTATTCATCGACTCGGATTGCATTCTGGACAAAGTCTGCCTGCAGAATTTTGTATATGACATGGAGCTCAGTCCCGGCAATACTAGAGACATGCTGGCCATGACTGGCGTCATTACATCAACGACAAGAAAGCATAGTGTAATCACACTACTTCAAGATATGGAATATATTCATGGCCAGCTTTTCGAGCGAACTGTCGAGTCCGGCTGTGGTGCTGTGACTTGTCTGCCAGGTGCGTTGACAATGCTCCGATTTTCTGCCTTCCGCAGGATGGCAAAATACTACTTCGCAGACAAATCTGAAGCATGCGAAGATCTATTTGATTTTGCCAAATGTCACCTTGGAGAGGACCGCTGGCTCACGCACCTCTTCATGATCGGTGCCAAGAAACGTTATCAAATCCAGATGTGCACTTCAGCATTCTGCAAAACTGAAGCTGTCCAGACGTGTCGATCCCTGATTAAGCAGCGGCGTCGATGGTTCCTGGGGTTCATCACCAACGAGGTTTGCATGCTTACTGACTGGAGACTATGGAAACGGTATCCTATCCTAATCGCCGTTCGCCTCATGCAGAATACGATCCGTACTACGGCTCTCCTGTTCTTTATCATGGTGGTTGCCCTGATGACAACAACGAAGAAGATTGATGACTTACCAGTCGGGTTCATCGCTATTTCGCTCGGGCTAAATTGGCTTCTTATGATATACTTTGGGGCCAAACTGAGAAGGTTTAAAATATTTTTATACCCCCTCATGTTCATCCTGAACCCTTTCTTCAGTTGGTACTACATAGTGTACGGGATTTTCACAGCCGGGCGAAGAACCTGGGGCGGCCCACGAGCTGATGCAGCCGCTGCCAATTCAAACACCACCGCTAGAGAGGCAATTGAGCAAGCGGAACAGCAAGGAGACGACTTGAATATAGTTCCGGAGACCTTCAAGAATGCTCGTATTACGAAGTCGGACGGCGAGAAGACTAAGCATCTTGTCCGAAAAGGGAGCGTGGTAAGACCACCAAAGGACGTGGAAGGAAAGTTCGTCGCTCGGAGAAGGACACCAGCAGGTTTGTACACGGATATAGACCTAGATGAGGAAGAGGCGCTCGAAACTGTTGCGACCTTTGCAGAGGCGACAGTCGATGATGCAAGCCCACGTTTTCAAAGAGAAGATCACCTTGTATACATGCCAAGAGGGATAGAAGCTTTGATGAGAGACGAAGACCGTCGGAAGTATCTGATTGCTCAGAAGGCGAGACAGGCGAGACAGGAACAGGAAGAACTGAGGAACCGTCATCCTGACATGTGGGGTTCAAGGCTTGAGATGGCCCAATTCAACACTCGCCCGCATCCATCGGAATCTTCCTCCAACAGCAGAAACCACCGATATGCAAGAATAATAGGTGGGAATAGTACTGATGCATCATCCCCGGCAACTTCAGGAGGGGAAGAAACCTAGGAGTTGATGGAACGAGGCTAATCTCATGAATTGTTCTCGAATGGGGAGAGGCGGCCAGGAGGATCATAGATTTTTAGAGCCATCATGGCATGTTATATATCTTTCAGACAAAGCCATATCGATAGACAATTTTTAAGCGAGGAAGACCTCGTATATGCGAATTCTATGTGCTTGCGCAGGCGTATGTTAGAACCAACTCTGAAGCTGATTTGCTGGGCTATTAGTGTTGCCTAGTGTTTCGATGTCACGTGCTTTCGTGAGTATCTCCCGCCTATTATTAGTGGAATGGAAGCAAACGCGCGATCGCGCACTGACAGTATTCCACATTTGCTTCATCTGAAATGCCTTTGCTCAGAAGCCGATATTGAGAAGAGCGCGTATCTAGCTCGGCCTCTAATCATTTTTTTAGTAGTTGTTTCTCTTCTTCTTGGAATCTTTTGTTTTTGACTCGAACGCCTACCGAACCGTTTGCTGTCGCCTTGCCCCTCTAACACACGACTCTGGTACACACCTGCGGGCAGGGTTGATGCTACCTAATGGACGGTGATGAGTGTGCAAATCCCCAGCTTTTGGCCTGGGTCAAAGAATGGCTCGATGTAGCCCGAGAACGCAACTCGAAGGGTTTTACAACATATAAACACGCCTATGATTCTCTTAAGGCTTGTCCGATCACCTTCCAGCATCCTGCTGAACTACAGCAGCTCAAAGGATTCGGCCCAAAACTTTGTGAGAGGCTGACAGACCTCCTGAAGAAGCATTGTCAGGAAACTGGCGTGCCTATGCCTGAGCATCCACAAGCCAGAAAAGCGGCTCAAAACAGGGCCAGGAGCACGTCTGATGCAGCAGGTCAAGAGGCCTCGAAGCAAGCCAAGACTCGTAAAAAGAAGTCATATGTTCCTACATTCAGATCGGGGGCGTATGCAATTGTAGTCGGCCTTTCAAGCCAATCGGCCGATGCGTCACTTGGGCTCACAAAGGCTGAACTCATTGAACTCGCACAACCTCATTGCGACGCCTCGTTCACGGCACCCTCCGACCCCACAAAGTTCTACACTGCCTGGAACTCGGTCAAAACATTACTTCAGAAAGAACTCGTTTACGAAAGAGGCAGGCCTCTGCGAAGATATGCACTAACCGACGAGGGCTGGGAGGTTGCCCAGCGCATCAAGGAGACACCCCACTGGCAAGCGGAGAATCCGCAGCAGCCTCCCCTTGCTGAGCTTGGGGCTGGGCCTGTAGACGCTCTAGCTGCTGAACATGACCAAGCGACGACTTCAGAGTACCAGAACGTTATCGCAGATGGCCCGGCTTTTATGGAGAATGGTGTATTTCCTTCTTTTACACCCATCACGCTTGAGCCAGGAACCTTTACTGTGCAGTTATTGCTCGATGTTCGTGAGGTTAGGGCCAAGACTGATCGCGATTATATGAAAGAGGAGCTCGCCAAACAGGATGTTACACCCATTATGAGGAGTCTGGAACTTGGTGACGCACAATGGATAGCGAAATGCAACGATCCTTCGATGCTGGCACGTCATGGCGCAGAAGGGGACGAGATCGTGCTTGATTGGATCGTGGAGAGAAAGAGACTGGACGACTTGATTGGCAGTATCAAGGATGGCCGATTTCACGAACAGAAGTTCCGCCTTAAGCGCTCAGGAGTCAAAAAAGTCATATACATCATTGAAGATATATCGATGGACTCGGGAACGTTAACGAAGTACGAAGAGGCGGTCCAGTCTGCGATAGCATCAACACAGGTCGTCAATGAGTATTTCGTGAAAAGGACTACTAAAATGGACGAAACGATCCGGTACCTGGCGCGGATGACGGCGATGCTAAAACGAACATATGAGCGAAGGCCTCTAAGGGTGATTCCCACTAGAGCGCTAACTGCCAACAACTATATGCCTTTGATGGAACATTTACGGGAAAAGGAGCCATCGCAAGGCCACTATGTCACATATCCGGCGTTTGCTTCAATGGCTTCCAAGTCTGAAATGTTGACTTTGCGAGACATATTTCTCAAAATGTTAATGACGACCAAAGGCGTGACGGGGGAGCGAGCCTTGGAGATTCAAAAGAGATGGAAGACGCCTTATAATTTCGTCAAGGCCTTTGAGGCATGTGGCCCCGGGGAGCAAGGCAAGAAGCGGAAACGAGAGCTCGTGTCGAATGAGATGAGCAATCTAATTGGCAGAAAGAAAATTACCAAGCCGTTAAGCCTGCGGATTGCTGAAGTGTGGGGAGATATCTAACATGAAGAGGCAATCCCCGATGATAAATGATAATATTAGCTAACCATCAAACTCTTTGTTTGATTATAGTTTCATATCATGACATGGAACTATGGCCCCAGAGCGTACTTTTGATATCTATCTGTATGATAGCTTGCATGACACTAGGACTTGGCCCCAAACCCCTGTGCAACGATGCGCTCGACCATTTTCTCGAGCAGGGGGATGGAAGCGGTGCCGTTGTCGGCCCCCAGCAACCCAGCGAGCGATTTCTCTGCGTACTTGGCCATCATATCAACCTCAATGTTGACAGTCTCGCCGGCCTTCTTTTGTGCAATGATGACTCTCTCCTGGGTGTAAGAAATGAGCATCACCTCCCACCACCCCTCGACATCGTTGACTTGGGTCACGGTCAAGCTGGTTCCATCAATGGCGATGAATCCCTTGTAGATGATGTAGCGGAGGAGGCTCCTCTCCTTGGGCTGGAACCTGACCGTCAATGCGTTGCCGTCTGGGGTCAGGGACAGGATCTCAGCAGTGGTGTCAACGTGGCCCTGGACAAAGTGGCCGCCCATGCGGGTGTCAGCGCGAACCGCCCTCTCGAGGTTGACGCGGCTGGACTCGGCCAAGGTTCCTAGATTGGTGATGCGCAAAGTCTCTGGGGCGACGCCAATGGTGAACTGGGTATCTGTGAAGTTTGTGACGGTGAGGCAGACTCCGTTGACGGCGATTGAGTCACCGTCATGGCAGTCGGTAAGGAGCTGTGAGTTCTGGGGGAGGGTGATTGTCAGGGAGGTTCCGCCAGTGTGGTCATTGTTGTTGACCTGGGAAATGGCTGGGGAGCTGGTCAGCATAGAACGTGAAGGAGACCAGGCGTTGGCTGGACCTACTCCCGATTTCCTCAACGATGCCAGTGAACATGGTGGAGGTTTGGCTGACGCTGAAAATTAGTATTTAATGGCCAGGGCCCAAATGGTCAGTTATCTCAAGCAGTTGAGGTAACAATAGTAGCTGGCCCAGGGCGATTGATTTGCGACCAGAGAGAGGTTAGCTTAAATACTTTGACTCTGGTTCGGAAGTAGAAGCTTCGAAGTGCTGCTTTGTAAGTGATTCCGAGGTGGGTTGCACAATGAGACCAATCAGCCCCGCACTGACGATAACGATAACCTCCTGCATGTTCCGAAAGGGGCATTTAAGAGCCTGCTTCTTAGTGCTCGCATTAGTAGTAAGGTAGGTAGGAAGTAACTTGCAGCAATAAGAACTACAATCTAGAGCACATCTATCACGAGGGAACCAAGCTCCATGTAAAAGACCCCAGGTTTAACGCACAACTGTACAAGCCGAGCGGCTCATCACCCTAGCGGCAGCCGTGCATGAGTATTAAATTTCACACACTCATAATCGACCAATTTTTACTAAAAGACAAATTCTTCTTCTATGAATATTAGACTAAATTTAATCTAGACAGAAAACAGACAAAGCAGTTATTAGAAAATAGAGAAGTGTATATTGGGCCTCTACACCTTTGGTGACGTCTGAAGCACCTCCGATTCCATCACGACCCCGCCAAAAAAGAAACGCTTATCGATAAGAGATAGCCTAATTTTTTTCAATCATGTCGCTGGACCTGCGTAAGAAGGCGTCTCTTTGAGATCAGCAAACACAATTGTACATTTCTGTCTTCTTGGGGGATCTGTTGAGCCAGCCTCAGAAGTGCTATCCCATACACATAAGCCCACACCGAGGAGACAACGGCCATCGAATCTCAACAGCAACAACACCCCTCCCCCTCACCCCTCCTCAGCCAATCTCACAATGGCGCCCAGCCGTCCAACCGGCAAGGACAAAACTAAGAGCCCGGCTACCTTGCTAGCCGACTCCGAGACTCAGTACGAGGTTGGGAACCTTGATGAGGCAATTATCCTCGCTTCTCAGGCCCTGGAGGCCACTGGCGAAGGAGGGGACTTTGAGCTGAGGACGCTCAATCTTCTCGGTGTGCTGCACATCGAAACCGGCGATACTGATGAGGCTCGCGCTTTCTTTGAAAAGGCCGTACGGTTGGATGAGGACGGCACACTTGAGGAGAAGATTGGTGGGGGTCCCGAGAAGTTCATGTTTCTGGCTCAGCTCAGCGAGGAAGGTGGTCAGGACAGCGTCAAGTGGTTCGAGCGCGGTGCGTCTGCGCTGCGCCAGCAAATCCAGAACCTGACGACCATCACCAACAAATCACCGGAGCAGCAGGCGGCACTGGATGAGAAGCAGGAAAAGCTAGGTGGCGTCCTATGCGCCGTAGCAGAGGTCTACATGACCGACCTGTCATGGGAGGAGGATGCTGAGCAGAGATGCGAGTCTCTTATCACCGAGGCCATGCTGATTGCACCCACATCGCCAGAGACGTGGCAGACCGTCGCCAATGTTCGCATATCACAGGAGCGTGTGGATGAGGCAAAGGAGGCTTTGAGAAGGAGTCTGGAGTTGTGGCAGGATCTACCCCCAGAGCACCCTGCTGTTCCTGAGTTTCCCACCCGGATCAGTCTATCCCGACTACTTCTTGAGGTCGGAATGGAGGATGAAGCTTTGAGTGTGCTGCAACGTCTGACGACTGACGATGATCAGAGCGTCGAGGCATGGTATCTTGGAGGCTGGTGCCTCTTCATCATGGGAGAAAAGGCACGAGACGGCCAGGGTCAGTCCAATGGCGACACTGATGGATGGAAAGATGTTTGGATTCTGTCTCGCAAATGGCTTGCTCGGTGCCTCAAGTTATATGAGGTCCTTGAATACGAGGACGAGAGATTGGGCCAGCATGCAGTGGAGCTCCGCCAAAAGATCAATGATGTGCTTGGCGAGCCAGCCGAGGGTGAAGAGGATGATTGGGATGATGGTGATGACGACGACGAAGATGATGAAGATGCGGAGATGGTGGGTTAAGACGGGTGTGATGAAGGCCACCCAGCATTAGATGGCGTTTAGGCGGTACATAAAACGTTGGAGGTTATCTCAGACATATTTGGATTTTCTGTTTTCTTTTCTTTCTCTTTAAGATGTCGTTTATAACGTGGCATGCTAATCAGAACGTCCGTTTTTGCCTCTCCCCCTCCGACCTGAAAGTACACATAAAATGTGGTTCCTATGATATTCTCCATGCCTCATCGTGAAGGATATTTTTATATTCGTAAGATTTTATCCAACCCAACTCCAAACAATGCAGCACCTTCCATATAGCAGCCACTATGCCTCAACCTTAAGCCTCTCCACCTTTTCCGGTAGTTCGCCGTCTTCCTCCTCTTCCTCCTCCTCATCGCCCTTGCCGGCGAGGCCTCGCTCCCACAATTGTTTCCCAGTTAATTTGACAGGCTCCTTGACTTTGGCCTTCTTCAGCTCGGCCAGTCGCTCCTCCTCCTCCTTGAGCCTGACCTCTTCCATTTCTTTCAAAAAGTCTGCTCTCCACTTCATAAAGGTTTCGGGTGTCACAGGGGTACCCTGGAATTTCTTATTCTCTTCTCTCTCTGCAGCGCGAAGTACCTCCTCGTGCGCCTTTGTGACCTCATCCTTCCTGTCCTGGATGAGCTGCTCAGCAGCCTCCTTCAGTGTAGTAACGAGCGTGAAAACCATGGCCATCCCGAGGTTCTCCTGGATTGTCTCGTCCAAGCCAGCGAGGAGCTTCTCTCTGTCCTCGGAAATATTGAGGTGGGGGTGGGAAGCAGCGTTAGGGGCAGCCTGGATCTCCAGATGAGGCGGCACATCGGGATATTCTTCAGGATATTTAACAAGGAGATAGAAAGCCGGCGACTCGCCCTCCTCCGGCTCCTCGCCTAAGACATCCAAGGTGATAATCACCTGGAACTCAGTCTCAGATATATCTAGTTGGAGTGAAAACTTTTTAGTATCGTATCCCCCAGATCGATTATTCAGATGAGGCCAAGCAGCAAAATCATTAATCTTGGTTGATTAAGTGTCTCGACCCATGCTATACGTACCATTGATTTCTTCAGGGAAAATAGACTCGAGCACCTCGCGCTCTTCAGTCTGCTCTTCGCGACCCATTTTTGAAGACTGTATATATAAACAGGACTTTTCTTTTTGACAAGCAAGGTTGAGAAGAGCCTTGAGAATGAATGAATGCCTCGCTCCAAAAGGTGGGATAGGCCCCTCGCCAAGTGGTACCTTGGTACAACCAGTCTTGTTGCCTGCGGGGCAGTCCGACTACATTAGGCTTAGCCAGATATTCACCGCCCGGCATTTTGATCAAGAAAAATGGGTTGCTAATTATTTTTTTTTCCCTTATCGGGGTCTTGGTCCATCCGTCCTCCCCAATATCTCGACAACATCTGCTGTTCAATTAGCAATGGCAACCAAGACTATGGGAAGCGACAAGAAGCGGAAGGCCTCTTCCTCCAAAGGGAAGCCCGAAAAGGCCACCAAGAAACCTCGAGTCGAAGAGGCCGACGTCTCAATGGATGCTGAGGATGGCCACGAGGACAGCTTCGAGGAATTCTCAGACGAGGAGGAGGGTGGCGTCGCAATTGATTCCAAGGATGGAAAGAAGGGACCCAAGGGCGCATCCAATGGCAAGAACTTCGAACGAGGTTTGTTCCCACCGGATCGGATGTACCACCCCTCGCAGTTCGCTAACATATATACAGAGGCAGGTCAAACTTCTCGCGAGTCGCATGCTAAGCAAAAGCAATTGGCACTAGAGCGCAAGGCCGCCAAGCCGCTTGCTGATGAAGTCCACCGAACCAAGAAGATCTGGGAGAAGTTGCGGATCAAGTCGAGTGTTCCCAAGGATGAGCGCCAGAAGCTAGTTGAGGAACTGTTCAGCATCATTACCGGCCGAATGCGAGACTTTGTCCTGAAGCATGATGCTGTCAGAGCTGTTCAAACCGCAATTAAATATTCGAATGTCGCGCAAAAGAAGCTTATCGCCAAGGAGCTTCAAGGTGCCTATGCCCAGTTAGCCGAGAGCCGATACGCGAAGTTCTTGATCGGCAAACTGCTCGTGCAGAATGATGAGGAGATTCGAGATATGATCATCCCTGAGTTTTACGGCAAAGTCAGGAAACTCATCAATCACCCGGAGGCATCTTGGATCCTCGACGACATATACAGAACTGTTGCCACCAAGCAGCACAAGGCCATCCTCCTCCGGGAGTGGTATGGACCTGAATTCGCACTGCGAGAACTGACTCAGGGGAAGGATGAGGATGCTACAGCTGATCTGAAATCGATCCTGAGCAAGGAGCCAAGCAAACGAGGCCCAATCATGAAGGGTCTGTTTGATATGATCAACTCCTTGGTACAAAAGAAGATGACGGGTTTCACAATGCTTCATGATGCCATGTTGCAGTACTTCCTCAACACGGAACCAGGTACTACAGAGTTCACAGAGTTGGCCGAGCTTGTCAAGGGTGATGAAACGGGAGATTTGCTAAAGAACCTTGCCTTCACTCGGTCTGGCGCCAGACTTGTATGTCTACTACTGGCACACGGTACCGCCAAAGACCGCAAGCAGCTTCTGAAGGCTTACAAAGACACCTTCCTGATGATGTCTGGTGACTTGTTCGCACACGTTGTGATCCTCACTGCTTACGATGTTATCGACGATACGAAATTGACGTCCAAGTCCATCTTCCCAGAAATCCTCGGCGAGGGCGAGGAGGTTGCTCAAAATATAATCGCGGCGGCCAACAACCCCTATGGCAGAACAACGATTTTATATCTGTTGGAAGGTCTCTCCAAGTCACTGTTTCCTTCTGGCCATTCCTTTGACCTAGACGTTCTCAAGGAAGTGCATGAGATTCGCAAGACGACGAGTAAAAAGGATGAGGACGTTCGCCGCAAAGAGCTTGTGGCGTCTATCTCCCCCCATCTAATCAGTGTGGTTGAGGCGGCCCCTGCCGACCTCGTCGCTACCAGCTTCGGCTGCCAGCTCATTGCAGACGTGCTGCTCAACTGCACAGGTGACAAGCAGCAGGCGCTTGAGGCACTTGCCCAGTGTGCTGGTGGCGACCCCAGCAAAGCACCAGAGGAGGTTGAGGACGTTGCATCATCGACAGTTCATGTTTCTCAGAGCGCTTTTGGCGCCCGCATGCTCAAGTCGTTGATCCAAGGCGGACGGTACGACAAGGCGGCAGGAAAAGTCATCCCTGTAGACCCTCCCCTAGAGTTCTCGAACGTCTTATATCCTGTTATTAAGGACCACATTGTCGATTGGGCGACGGGCTCTGGATCGTTTGTTGTCGTTGGTCTCATCGAGTCGAACGATTTCAAAGACAAGGATGCCTTGAAGAAGGTGCTCAAGAAGAACAAGAAGCTATTAGAAAAGGCATCCACCGAGGCGACCGCGGAGCAAAAGGCGTCAAAGGAAGCCGATGAAAAGGAGCAGAAGGGAAACAAGAAGGGAAAGAAGAGGACAGAAAAGCCGGTTGGCAATATGGGTAGCAAAATTCTCCTGGAGGCGTTATAGATAGGATAGGTCTCGTTGTAGCTGGTGGCATGGCGAAATTCGTACATTAGGCGTTCTCATGGGGACGGAAATCTACATTCTCACTCACCCCTATTTTTGGCTCGTGATATTGTCGCAAATAGGTCTCCCAAGTTGAGGCGGGTGCTTGAGAGACAAACGTCCCGAGTGTTGTTGCACTTGTGTTGCTGTCCGTGTTTGGCGTTGTTACACTGGCGCATGGCCGCGCAAATGGTCCGTCATGTGTACATATTCCTTCCGCTGCAACATCTCGTCGAGAGAGATGAACATGATAACATCGAACATGGTCCAGAATGAGCCGAGTACCACGAACTCTTTGACATCGTTAAAAAGCGAGGAAGTGTCTGGCACTTGCGAGTTTTACTACTCTAGTCGCATGTGCGCAATACAGACAAACTGGAGGCTCTGCTGCCGAATACGTACCTCAGCAGGTAATGAGATCACTGATACCTGCCCCGAGCTGCGCATATCTCAAGTACTGAGGTAGGTCCCTTGGTACCTTTGTACGGGAGTTTCCGATACCCAGCATCAACCGTTGTCCTAGGCAAATGGGTGGTTTGCGCTATACACAGGAGCTCTGTCCTAGACGCTGACCCGGAACTGGCGGCATGTTGTCGAGCCGTAGGAGCAAAGTTCCAATTCTCGAGTCTCTAGGTCTTTTATAAGGGTCACTTGGCGCCGGGAAGCAGCGAGTGAGGTCACTGGTCTGATTTATCAGGGAACTCATAGAGCCTGCGTCCAGGCAATGGGCAGCGAAGGAAGGACCCACGAAGGTTCACACAGCTGTTGCCGTTTGCCAACTCAGCCAAGCCTAAATTCACCTCGCACTTCTCAGAACTGTCTCACCGTCTCTGGCGGCCAGCCTGCTCTACTTACCTTCGCCACTCCCACAAAACCGGTCAGCCAGAGCGAGCACCTTGACCGGACCAACTACGCTTGGCCTCGTACTACCTCTCACTCTACAATTCAAGAGCCTTCTCTCCTACCTAAAGCTTCATCTTCCTTCTCTTATCCCTCTCTTTCCCCTTCCACTTCTCCTCCCTTCCCCTCAACGGATTCCATCTGCGCTGCAATTGTCTACCTGGGGCAGGCAAAAAGAAGCATATGCCCTATCTATACTCCTTTCCACCTAAACACGCGTCCAACTCCCACCACAGCCAGTCCATCTTTTATCGGCCAGGTTTCCATCAGCGCCTGCTATCTATAGATGGTAACTCTCTCGGTACAGATCACCCGATCGACCTTGAGCGGCTTGTTCTAGGTCAGCATTGATGTGTCTCCGCGTCATACCACCCGCAGCTTCTTGCCATTTTTTCTGAACCATCTACTGTTCGTGTTTACCATCTCCTGTTTCCTGGGCAGCATACGGAACATCTTTGCTCTCGCGGCACCTATCGTTTCGGTTATCAAATACCAATCTCGAGATGGGTGCCCAGGCATTTGCTATTCACCCACGCGTGGCCGATGACAAAGGTGCCGACAACACGGCCTCGGAAGAAACACTCTGGCCACCCCCAAAAGCCACTCGGACAACCTCCAGACCCAGTGATGAGATCCAGCCAAGTGGTGGTGTATCGTCTGACCCTGCCATCGAGACTGAGAAGTCTGGCACTCGATTGCCAATGACCATCAAAACAGATTCAGGCAAAACAATCACTATTCCCAACAATGAGGTTGTCACGATCACGAAACATACCCTCATCATCACCGACAAGCCTCCGCCATTGAGCACCGAGACAAGTTCAACCAGCTTCATATCTCCAGACTCGAGTAGCGAAAGCTTTGCCCTTACGCCCTCACCTACACAGAGCAATGCAACGGATAGCTCTTTAGGAAACAATGATGGGCCGCCGCTTTCAACTGGGGGACTCGTTGGCATCGGTGTCGCAGGCGCTGCCTTCATAGCCGTGGTTATTGCATTAACCTTCATGCTAAAGCGCCGTCACAAGAAAGCTGTTGAGAATAACGACAAGGTCGATTACAATGCAGAGTATGGCAGAGACGACCTCCTTGCGGAAAAGTACCTGCCCCAGCGTGGGTCGCTACAAACAACCGGAACACCAGGCAATGAGGATCCGTTCGCGCCATTTGGAGGTGAGAAATACAATTGCTTTTAAAAGGCTACCATTGTCTCCGTTATGCTGACAGTCTCAAACCTTAGGCCGTGTTGACAGGCCCGAGTCTGATTATCCAATTGCACCGAACAGCAACACCTTCGAGATGGACGGAACCAGCATCGCCCCATGCGAGCTTCCGGATACAAGCCCATCAGCTTGCAAGCGGGACCGCCCAGGTGACAGGCTTCCAATAGACATTGAAAGAGCAAATGCCCCTGCAAGGGCGATTGACCCATCCGCGAACTTGAACCAGCTTGGACAAGAAGGGGGTAAACCAAGATACATCAACCACTGGAATCAGTACAAAGCAATGAGCGCAGAGTGAAAATGGACGGCCAAATATAGGGTGCGAGGTTTGCCTCCGATTTATGGGGATGTGGCGGCGGTGGTATTATCCCATTTGGCCAGGTTTGATGTAATTCGGGTGGAATTTGATGTATTGACGACGTGCGGAGCTGAATAGCGGGAAATTACCAGATTCACATAAGTATCCAGAGACAAAGCCCTCCAAGGGATTGAATTAAAGCTATTTTCTGGAGATCGGTCGTCGAAAGAGGTCTATAAAGACAGAGACAGTAGTAGAACACAGCAGTACTCCTTTCTTTTCCAAATAACGGGGTATGGTCTCTTTCATTTGTCACATACTAGTTTACCACCTGCCTTAATAAGTGGCCAGGTCCGTCTCAATTTTGCCCATACGCCTAAAATGCACGGTTGAAATCTACCCATAGCAGACGCTCGTCGGTTTTCACGAATGATGCTCAGCCTGGGACTTGTTGCTTGGAACAAAGGGAAGGAAAAAAGGAACCAAACAAAGGGCAACGCGGGAATCTCTCTTTCCGCTTCAAGGTGTTGGATTTGACTTCCTCAAATCTCCAATCACCAAACACCCAAGAGCATACGACGTCTCATCGGTTTTGCAACTTGGAGATCTCGTCAAGAAGGTCCTGTAAATCCTCGTCCTTGATCTTATCAGTGAGAGATGGGATCAACGTCTTGGCTTCGTCTGCATTCTCGCAGCACAGTGACCCTATGATCGGGCGTCAGCGAACAAAGAACAGGTCACACAAGCACAATGTATCTTGCGCGGCTCACGTACCAAGCTGCGCTCGTTCGAACTTCTCCAGGTTCTTGTGCGCGCTCAGAAGGCGCTCTACAGCCTCGACATTCTCCTTCTGCGTGAATCGCGCGAAATGGTCCAGGTAATTTAGGGTTTGGTTCAGCATTCTATTTCGAAGCACAAAAAGATACCAATTGCGTCAGCACATCACATGTTCACTCTTCCCTTCTACGAGATTTTCCTTTCCCCCCTGGCGGCAGATAGAGACGGGTGGATTGTAATATGCGGCTTTGGCTTACTCGGTCTCGTTCACGTTCTTCCGGTCGTTGCGACGCTTCGCGACCAGCGCATTCAGGACAAGCGCGGCTTCTGATAGGGTGAGGGTGTCGACATTCTGGAACTCTCCGAGGTTCAGAGTCGCGGATGCTTCTTCGTTGCCGGGGGGAGGAGGCTTGGGGCGAGATGTGCGGGGATGGTTGGACATTGTTCCTTCGACGGAACTGCTGGAATTCGAGAGGGAACTCGGCGGAAGGAAGCGTGAAGTCGGAGGTGAGCTTGCAAGGCGGGGAGAAGAGTTTAATGAAGCGAGAAGCAAGCTCTACCCTGAGCGACACAGTTTGGCGGTATCTGGAGAGAGTCCTGTGTGCCACGGCCGTGCAGAATGCGTCGCGTTGTAATCAAAATTCGAACCGTGGGGAGGAAAAAGATATAGATGAAAAGCAGCGGCCAAGGCAAAAAGTAAGGCTGTCTCGATCGGATTGGCGCCTTCCCCCACGCGACAACAATGGTAGTTGATAATTAGAGCGTAAATGGCTAATGCTATCTGCCGCTTTGTTTGATTTTAAGTATTTTTATGTATGAGGCTAAGCCGGGAGAAGTAGTTTTCTGGAGCCCTGAGCTTTTTTGAGGGTCTATCTTACTAAATTAGGCTTAATGCATAGTTACAGACTTTCTGTCAACGATACGTTTTTCTAGCCGAATAGGTGCTGATTACATGTGATGAAAAAGTACTTGTACTTTGATTGAGGTACCTATCAACCTACAAGGGGCATCTGTTTGAAATTGGACAGCAGTTCCCGTAGCCTCACACATAATTACCCCAATCCAGGGACGACATTAATGAAATAAACGCGGCTAGCATTAAGTTGCATGGCTCTGAGCAAGCAAGTGCTGGTAAAGATTATAGGATATCACCAACCCAGTACATTGCAGGGTTAGTCCTTTTGACTGAATGACAATGTGCATCCACTGACGTCCCTCTCTCAGGTTCATTCATGGTGGCCCATCAACCAGCTGGCAAGGAACAAGGTGGGCGTTCCAGCGCATCCTGATAAAAATCTAGGAGTGAATGGCGTATATCTCCTTACATACTGTCCATCATGTAGGTTGAAAACCGGCAGTTTATCCATTCAAATCACAAGGCTCATTGGCTCACGCACCTCGTCAACACAGGACTATCTTCGCCCTCATCATCATCAATAAGGCGGGTGGCTTAGTTTACAACAAAAACTTCCACGACGGCCTGAACCAGATCAGCACAAATGACTATCTCGTCCTGGCCGGAACCTTTCACGGGTAAGTGATCTTTGAGCTTCACCTTCATTTCCACACATGCACACAACTGACCGCTTGTCTCTCCTTCGTTTCGGGTTCAGTGTCCACGCTATTACTGCTCGTTTGAACCCGCTTAAGGGGCTTCCACAGGCTACCAAGGACGCATCAGCTGCAAATTCAAGACCGGACCCTCCGTCCGGACTAGAAAGTCTTGAGTCAGAGAACTTTCGCATGCAGTGCTTCAACACCCTCACGGGCACCAAATTCCTACTCTTCACAGATACAACTCAAACAAATGGGGATATCACGATGAAGAAGATATATGACCTCTACGCCGATTACGTCATGAAGAACCCCTTCTATTCTTTAGAAATGCCCATTAGATGCGAGATCTTCGATCGCAAGCTCTTGTCGTACATTAGGGAGATTAATAATCGGTAGTGGAAGTACGGATTTCGATTCACAGATTCGTCTTCTCATCATCGGGACCAAGGCTCGGTGTTCACGGTGTCAATAGTGCTGTTTGTAATTACATTTGGTGGTGGGACTGGTGTCAGAAGTGTATAAATGCAATCGATCCAGACAGAAGTGGCAGTTCCTCTACTATTGTCCCTGCCTTCTGTTCGTCGTGCAAGTAAATCTATAGCAGCCGATTAGGATGTGTCCATTTTATCCCCGCCATCTTTCTTTGCGCCAGCATCTCCGCTACCGCCAGCCTCATCCTCCTCCTTCACTCCCTCCAGGGAAGCCTTCTTAGCAGCCTCTTCTTCCTCCTTTGCCTTTTTCTCCTGTCTGGCCTTCTCCTCTTCCATACTCATGCGCAGAGCCAGAGCAAGCTCGGGCTCCAGAGCTGGGTCAAATCCAAACTCAAACTCTTCATTGCCAGATTGCCCTGCGTCTCCAGACCCACCGGCGCTGTCTCCGAGCAGAATGGGGCTTGAGACGAGCTGGTCGCCTAGGAGCTTGCTGCTCGGTGGGAAAACCACCAAGTGGGAGCCTTCGCTACCCTTGACAGCGTCGTTGAAGGCCTCGAGCTTCTGGTGAGTGCCGTCATCCTCAAGGTCGCCAAAGAGCACAAAGTCAACCGTGATATTTTCCTTCTTCATCTTCTTTGCAAGCTGTACGAGTTCCTTTTGCTCCTCTGCAATCGGCGAGCAGATGAACACGATTATCCGTTGACGTTGAGATCGGTTCTGTCGGTGCTTGAGGGCAAGCTATCATTATGTTAATTCACCGATCCTGACGCCGTGCTCGGGTTGCCTAGAACTTACCTGTGCCACTTTGATGCTGGTCTTGAGATGGGCAGTTCCACTCAGCTTCTTCCTCGTTCGGTGCAGCCCATCCAGGATCTTGCCCTGCTCTGTGGTCAAGGTGACGAGGACCTCGGGACCTTTTCCGCCCATGTTCATCAGGCCAACTGATGACTCGGGGTTTCCTTGCGTAATGGTCTGGAAGAGAGTGTTTACGGCATCGACTTGGGCATCGAATCTCGTGGGTTGATAGTCGCCATTCCTACTGCTCTCGCTGTTGTCAACGACAACCATAACCGCCTCGAGAACCATGATGGCGGATAGAAGCGGTCAATAGCTATGGTCTAATGCTCTAGATCCAAAGTATGCAGAAGGAAAGTCGCGAGAAGGGATCGCTTGTGGATTTGCCGGGGTGGAGATCAAGGGTGGTGATTATGCTTTTGTTGCACAGAGAAGCAGACAGAGGCAGCTGGCCGATGTCGTAAGGTGGTTCAGCCTGCTGGGCAAGCAGCTCCAGCGATATGGAGAACTGTACTCGCTGATTGGCCTAAACTGCACCAAGCTCGAGGTACCTCTCAGGCAGCCCCAGCAGCCCCAGTTTTCCTCGCCCAAGAATGATTATGTAATATTCAATCCTGCGGTTGAGACGCTCAGAGCTCTTGGTTTGTTTACTTCCCAAGCGCTCGATCCATTCAACCCATCACGGTTCACAACAACTTGAATTCTCCAAAAGTACACGTCAAATCGACAACACTTTGGCACAACATAGAAGCATCAGCACTCACCAGAATTCAACAAACACCGGAAAATAAACCACAACACACTCCACAAGATGGCGCCCGTACGACCAAAGAAACGCGATTCGAACTCAGCAGCCATGAAGGCCGTCGCAACACCTAGACACCAGAGTCCAATCAAGCAGAGAAAAGGCATCATAAGCGCACAACAGAAACAAGCTCTAATCGACAACTTACAACTCGAAAGTACGCGACTATGGTCCAATGATCTCTTGTGGTGTATTTACTAACACGATATAAATCAGTCACCGAACGCGCTCGAAGAATGCGGGCCCAGTATAATCTGCAAGCTCAAGGCTTGCGCTCTCGTATTGAGATCAGAATAAATCGCATTCCTATGCCATTGCGAAAGCTGAAAATGGAAGATCTACTTCTCAAGTATGCCGAAAAGGAACAACGAACCGCTGCCGCCAGCAGACACCCACCACCAGTCCCATTCAAAGACATCACGTCCTTGCGCAGTCCTCAAAAGCCTGCCCAACAACCAAGCAGGCCTCAGCGGGCTGGACGCGTAGCAAAGCGACAGAGGTACGTGGCGATATGTCTCTCTTCAACATGTTAATTGTTTCTAACGCCATATAAAGCAATGAGATCTCTGGAGATAAGGAGAATGAGATCGAAGACATGGCAAACCCCAAGAAGAGGCGCGTAATTCATCACAATGATGGTCCACCTATTCGGCCAGCACAGATTCTGTCCCCTACGTCCTCCAATTCTCGTCTCAACGCCAACCGAGAAAGACCTGCATCTCCCGCCAAGTCGCAAATTGCCAGGCCTGCTTCCCCTCTCAAGAGTGCCGCCCCTACACGCACTGCAACAGCTACAAAAATGCTTTCCAACTTTGTGGAGAAAGCAAAGTCGGCACGGGCAACAGGAACGAGAAAAGTGACGACCACATCAACCACCAGCTCGACCACGACTGGGACTACTGCCGCGAGCAAGACACGCCGTGCACCAGCCTCAGCTGCCTCCAGAGCGCCCACCTCCAGGCCGGCGACCCGCATGGGTCGTCGGCTGAGCGTAACAAGCGAAATGAGTGAGGCCAGCACAACTACCGTGATTAGAAGAAACGCTGCTCCCAAGTCGACAAATCCTGCTCCGCGAAGAAAACCAGTCACGGCAGCGACCAATAAAGGCACAGCAAGTTCTGATGCGAAGAAAGCAGCCCCCAAGACTGCCGCAGCCTCAACAACCCGGACAGGAAGGGTGCTTCGAAGCCGAGCATAAGCAATGGAATTATGAGATCATTTTGGAATTTGTTTCTTTTCCCAGGTCGGGCGTCTAGGTATTAATCATGAGGGAACGGATTTGGCATGGATGGATCAATATCACGGATTAGAAAATGGAGTTTTTGACACAATCAATTGACATATGCGGCTTCAAATTGCTGCTACGCTCTATGCACCCCACCCAACCAACCCTTATCCTGAGGTGGCCTTCTTCTTCTTTTTGTCGTCGACCAATTCGATGTTGTCTTCGGGGATATCTTTGTATTTCTCCAGAAGGAAATCCTGAAGTTCGTCGCTGACATCACCCTGTACAACAATTTCTTCACCTCCACTAGGAACCTTTGTTACCGAGGATCCTGTGGCAAACTTCTTTCCCAGGTCTTTTGCTACCTACACAAATGATGAGCATTCTCGGCGGCACAAATACAAAGCAACGTCACCTACCTTCTTGAGCTCCAGACCAAATGCCTCCAAGCCGATGACCGCGGTGACGAATTTCTTCTTGTTTCGCTCGATCCGCTTGATAGTCACGACGCTCTTAGCGAGCTTGTCGGCTTGCTTGGCCTCGGCTGCCTCGGCCTTTGCGGTCTTCTTCTGGGCGTCGCGTGCGGCTCTCTTTTGGGCATCAACAGACAGGGCTGCGGTCGCTGCTTCCAGTGCCTCTACATGACGCAAGGTATTAGAACATGGTGATAAAACAGACTGGATTCTCCAGGAAGAAGTGGACATTCGGGCAAAGCGAACCTGGTGACCATATCCTCTCGTACAACGTCGGGTGATTCTCTTGGAGCCACTCCTGGCACTTCTTTACGGTACCACCATATTCGCAGTACTATTCGGTAAACATTCAGTAAGAATTCCTAAGAACACAGCGGACGGTGCGGAGCTCGGGCGAGAGTCGGACGGGGAAGAGTCTACCTCGGGTGGCAGAGTGCAAACTAGAAAAATTAACAATTAGATGATGCCAGAAGACACATTATCGAGTGTGCATTGTTCAGACTTTACCTCCGCAGTATGTCACATGCCTACTCTGAGGTTCGGAAGAGATTTCTGGCTGTTCTGAGTCTGCCATATCTACAGACTATGAAATGGTTGCGTGGAATAATTGAGAGCCAACGTGACGGAGACGCGTAGGTGGTGCTCTCAGCAGCAAATTCATGGCGGGGTAGAGCTGTGTAGCCCGCTGTGGGCTCACAATGGAGGGGTAATTAATTACCAGCAACGTCAACAGACGCCGCGGGGACGAGGAGCTTCAGCCACCCGATTGGGTGACAAAATAAACGAGACAACTAGATGAATGGTGGTTAGGTATGATTTGATCATTCTATGAGTCAACTCGACGTTTTTCCACATATACAATTTAAATGTCTTGTATCTTAGATGTTTCTATTAGCTTAAGATAATATCGATCACAGACTTGAGAAAAACGCAGGATAATGTTTGGCTGTATCAATTTAAATGTCACCTACTTAATGTGCCACCCAAAGCACTGGCGCCGACCTGCTTTTCTTCGCCGCGTTCTTCTTCCGATCCGGGAACGGAGGTGGGGCTCAGCTTTCCCAAGCACAACAAATCCGCCGACTACGATTGTCGCCTTATGATGGTTTTCCTCGGCACATTGTAATATAGGATCTCGATTAGAAAGCTACGATGGTGGTAAGGCAATTTACCAATGCAAGTCAGATTGTTTCCATGGTTCTCCTATTACGTGCAGTTTGTTATCCTACGAGCAGGCTAACTATCTTCCTACCTGCGCAAGGTGCAAGGTAAGGGTCAACGTAAGGGATGCATAATTCCTTCACCTAGGTATGTATCCAGAGGAGGAACATTGGCTGAAGGATGGTAGCAGTTTATGTAAGCTCTTAAACCTTGCCGCAGGGACCTACCGGTATGCAGGACGACAGACCTGATCGTGGCCTCAGGCACCAGGGAATCGTGATGTTGCATTGAGCGGGTGGATGCTGGCAGCCGAAGCGCCGACCGAAAATTATCAACCACACCTAGAGGCATCCACCGCAGCGGCAATCCATCACAGATTTCCAATATCCAGGTTGCTCTAGAACAAGTTTATGCTGACTATTGCACAGCCATCTTCTTGGCGACGTCACCTACCAATCCCCCCTATTGTGAATGGATCTAGGTACAGACCAGCAGCCAGGCGCTGCGTAATAATCCCTTACCGCCCTACCACCCCTACTACCACGGCGTGTCAGTCAAGTCACCGCAACGTGCTTCAGCCCACCTGGTTTGCATCAGACCACTCACTCATCGCGGTATCTGCAAGAAACTCGGGCGCCTTGCTGTCCTGGGCTGAAAAGCACTACCGACAGCCATGCGGGCAGAGTGGGAGAAATAGGAAAGTTGGAAGCTGGCACCGCCAATATTGGATCCCGGTGGCACGTAGGCGCCCATCCCCCAAGCCAGAGGCAAACCATTGGCTCATGTCCTGCATCTCTGCATCTCTGCAGCCGCCCACCCCAGCTAGAACGACACCATGAACCAAGCTTCCCCGCGACGGGCCAGTCAGCTCTCAGCGGGTCCCACCCCCAGCGTCGTTTTCCCTCGTCGCCCATATTTAGAAGTCGGTTGTATGTAACGTGATTGGCCGAGCGTTACATGCTGGCCGCCAGTATTGACGTCGAACCTGCTCACAAGGCCGCTGTCACCACCACCTTCATGCGAGTTGCCCGCATCTGGCACCTATCCGTTTGCGCCAAGCAGGTCGAGGTGGCCCTGGACTACGACCGAAAAAATGCCACCGTCTACCCACATTGGGCCAGATGCGCTGCTTTCCAGCCACTCATCTGGCTGGCGCTCTCCTCCACCACGCGATTTTGGCGCCGTAGATGTCGAATAAGACCATCTACTATCCTCGACCCGCCAGTCGTTCACCTCCCCTCTTCTTGCTCTTTTCTTCCTATTCCATTCTGTTGTTTTCCGTTTTGTCCTGTACATTCCTCACTAATAGATGCTTCGTTGATCGAAGCCATCCGACCTCCTCTTCCTTCAATCCTTCGTCGCTGGCCGTCGATCCCACGTTATCTGATTGTCTGACCAACCTTTTTTCTTCTTTTTTTAACTGCGTTACATTCACGGGTATATTCGAGTGCTATCAGGAATAGCACACCCACACCACAAGGTAACATGGCTACCACCCAGCGATTACCCTCCCAATCCTCGCAGGCTCGAGGCCACAAACTTAATCCCATAATTGAGGAAGACAGCGATGATGGTCTTCATCAATTCGCAAAAGTCAGCCACCAAGCGAGGCGTCAGGATACGTCGCATCTGAAAATCCAGGCCTGGTTGTCGCCCATGAGCGACCACTTCCCGACGCCCCGTGGTGTACATTATCTTGCTGCTCCCATTCTGCCGTCTGACACTGAGTCCTCAGCCGGCGACACCTCCCCAACCACGTCATCCAACGCCTGGAACAGAATGAGTGTGGGTACCCAAAACACCGAATTTGAGGACTTGTATGATGTGTCCGACGACGAGAAGAGAACTCCTCCCAAGGTCTCTGCCCAGCGCTCGGACAGTACTTCATCCAACAAGTCCCAATACATTCAAATCCTCCTTCCGGTCCCCGAGGTTGAGCTCAAGAAATCCGACGAGGCACCTCCTCCCACCCCTGGAGCCCAGCTTTCCATGTCACCAGCACAACTGAACTTTATGGACAAGCAACAAGCCTTGGAGATCCCAACTATCTCAGCCCCTCCATCTCTAGATGGCAGTCTGAGCTCCGAGCAGCTCGCCACAATGAGCGCCCCCGCAACCCCAGTCGAAGACGACGCCGAGGACCCAGGAAAGGCTGCATGGGAGGGTGTCCAGCTTCAGCCTGACGCTCTGCGAACTCTTCAAGCCCTCTCTGGTGACAGTGAAAGTATCCAGGAGGCCAGTTATGAAGCTATCCCAATCCAACATGTTTCTCCAGAACCCGTTGTTGAGATGCAGCATTACCCGCCACCACGCCTGGTAACCCGTCTTCTTACTCCAGTGCTTTCGACCAGCACCCGCTCACGAACATCTCTATCGGAACTGTCAAAGCTCGAGATCCCATCCCCGGAAAACTTCTTTGGTTCGCTATCTCCCCGCTCGAGAAACACATGGCAGACATCCACTGTCGCGACTTCAGAGATGCCTTCTGAGGAGATGGTACCGCCCACGTCCACAACTGCTGAACAATTCTACCGCGCCCCTTGGAACGCACACAATTCCGCGCCGCCCGTGCCCAAGCTGTCAGAGTTTGCCGAAGACTTCTATAGAAGCAGTGGGCTCTCTTCCTCCCCAGTTGAGCAGGTAGTGGAGCTCCCCGATGATTTGGTTGATGACATGCCCACTGCCCGCCCCATTGTCGTCAGTCTACCATCCGAAGATGTTATCAAATCACCCTCTTCTCCTGGCGCTGCAGATATTCCCACCGAGATTGTCGTTGATTTTGATCCCGAGTATGCTCGGAAGCAACAAGAAGAAGCTCTCTCCAACCTCGACCGCACTGAGCTTTGGCTCTTGGCGCAGCATTCATATCTGAAGGTCATTGGAGATAGAGACGAAGATGATAAGACCCTCGAGACTATCCGCGAGGGTGGTGAGACGGAAGATGAGGAAGAGGAGAAGCCCAGCAAGGCTACCCCTCCAGCGGTAATGGAAACTACTCTGGAGAAGTTTCCATCACCACCCAGAAAGACGGTTCGGTTCTCAGATCTGAATTCAACAACAGCTCAACCAAAGCGCCTACCCTCCAAACTAGTGCGCCAAGAGTCAGCCTACTACCGTGCCTTTTTGGACTACTTTGTCCGAGCACATGGTGGTGATGCATTTGTTCACCAGCTTTCCCGCTTTGAAGCCCTCCAGGCTCAGCGAGTTTCTCTCCGCCAGTCCCATCTCAATCAGCTCCTTGGCAAATACCAGCTCAGTGTCGTCCCCCAATCCGCCAAGAAGCGACTCAGTACCAACGTCGTTCGCGGCGATGACACAATCACAGACGACCTTGAGAAGCTGCGACGGGAGAAAGAGTGGGAGGCAGCAGCTCAGATGTCAATGCCCACATGGCACGTCGCTGCTACCAAATTCTTGAACGGAGGCAGCCTGATTACCTCGCCAGTGACAAAGCGACTAGCTCGCCTCTCACAGATGGCTCCAGGCAAGGACGGCATTACCCGTGACCGTGCAAGAATCTTGGACCTCGGTGGACAGTCTACTTGTGATTGGGCCTGGCACTGCGCCCTGCAGTATCCCAATACCAAGGTTTACACCGTCACAACGAAGGCAGTCCGACAACTGTCCAACGCGAACATTCGCGGACCCCCAAACCACAGGCAGGTTGCAGTAGACCGCCTCACTCGCCTGCCATTTGGCGATAATCAGTTTGACCTCGTTTACGCCCGGGATCTCCACAGCATTCTCAAGCTATTCGGCGAGAATGGCCAAGACGAGTGGGAGATTTGCCTGCGCGAGTGCATGCGAGTGCTCAAGCCCGGCGGCTACATCGAGTTTTCGGTTCTTGATTCAGAAATCATGAACGCCGGTCCTCTCGGCCACGCCAAGAGTGTCGAGTTCGGCTTCTCCCTGAAGACGCTCGGCTACGATCCCAACCCAACCAAGATGTGGCTTGGCCGTCTTGGCCGTGCAGGCTTCAAGAACATCCGCCGAACATGGCAATGCCTCCCTCTTGGCCCAAAGAAGAACCTAAACACCTACGGGCTTCACATCTCTGAAACGTCAGAGATGGGCAGCAGCGAGAGCATCGCCGGCGTCTGCAGCATGGTCGGTGGCTGGAACTGGGAGCGGTGGCTCCTCCGATGTGAGATCGAGAAGTGCGCAGGGGAGATGCGCCTGGCTGATACCGTCACCGCCGGAGCGGCCATGGAGGAGGCCGGCAAATGCCTGAACGGCGTTGCCGCCTTGATCGAGGAGGGGAGAAACTGCAATGCGGGCTTCCGAATGCTCTCTGGCTATGCCAGAAAGCCCACTATCAACGTTGATGAAGCATAATTCATGTTAGTGAGGGAAGAATCTCGCGACAGTCTTTTTATTGATGATCTCATTTGTTATTCCTTTACTTATATAGTCTATTTTCTTTCTGTCATGAGTTGGAAAGCGTAAGGGATAACTAAGCATATATAATCAGGAGCGAACTCTTGAGTGTCTAACTCAATGTAAATAAATACTTAGATGTTATGCTTACATTGATTGCCAATAAGTTTTCGAAGCCGTGACTTTATAAGAGTAGAATCGAAATAATTATTGGTTGGGGCTACTTTGGTGTGAAGAAGCCGTTAGGACTTAGGAAGGAACCATTACCAACCAATGTTTATAGCGATGATCAAGGAGAAAACAATACCCATAAATTATTATACAGTGTGATAATTGACAATAATCCGAGAGGCCGCAAATTAAGATTTCTTATACAGCGACCCTAAAGAGATGAAGTCAGTTGGTATATAGCTGAGTACAGGGTAGGTGGATTGGTAAGTGGAGACGGCTAAATGGCTAAGGTAATGCGGAGACACGAAAACTGGACCCGAGAACTCAAAGCTTCAAGCTGGTTAGCAGATCATCCACGACGCACCTCCGCCTGGTCTGCTGAAACGCCCATATCAGAAGATCGCAAATCCAGACAAGGAAGAAAAAGCTCGTGGTATCGTTTTGAACCCATTGCAACCAGCAGAGATGTCGGGACCCAACTGGCAAGAAGAGGCAATGCGCCGCCTACGACAGATGCAACAAACCCGCGGCAGACCCGGTATGGGAGGAGGTCCTCCCAACATCCCCAAGGGCACACCCTTCCTTGCCGCTGGAGCATTTCTGCTGTTAGGAGGCGGCTACGTCCTTTCCAACTCCCTTTTCAACGTGGACGGTGGTCACCGCGCCATCAAGTACAGGAGGGTTAGTGGTGTTAGCAAAGAGATCTATAGCGAAGGTAAGCAACGAAAGCCGACGGGGTCTTCGGGATCGCCCCAGCGCATTTTCCAAAAGGTTCCAACGCTCACAGGACTTGAATCACAGGAACACACATCAATATCCCCTGGTTCGAGACCCCGATTGTCTACGATGTCCGAGCCAAGCCGCGCAACGTCGCTTCCTTGACCGGCACCAAGGATCTGCAGATGGTCAACATCACCTGCCGTGTCCTGTCAAGACCTCAAGTCGATGCTTTGCCGCAAATCTACCGAACCCTCGGAACAGACTACGACGAACGAGTCCTGCCCTCGATTGTCAACGAAGTCTTGAAGAGCGTGGTCGCACAGTTCAATGCCAGCCAGCTTATTACCCAGCGAGATATGGTGGCCAGGCTGGTTCGCGAGAACCTGTCCAGGCGAGCTGCTAGATTCAACATCACTCTTGATGATGTTTCTCTTACGGTACGGTTTACCCAATTTTCCCCATCCGGTGTTTAAGCACCTAGGTATCTCGGTATGCGAGCACAAGAGCTGACATGTATTCTTATAGCACCTTGCCTTTTCACCCGAATTCACTGCTGCCGTTGAGGCTAAGCAGGTTGCCCAGCAAGAGGCCCAGAGGGCAGCCTTCATCGTTGACAAGGCTCGCCAGGAGAAGCAAGCCATGGTCGTCAAGGCCCAGGGTGAAGCCCGCTCAGCCGAGCTGATTGGTGATGCCGTCAAGAAGAACAAGGCCTACGTGGAGCTCAAGAAGATTGAGAATGCCCGCCTCATTGCCACACAACTGCAAGAGGCAGGTTCCAAGAACAGACTTCTCCTAGATTCCGAGGGCTTGGGCTTGAACGTGTTTGAAAGCGGAAAGGAATAAGGGGCCGGATTCTTGGAGACCTTGGGAAGCCAGAACGGTGGAATAAAAAGAAGCCCACATGATTTGTGTGGCCGATTGAGAGAGACGATGGGCTGGACTCTCTCTACTGTACGCCTAGCCATCCATGCTATGCAGGATTGTACTATATAGGAACTCTCTGAAGTGTAATTGACTGGAAATGTCTACTCTTACTGATGGGTGGAATTCGCTGATTGGATGCAATGAATAATTCGCATGGGAGGAATCGTGGCATGTGGTAAACGATGGAAAAGTGAACAGGGTAACTGGGTGAGTGAGTGTCAGTGAGCTGTAATTGACCAACATATTTTAGGCAGCCTTCGTCGCTAAATAGCTTCATGGGTGCTGGACTGGGTCGCATGAGCGCACGTAGTAACTGCTCTTATCGGATTCGAGGTCAAAACATCTATCATCGTGGAATCCAGCCTGTTGGTTTGTAATAATGGGTAACACCTATGCAGATAATGGATGATTTCATACGCCATGGCATGGCCCCCAAGGCGTTTTAGGCTGCTCCTCACCACCAACAGCCCCTCCAGAAGCTAATGGCAGGTAGCCGTGCTTTCGCCTTACCTACCCCACCAACCCTCCAGTTACATCTCACCTACTTCAGCCCGTCCAACCGTCCCTCACATTCTCTTGATCCTGCAAGCCAGGTAGTCGAGGAGCCGCATAATACTTCAGATCGCACACGCCCACCACAACCGCCAAAATGTTAATCAAGTAGGTCCTGCAGCTTCTTGTCGGTAGCTCAAGCCGTTCGCCAGGCTAACACTCACTCCCAGGGTTCGCACGTTGACCGGCAAGGAGATCGAGCTGGATATCGAGACCGATTACAAAGTATGTGGCATACCCGACCTCGTACCAAGCTCCTGCTGGGGGTTATGAATGCGACCGACGTCACCGAAAACTAGGACACGCCGGACGAACCCAAGAATAATCATGGCTAACCATCATGCGCTCGCTCAACAGGTCTCTCAAATCAAGGAGAAGGTCGAGGAGAAGGAAGGCATTCCTCCCGTCCAACAGCGTCTGATCCACGGCGGCAAGCAAATGTATGGAATCCGGACACCCGCTAGACTGCAAATAGACCTATGGGAACATTGGAGCTGACCTGAGGCCGTTACTTTCTCTAGGACCGATGACAAGACGGCCGCCGAGTACAACCTCCAAGCCGGAGATACCCTCCATCTTGTGCTCGCCCTCCGTGGTGGTGTGTCGATCTGAGGTCTCGTGCCGATTGCATAGAGCTGAGGGAGAGGATGAAGGGCTTACTCAATCTTGATGGAACGGAGGGCGCGAGCCGGGTGACGACGAAACGGCCGCCTACATTACGTGGGGTTATTTGGAATGACGGAATGAGACGAGATAATGGACGGCGATCGAGAAGCTTGCCCCATCCTGTGTTGGAACCGTGAAATTATTCACGTCGAAACCCTGGTGAAACCCGAGGTCACTCATACTGTCTGAACATGTGATGCCCATGCATATAAAACACACACTCATACTAGCCTGATTATAAATTTATACACTTCGTGCCTAACCGATGATAACATCCTCCGTGAAACTTTCGCGATAGCGAATCAAATGGTATATGAAGTAAGTATTCACTGTGATGGTCTAATTTACTATTATATTCTAGAAGACACCTAGTCTTCTTGACTCTATGAGCTAAACTTTCGTTAATGAGAATTCCGCCTGCAATGCTAGCCTGGGTAGAGAATCTAGCGCTCGAACGCCCAGCTAATCCGGTTTTTTATTCGTCCTGATGGTATTATGATACATCATACAACTCTATAGACACGAGCCCATTCCCAATTAATTATAATGAGGCATTCTAGTTGGGCCTTTTCCTTGGCCGCATGAAGATGTCCGTCGTTTTGCGCTTCCGTACCAGAGGTGGTAGGTTTGTTGACGAACTTGATGCACCGCCACTCGAGGGCTCATTGTTAGGTGATGATTGACGTGGCCCTGGTCCAGAAGACACACCACTGAACCTCGATTTGGGTTTCCGGGGTGATGTATGAGAGATAGATGATGCCGAGGAGGGATTTGCCGAAGACACCTTCTTCACTGAAGAGGTGCTACTGAACCCGCCGCCGAATTTCTGCGCCATCCTACTCATTCCAGCCAGCGATTTTGGCTTTGAGGGTGACGGTCCATCCGTTGGTTGCCGCATGATGGGTTTCCGCGGTGGTGGTCTCTCTGATTCGTCAAACAGGTAGTCGCCGCCATTATCGTCGTCCTCGGAATCTGAGATGAATGTCGCTCTGGCTTCATGCTCCGTGACAGCAGATGGCACCTTGGGTGGCTCTTGTGGCGGTGGGCGCGATGGCGCCTGTGCTGGTCTTGCGGCTCTCTTGTATGCATTCACCATTGACACCGGGGCCTTGTTCACACCAGAGTGCCGAACAGGTCCCCTGACAGACTTGGACAAGCTGCCGTGGATATTTGCGATCTCCTTGACCTCTCGTCTAACCTTGCGCATAACCCCGGCGCCACTGAGGGTCTTGGTGCGGCTACCACTACCGAACATGAGAGAGTTGGAAGTTCCTTCTCGAGGTCCATATCTTCTGGGGGGCCCTGTAGCGCCACTGCGTGGAAGCAACCGCCTCTCAACGATCTTGCTCGTGTTCTTCTCTCTGTCCTGCCTGAGCCCGGCAAAGGCGTCCTTGAGCTTCATGGCGCTCTCCTTGACCGAGTCATCGTGCTCTCGTTTATACTTCTCCCAAACCTTGAACCATTTCTTGGGGTCCTGGGGCTTGTAGCCGCGGGCCCGGTATTCGATGGGGAAGTCTTTCTCTATAAGCTTCAGCCAGATCTCGCCCGTCTTGCCTTCAATCTGCGGGGAGTTGAGTTCGATGCGGCGAAGCTGGTGGGCATTCTCAACCCGGAGGAGAATGTGCCTGACGTTTTCGTAGGGGAGGTAGTCGCCGACGCCTTCGAGCCCGCGGATATTCTTGATACAGGCGGCCGTGGCCAGGTCGACCAGCGATCGGACACGCATGGCGAACACAAGGGAGTTTTCTGTCCGTGTAAATAGCGATGTAGTTGTTAATAGAAAACCAGAAAGGTGCGCTGGGTATCGAGTGTGGATATATCGATGCGAACGGTTTGCGATCACGTCAGGAGAGACGTATTGACGGCCCGGTTAATGTTGGTTGAGGTCCAGTTCATGGTCTTGATGCTGGAGGGAGAGGCAGGAGTATGTTAAGAAGCGCGTTCGAGCATATACAGGAAGGAAGAGCAAAATTAAACCCAGTCAGAGCATAAGGAAAGAATGAGGTCAGCAAAGCGTTGTCTGCTTTCGAATGAATGGCCGAGGATGCTTGCACGATGAAATGTCATGTGGCTGAGTGAGCGGGTAGAGGAGTGGGAACGTGCTATTTATATGGCCGGCTGGAGACTTGGCTGGGATCTGAGTCTAGCATCTACATGCACCCTATCGGCATATTGACTTTGCCATTTACTACTGCTGTATTAGGCCTCCACCCCGCTTATTTTCATTGACCTGTCTTGCCGCCGATGAAGCGGGAGAAAGAAGCTGGCTGGAAATGAAAAGTAAGTAGGTGACTTGGAGGGCCCTCGGCGAGGTTGAGAATACTTGATGTGTTCTGGACAACTATCATGAAGACGGAGCCATGCATCCAGCCTTGCTAATACCTGAGTACTTCATCTTAATCCCTATGCCGAGGAGAATCTACTTACTTGTGACCAAGGGCGGCAGTGCTGACACACGGGCAGAAGCTGGTGACAACGTTGATTGAATGCCTTACCGTCAAAGACGTTGTGTCATCAGGGTCTCGATAAGCATGAACCTACGGCACTTACTCCTACCTATGGAAGCCGGCATGGAAGCCTGCGTTTTGTCCTACATGAGGTGCAGCCTGAATCTGGGGCGTTTAGCTGGAAACCTGGCGCTGGCCCACTCCTGCACCCGAACCCACTCTTGGTGGCCTTACCTAATTTGACCTAAAGCGCCGAGCTCGATGACCCGCGCCTCCTAAGCAGGGAACGAGGTCGCTGGACAAAGAGACAAGGACTCAACCTCTTTGTTCTCGTCACAGGAAGCGCCGACTTCTCCCATCGCACCGCCGTTTCTTGCATGGCAATCTAAACGACGCCCCTTCCGATCGCTGTTTCCCTGAGCGCGAATCTCTCTTCCAGCCGGCTCGTTTCGTTCCCTCTCCGCAACTTGTTTCCACTATTCTCGTCGCCAACATGGCCGACGCAGCGCACGTCAAGCCAGAGCCAGATGCCGACTCTTCGGCTGCCATCAACGCACCCGCCTATGACGACGACTTGTACGAGGATGCTGGCGACCTGGAGTTTTATGGAGACTCCGGTGGCGAGCTGAACTCGGAAAACCTCTATCTTGCGCGCGTGCCCAAGTACATCTGGGATGCCTGGATGAAGATGACCGAAAGGCTGGGCGATGATGACCAGATTCAGATTGGCACAATGCGAACTTGGTATGAAGAGCAGCCAAACGGAGGATCCCAGGTATGCAATTTGGACTTGCGTATTGCCCGCCACTGTTTGACTAACTGTCGTTCCACAGACCAAGCTGCGACTCTTGCTTCACGACAACCAGCCCGAGCACCAGCTGCTGCCCCGAGAATACGACGTGGAGTTATTAGATAGCCAGGTTAAGAACCACTACATCTTCAGCGAGCGAGACCTCGAGAGCTACAAGGCAAAGAACAAGGCGCGCACCGAAGCTGCGAATGCTGGCATTCCCATGTCGGCATTGAGGGCCAAGGAGGGCGGAGGCCAGAAACCACATTACGATCGTCGAAACCGGTTCCAGCCCTACTATCGAAAGGCGATTCCCAGTTCGTACTTGTTCTGTTATGCATGCCAAATGCCTGATATCACATACTAACCGAGTTGGCATAGAAAAAACTAGGATCACAGGCAAGATCAACTACGACGTGCGTCTGGAGCCCCGAGATAAGACCGAGGAAACCCGATTGCTCGCACAGCGACTGTTGGAGGCGGATACGAAGGCAGGCGTCCGGGTCATCAGTCGCAACAAGGCCTCGGCCATCATCAACCCTGGTATTGCTGGGTCCGCTGGATGGGGCAACAACTTCATTGTGAGTACATCCGTGCTTGTCTATCAACGTATTAGGGTAATGTGGTGGCAACGCTAATCTCATTTCTGAAAAGAAAAACGCCGCGCCCACGGTCAAGCCAAAGAAAGCCGAGGTGGTCAAGAACGCTCGTCTGCCCAAGAACCAGCTTCTGGATCTTATTTTCGATTGCTTCAGGCAGTATCAGTATTGGTCTATGAAAGCCCTCCGACAAAGAACCCAGCAGCCCGAGGCTTGGTTGCGTCAAGTGGTCGATGAGGTGGCAGTACTCATCAAGAGCGGTTCATTCGCTAACCACTACACCCTGAGCGATGCCTACCGGGACAAGGCAGGAAGCGAATCCAAGGAGGAGGCCGCAGCAGCGGAGGAGGAGGACGATGATGATGATGAGGAGATGGAGGATATCTTGCCAGCTTAAGTTGATCTCTACGGGTTTGTAACTTCTCGGTACTTTTTTTTTCTGGCGTTTGATATGGAAGGTTCTATTTCGCTACCTATATACTCTACGTTATAGCAGTAAGGGAAGTCAGTTTGATACCCTTCGCCCTAGACTTAACACAAATAGGATAAGCAGTTGAGACTGCTTTTCATACAAAGCCCTTCCCCATTAGTTGGAGGGCTTCTGGGATAACAATTTGAATGCATTTGAGATTCAAATCAATCAATCAATATATGTATGTCTGTTTGCATTTCACCAGCAGTGAGACCCACAGGCCGGTTTATTTACCCACCATCCTCCCTATGTTTGTGTCCTGATCTGCAGCCTCAAACATTTATTGGTGAACCGATTGGTTCGTGGGCTAATTAAAAGAGGCGGGTAGCTTTTCACTTGCCAATGCCCTAGTGACCATTCGCCTGGGGGTTCTCCTCTCCCATCACGAGACACATCGTACCAGCCAAATGCTCCGCAAGCTCCATCGCCACCTCGATCGCAAACTCTCCCCTTACAAACCCATCTTCTTCCCTCCAAACCACGCGTTAAGAGCCACGATGCGTCTCATATTCGATTTTGACGGAACAATCACCGAGAAGGACACCATATCTACTTTTGCCAAGGCGGGCATTGCGCACCAGCGCGCCTGCAACGGCGAGGATCTCTCGGCCCGCTGGGATGACGTAGTTCGCAAATATGTGGAGGACTACCGCCGTTACCAGGAGCTGTATCCCACCGACGAGGCTAACCGGCGAACCTTATCGGACGAGATCAAATTCCTGGCTGGCGCCGAGGACGTAGAGTCCTCGTCCTTGCTGAGGGTCGAGCAGTCGGGCGTCTTCGCCGGGTTGAACTCGTCGGATCTGTTCCGCATGGGCTCCGAGGCCGTGAGTTCGGGGAGAATCGTCCTCCGGCGTGGCTTCAAGGAGCTCCTGAGCGCTGCCCAGGAGAAGGGCTGGGACGTTGGCGTGATATCCGTCAACTGGTCCTGCGCATTCATCCAGGGCGTTCTCGACGACCCGGAGTTTCACGTTCTGGCTAATGAGATCTCCCAAGGCGGGAAGATAAAAGGCCCCGATTGCCTGGGGAGACCGCTAACAAACTGCTCTGGAAAGCTCCATGTGTACAGAGGGGAGTTCAACGCCAGGGATGCTGCTGAAGTCTCCGAGGATAGCACCCCAACCGTGTACTTTGGAGACTCGACAACGGATTTGGAATGCCTCGCAAATGGCACAGCAGGCGTTTCGATTACATCCGATGATTCAAACTCAACGCTAGTGCAAACGCTCCGAAGACTAGGCTTCCCCGTGCCGCATGCTTCAAAGGGAGACAACAAAGCAGGGGCAAACATATGCTGGGCGCGGGACTTCCAAGAAGTGCTCCAGAGCGGGTTCCTCGAACAGTTTGAAAAGTAAGGCTGCTCAAAGGGACCTGTCAGTAAATTGATTATACGCAGCTACCCGTGTGCCCGTTGTTTGTGCTCAAAGTCACAAAATAAGTAAACAAACAGCACTTTGATGACGCGGATCAGCCTATACAATGGCCATGTTTACGTGAACAGCACTGATTAACTCAAAAACATTTGAAATCAGACGTCTTTGATTTTTATGTTTCAATATCAGAATGCATGATTTCTTTCATAAGCGACCGCATGCTCCTTTTGCTACTGTTCTCAATGCAGGCAATTCTTCTGTTCTTTACACCAACGGGTCTTTTCCTCAGAGGGTGATATTTTGCTTCTTGAATCTGGTTGTTTTCATTGAATCGATAATGTGCACTTACAAACGGATTTTTTTCGAATGCAAGCATGTCGTCTGGGCCGGCTGTGCGAAACGGTGCTCGATTAGTGAGGACTACCACCAGCGTCGCATAGCCCATGAATGCATGATCAAAGAGGGTCATCCGTTTCATTCTCGAAGGGTGCTCCAGGATTGTCAGGGATGCCGTGAGAAGTGCGCCAAGGTGATTTTGTCCCATCTGACGGACGAAGGCGGGAAGGTTGATATCAAGCCTATGGATGGAGAGGATATGGAGCATGGAGAGAAACATGATGCGGAATCTCACCAGAATTCTGACCCAGACCCTACGGCCAAAGTAGATCAGGGTTCTCAAGAGATGGAAAACCAGGACTCTGAACCTGATTCTACGACCAAAGTAGACCAGAATCCTCAAGAGACGGATGGACAGGACTCTGAACCCGATTCTACGACCAAAGTAGACCAGAATTCTCGAGAAACGGATAGCCAGGACGGTTGGATCTATTCGCTAAACGGCCGTCTTCAAAGCTACGGGAGAGAAGTGGAAAGAGATACTCAATCCCCAAGTCTGCCATACACCGAGAACATAGAACCTCAGACCTTGGCCGAGAAAGATGGCTCCGCTGATATGCCTTCTCCTGCCCCAGAACGGTCCAGAAGCTGCATCCCGCAGCAACGAAAGACCAACAGCCGACTCCCAGAAGCACTTCCGAATACGGAAAATCCGGGAACACCAAGCGACACGAGAACACTGATCAGCCAAAAGTCAGATACTGCGTCAGACAAAGATCGAAAGACGGCTAGAACCACGTCAGCTCTTCCAATCCTTCGCGCTATTCCTAAGCCCAAGCCAATAGACGTTGCAGTGGACAACCATCACTCAAGTCCCACACTCCGACTATCTATACCAATAGCCCGCAAATCATCGGTTGGAAAAGTTCTGCGACTTCCTCAGCCTACTCGGGCGATGAAAGTCGGCTTGTTGAAGGTACCAAACAGGACTCTTACCTAGGTATTTGGGCACACTATCAAAGGCATGGTAGATGGACCGACATGATGTTTGGATTTTTCATAAAATGGAATTGTTTCTTTGTATAAAATCAACATAGTCCTTTTTCCCTTTTTAACGGTAATGCATATCTGTCTGTCCGACCATGTGATGACTCTCTCGGCATCAAATGCCCACCAAATTAGCGAAGGCCGTCTCTTACATACAGAGACAAAAAACCAAGAGATTAATCCTCTCATTGGTCCGGGCCAGACTAAATTCAACTCCTAGAACCTCCTGTAGCACGATCGATATTGAACGCAGCGCTGACGAGCGCGAGGTGGCTGAAGGCCTGAGGCGTGTTTCCGAGTTGTTCTCCAGTGCGGGCGATCTCTTCAGAGAACATACACAAGTGATTAGAGAAGCCTAGCATGTTTTCGAAGAGATTGATAGCTCGAATCCGGTATTTGGGCTCGTAGACACTGGCACGTATCATGGCTTCGACAAGCCAGAATGTGCACATGCTGAAGGCCCCCTCTTTTCCTCCGACTCCTGTAGATGGGAAGACAATTAAAATTGTTAGGTGATGACTTCTCGTTTATAAAGCCAGAAAAATATATGCTATGAGAACTTACCATCCTCTGAGAGCTCAGTATCATATCGGTGCACCAGGCCTGTTTCTGTTAGACCACCCTTCTCGGGTGGAAGTAGAATCTTATCGAGAGTGTTTGTGAATCGTGGATCACATGGCGAAATGAAGAATACCAACGGAGCGATAAGAATGGACGAATCAAGTGCTGTGCTTCCGTAGCTCTGGACAAATGTCTGTGTCTTGGTGTCGTATCCTTGGTAGAGGGTTAATCCACTGCGTGATCCATGTGTATGAAGGGTTTGAAACTCACCCTTTTCCATAATCTCTTCGTACAGACTGTCTCGAGCGCGCATCCAATTCTCGCGGTTCGGGCATGGGAAGCATCTCTTCTCGGCAAGACGCAGGCCTCGATCAAAGGCAACCCAAAGCATCACCTGCGAATAGGTGTATCGCTGCTTGTTGCTTCGAACCTCCCAAATAGACATATCGGGTTCTAGTATCGGTTAGATTTTTTTATTTAGATAGAAATAGCACCGAACGAATGAAGGTATCCGATCCAGCACCACTTACCGTGCATAATTGTTAGGACATAGTCAAGGATCTCGCGTACAGCCTTCCAAATCTCCCAGTGAACAGGTTTCCCGTACTTGTTATACAGGTAGATGGCATCCATCAGCTCGCCATAAATATCGAACTGCTGATGGAAAGCAGCCCCGTTGCCAATGCGAACCGGCTTGCTTCCTCGATAGCCTTCGAAGTGGTCTAAAGTGATCTCAGGGATATCCGTGCCGCCATGAATGGTGAACATAATGGGAAGGCCTCCATCAGGAAGCCGCGAGTGAACGAAGCGCTCCATGATGAAGTTCATATACGCGTCCGCTTCATCTTTGAACCCGAGTCGCAGGAGGATGTAAATGGAGAAACTCGCGTCTCTCACCCAGCAATATCGATAGTCCCAATTTCGTACCCCCCCGACGTCTTCCGGGATTGAGAACGTCGGCGAGGCAACAATGGCCCCGGTAGGTTCTGTACGAAGAAAAGGAAATAGGATCAGTACTTGATGTATTGCTCTTCACACAATGTACGTACCGAATGTCATCATTTTGAGGAGCATCAGACTTCGTGACACTACCTCCATCCATCGGCCGCGATACTTGGACTGGCTGATGAAGTTGTACCAGAAGCGCTGGGTGTCATGCTGCTGCTGGTCAAGTACTAGAGTAGTAATATGCTCAGTGACATGACTCTCAACATCATTGCGCAAGACGAATGATATGGCTTGGCCCTCTTCGATCTGGATACGAGCGACTAAACCCTCTCCGAGAAGCGCGGATCGCTTCACCTTCTGAAAAGTGATGGTTGGACTACCAGCATCATCATCTCCCCGGTCAACGGCAACATCAAGCTGAAGTTTTTGATCCTTGCTGTGAAATGTGGCAGCCTTGCTCTGGTGAGTATCTGCTGTGTGGGTTTCAACAAGAAGAGTGGTTTCATGAGGGTCTCTGCCGTAGCCAAAAGCAGGAAAGATTTCAATGTCTGCCACAATTTGTAAGCTTAAATAGGACATTTGGATACTGGCAAGAATTTGCAAAGCAACTACTCACCCAGAGTAAGGGATCCGCGGATACATTCGACCCGTCTCACTAACCACCTTTTGAGCTCCTCTTGAACCTTGGTTGCTTCTCTATACGAGCTCTGAGTGTTGGCCTTGGTCATAACATGGGCATCTTTTGGACGAGGAAAGAAGTCAACCAGATCAACAACACCGTCTTCATGGATGTAGCGGGTCTGGAGAATGCATGAAGAGGGCAGATACTGCTGCTTGGTGGTGCAGCTGAGCGAATCTGGGGGGCTGATACTGAAATACCCTCCCTTGTCCTTGTCCAGGAGGCGACAAAATATGGAGGGCGAGTCAAACTCCGGCCTAAGATCCAGGTACAGTATCAATCTGTCAGTTGCGACTAGCTGGGACATACTTCATTTGGCATGGACTGATGACTTCATATGATTTAATGAGTTGAATGATGGGCCACTCACCAGCACATAAAGTCGACGCTCCCGTCAACACCAACCAAAGCACAGGTGCGCATGTTCCCAATCATGCCATAATCCTCAATTGGGAGGTAGCCGCCAGTTTGAGCACGACGGGACAGGCCCGGGTGGGCGATAGGGCATTCTGTACCCATTTTGGCTCGGCTTTGGAGCACAGATGAGGGATCAATGGGCAATCTGGTAGATAATGACAGTAGAGCCGGCAAAGGCAGTTGCTTGATGAGGTGCGATAGACTCTACCCTGCCTTGTGTGTTGTAAGTCTGGAATCCGGGCGCGGCAAGTGCGGAGGAGGAGCAAAGGAGGTTGATGGGCAATTGAGCTTATTTAACGGCGAGCCAAACGGCACAGCTCAGCCATTGCGCGCGGTTTCCTTTATAGTTCAACGAGTAACAAATTGCACAGACACATGTGTTGTATCCGCTACGAGAGAGGTTCAAAGCCTACAACAAATGTATGACGAATTTCTTACTGTACATGGCTAAGGCCCGAGGTATCCGCCTGTACTCGATCTCAGCCAAACACGTTGCGCGGGATGTACCTGCTATCAGCAGTAGTAATGGCACTGTCACAGCTGATTCATCTATCGCAAGTGCCGAGTTCTCTACCAATTGCCCATTCGCTGACTTTTATACGCATCTACACACACATCATCAGGATGCGCTTGGCGTAGACTAGGGATTTTACTGCTCAACCCCCGCAATGCTCGATCTGGCGCGGAATGGCAGGGTGCAATAATCCGGGGTAAATTACCTGGGCTAGCGAGGGAGAAGGATGGACAGGGCCTGGCCTCCCTGAAGTGTTGCTCTGGCCTGCTGATGGATTTCGAGTTGCAGGTCAGAAGGCACCAAGGAAGATGATTAAGCTCAGGTTTTGACCAGGTTGATAGATTTCCTTGTTCAATAATTCCCCATTTCTCGCTTGGCATGCATCTGGTCGGCAAACTGGCCTGCATCTACCCTGTAATGAGGTAGCAATGCGCTTCGCGCCCTTGCAGTGCAATCGAGTCACCGGTTGCTACCTCGTGGATGAATTGCCGCAAGCTGGAGTCTTGGGGCCCCCCAAATTGCGATCCCCCTCAGGGCCACCATCCATACCCACCCCGGATCAAGGTCCCGAATCGGATGCTGTCCCAAGATGTGGAGGAAATGGGAGAGTGGTGGAGATGGACAAGGCTGGTGGACTTGGCCAATCTTGGCAAGATACACCACGGGGATGGAGGGGATGATGGACTGAATGATCACCTAGCATTTTCTCTCATCTGCTGTGGGGGTTGGGGTAGTTCAGACATTAGGTCGAGGCTAGACAAAACTGCTATGGCTTGCGAAATGCGGGCCGGGAGCTTCCATGTGATCGATTGAGGAGAGAAACCAGTTGGTAAAGGACTGGGACTGTGTGATGGATCCCATCCCACTATCCCAAGGCAGCCCAATCCTCGTTATTTCTGTCTTGTCGTGTGACAGTGGAGGCAGAGGCGACCAGCCACACACGCCGTTCATCAGAAGCTGGACTGACCACGGCCGGCCAGGCAACGGACGGGCAACTGATTCGTAGTTATTAAGCGGGATAGAGCAGCTAAAGCGCCCGACAGGCACGTGTAGTAGGCAAAAGAATACAACGCACAGTATCTATGGCATCATCGATCTCAGGTTCTGAGAATCGACAGAGGGACGGACACTTGCTAAGGAAAAACTGCCCGGCGACGGACAGGCGGTGGGCTGTTTTTTAGTGGCTCTCAGCGGAGACTCAGCGGGGAGCCAGCACCTCTGTCTTGCCGAAAGGCCCTGAGACCCTAGACTCTAGAGGGAGCGAACCATCCGGGTGGATGTGCCGCTGTGGACAGAGCACCCATCACCGCCAGAAGTGTGCGCGGCTGACTTGGCCGCCAAGCTTTTATTATGGAGGATTGCTCATCCTTCTGCGTCGTGCATGTCATTAATCGTGTAATTATAGTCGCTGTGCCAGCTCATTCGTGCATGTGTGGAGGCAAGTAGGTATGGGGATGGATGGTGGTGATATTGCAACGAACAATCAGGTTGCTTCTCAACTCCTTCTTTGATCCAAGCATGTCATCGTGCTTTGATGCCAACGCAACGGGGCAACAATTTTACTGAAGGGGACTGAAAGATGTCGGACGTATTTAATCAGTGCGCCACAACTAGGCATGTCTCACAAGACACTGATTCGGCTCAAGCCACCAGATGATGTGCAAGCATATGCATGCACTCTAGGATGGTACACATTGGCGTTCACCTCACACACACTCACCGTCCTCAGAGGCATGACTGGATCTGGTGAGCTAGTTTGCCCTGTTTTCATGCAATCCAGCGCTGTGCAGCCAAGCAAACCATTGCCGCGGCTTAACCATCCCCATGTGGTTGTTGGTCTAACAAGGTGCAACCTGAAGAGCGGTCGACAAGCCACAATAAGAAGCTCCTTGGCCTCCCCACCTGAAATGGTCGGTCACACACGGCTCCGAGATTCAACTTAGACATCTTGGAGTAATTATATTAATAGTATGACAGAATGAGTCTTGGGAGGAAAAACACTCCGCTGGGTCGCACGACATAAGACTCAGACAAGAGATGCGAGGGCCAATTAGTCAGTCGTTGATGCAACAGTCAGAAGATCTGCCACAGCTGCCACAACATAAGGCGACCAACATCCGTAGCAACATGGAGGACCTGTTGCTCGCTGCCGAGTTCGGTGGTCAGCTGACTGGGGTAGGGGACTTGGTAGCCTCCACCAGCGCACAGTCCTAGTCGTGATCATTCACAAGTGTAGCCCACGCGCAGGACGTAGTGCTTTGAGGTGCTCTGCTGCTAATAAGTTCACAATTGCCGTCAAGCCTGGCGCTGCAGACGGTGAGAGCCTGGTCTCTTCCAAGGGGTTACGCGCAATAACAACGACGCCCGACCTATCAGCGAGTTTGCTGATTACCTAATTAATTCCTGCCAAGAAGGTTGACTCTGGTCACATCCACCCACACAAGCCACTCATCAAGAGCCAATCTAGACTAAGCAGGGGCGGGACGGGAGGCCAGCCAACTGCAATGTCCACTCGTCCCAGAACTGTAAAACATCCCCGTCAATGATTGTCGCTCTCTCTCTTGGCTGGTTGTGGCGAGCTGCTGGTTAGTTCAGGCACCGCACCGCACTACTCCCTCCCCCGATCCACGATTGTACATATATTCACATGACGGGCCCATGATGCCCACCACTCGGTCCACCCCGGGGGCTTCTTCCTCTTCTTTCCCCTCTGCTCCCTTCAATCTTCCTTCCCAAGAACCTGCTTCTCTCCTCGACTCACCCGCGAATCTGACCGGTGGCTCGTCGTCTTCCTTGTCTCCTGCCGGTCCTGCCGGCCCTGCTTCAACTCGGTCATATTCCCCAGGCCAGTCTTCGACTCGATCCCGAGCAGGGAGCTCAGCTCGCGACGACATCGAGATGGAGCCCATCGCTGGTCATCGACGGCGCAAGAGCAGCTTGATGAGCCCCATCGGCGGCCTGCCTGCGTCCCCAATTGGGCGCCCCAGATCTCAGAGCCTCCGTACTTTCCAGCCCAGCCGCCATCCCTCCGTTGCTGCTGGCATTGGCCCAAGCTTTAACGAGGAGCCCAAGATTTCCGAAGAAGCGTCGCCAATTGGGTTTTCCAGGTCGCCAAACGAGGAACGCTTCACCGATGGCTACAGCGACGACGACGACGACGCCACTCTACGAGATGACGAGGAGACCGGTCTGTCCAAGAAGGAGAAGAAACGCAGGCAGAAGAGAAAAAGGAGGAACACACAACTCGACCAGCGCGTCGTCAGAGACAAGCCCCTTTCGCGGGATGAACAAAAGGAGGTGGACAAGAGTCTTGTCAAACGGATTTCAATTAACATTGCCTTGATCCTCTTGTGGTATATCTTCTCGCTCTCTCTTTCATTAGTAAGTCCTTTCCCGTTGCTGGCATTCGGCTGTCTTGTTTTTGTGCCTGCCGTATCAAATCCCACCAGGGGGCACCATAACTAACATTGCGCCTTGTACAGTACAACAAATGGATGTTTGACAAGAACAAACTCAACTTCTCCTTTCCCCTGTTCACGACCTCCATGCACATGCTAGTCCAGTTCGCCCTGGCTGCGCTGGTTCTCTACTTCATTCCCGGCTTCCGACCACAGGCATCTCGGAACTCGGATCTTGGTAGATCAAGACACGAGTCGGAGCCAGCAAATGCTCCTCTAATGACCAAGATGTTCTACTTCACAAGAGTTGGTCCCTGTGGAGCCGCCACTGGCCTCGACATTGGCCTGGGAAACATGTCACTGAAATTCATCAGTCTTACCTTTTACAGTGAGTCTCAGCTCCCACAATTCTCCCCTGGCTATGACTATGTTTGAGCAAGATGCTAATATGAACAATAGCTATGTGTAAATCATCGTCTCTTGCCTTCGTTTTAATCTTCGCCTTTATATTCCGCCTTGAAACCCCGACCTGGCGACTCGTTACTATCATCACAGTGATGACAATTGGAGTAGTTTTGATGGTGTTTGGCGAGGTTGAATTCAAACTTGGCGGATTCGCTCTCGTTATTTCAGCCGCATTCTTCTCTGGCTTTCGCTGGAGCTTGACTCAAATCCTCCTACTCCGCCATCCCGCCACCTCAAACCCCTTCTCGAGCATCTTCTTTATCAGTCCAATAATGTTTGTGATCCTCTTTGGGTTGGCTATTCCGGTTGAGGGATTCGGTCCGCTCTGGGAGGGATACGGAGTCCTCACTGCTGCATACGGCGCATTCCTTGCACCCCTCTTCTTGTTGTTTCCGGGGTGTATCGCGTTCCTCATGACTGCCTCCGAGTTCGCTTTGCTCCAGCGTACCTCAGTAGTCACCCTGTCCATTGCTGGAATTTTCAAGGAGGTCGTTACGATCTCGGCTGCTTCTCTTGTGTTCCACGACAAGTTGACCCCTATTAATGCGGTTGGACTTGTCGTCACATTGATCGCGATTATTGCCTACAATTATATCAAAATTTCCAAGATGCGGCAGGAGGCACAGGAGCAGTCCGAACCACGCTACCAACAAGCTTCTTCGATGCCATCCAGCGATACCGATAGTGATGCCGACGACGACTCGTATGAAGAAACGGCAGGCTTGCTACCCCCGACCATTGATAGGAATAGCCCAATGGTCACCTCGGATGGTGATTTCCAGCCGAGTGTGATACCCCAAACAGGACCAGAGCCAAAGTCGCAACAGGCCCCTCTCCATCACGAATAAAAAATTAAATTATACACGGCGAATCAACCAAAACGCCGCACTCGATCGTTTAGCGAGCATATTTTCTTATTGTTATACTCCTATTTCTTATCATATACCATTGTAACACCATCTTTTTTTGATAAATATTCGGAGCCCTTTTTTCTTACTGCTTGTAACAAGATTATACGGCTATACACCGAATCCGGTTCACGTCCACGGAGGCTAAATTTGATTTAAGCATCACTTGATGCGGCTACATATCAGTTGGAATTTCAAGGCAATGCAGGGAAGGGGAACACGGCAGCACGAGGGAATTCAAGGTTATAGACACTTTGCATGATACCCAATATAAATGAGTTTTGAGTCGTTCTCCTGCCAATAAAAAGGGTTCATTTGATATTGCCGTTCTAATTATATCTACATTTTGTTTTCTGTGCATTAAGGCTTCCCGCAGCCGTCAACAATACTGACCTTCAGAAGTTCTCATCTAGAGCATGCTTCTGATGCTTGGATTTCATGGCGAACACCGTCATTTTCTCATTATTGAACCCTCCAAGCTTGACCCGCTATCTGGTCACCCTAACCGAGAAGTCGAAGTCCATTCTTCGTCTTCTTGCCAATCTTAGTGGCACCGCCATGGGGACCCAGGTTGGGTTCATATCCACCACTGCCGCCGCCGCCGCCGCCGCTTCCATTGCCGCCGTTGTGGTTCTTCCTGTTGTTCTTATGGCGACCCTTGTCCTTGTCCTTGGCATTTGTTACTTTGATCTCCGTCTTCGCCTTCCGGACCACAACGGGGTGACTCTGGATGTACTTGCCGTTCATCTCCTTGGCCGCCTGGAAGAAGTCGTCTGCATCACTGAAACTCACGAACCCGTAGCCTTTGGACTTGTTTGTGCGCTTGTCCCGCACAACCCGCGATTTCTGCAAAGAGCCCCAGCGGGAAAAGGCCTTGTACAGTGAGTCGTCCGTCGTCTCGCCGGCCAGGTTGCCGACGAACAGCCGCAGATGCGACTGGTCCCATTCGAGGAGGGTGTCGTCCGTCCACTTCTCGCCGCCGCCCTCGCGCACAACCGTCTTCTTCTTGTCCGTGCTCGCGGGCGTCGGCTCGGGCTTGGGCAGCTCCGCCGTCGCGACCGGCTTGCCATCCTTGCCGGTGGCGACGGGGTCGCGGGTCACGTAGGTGCTCTGCCACTGCGCATACTGCGCGGCCGCCTCGGGATCATAGTCGCTCGTGGTCGCGGCCGCACCGGGGGTGGGGAAGGGGTTCTTTATGCTGGGTGGCGCGGCGTAGGACGTCGATGACGGGGGCTGGCTGTAGGCATGGCTGTTGTAGCCCTGTGGTTGGCGCGAAGGCGCTGCCTGTCGCTGGTATGACGAGGAATAGGAGGGGGGTGCGTTCACGGTGCCGGGGGCGCTATAGGATGTGTATGAGGATGGGCCATACTGGCTCTGAGGGGGGGCAACAGGGCCGTGGATGGCGTTGGCGCCTGAGTATGCGCTTGCAGTTCGTGCGTAGGGCTGCTGCGGTAGTGATGCTGAGCTGGCCGAGAATGATGGTTTGAAGCCGCCTTTGGTGAAGCCACCAGATCCGCCGTTGCTGCTGTCGTTGGAGGGAGGTGGTCGCGCGGGGAGGTTGCTTGTGCCTGGAGGAGGAGGGTAGGCCATGATGAACTCTCAGGGAGAGGAGAGGAGACTCTCTCTATCTGTTATAGTGAGACGTACCTGAGCCTTGTGGCTCAAAGCTGCTTTATCCGACGATGATATGTTAATGCCACTGTGGGGGGTTGATTCGCAGAACGCGTCGTTGTCCGTTGTCGCTGGAGCGGTGGATGAGATTGGAAGATCTAAGGAAATTCTTACTGATGATGCAGTTGGTCGCCAAGGCAGCCATTGGCAGGTGCGGTCCAATCAGAAGAGCTTGATGGGTGTTAGTTGGCCCCACAACCCTCATTGGTGGTGACTTGCAACGGTCGACACAATAATGTCCGACACTCAAAACATTGCACTCAGCTTCTCATAAACATGATGCTTATTTATTCCCAGACTGACAAGAACACTTGGACTGCTACATACAAAATGAAAGCTTTTATTTTCTAGAACCACTGAATTTGCCATTGTTGCACATACTAGCTATTGTGACTTGCACAAATACAATGCTGTGGCTTGATGCACCATGTATTTTGTCGCTCCAATAAGCACATTGAAGACATCACCAAAGAAGCTATTAGCGAGCTTCTTGGGGATCTCTAACAATTCGTATAAGGCGTGTTATTCCTTTTCATCATATATCGCATTCATCATTCTCCCTCCAATTTTGCGGAATTCATCTTGCGTCAGTTTGCTGGCTAGATTGACCCGAATTGCATACGGCGTTGCCATGACGGAATCAAGCTCGAGCTGCTTTTCCTTTACAATCTTCATAATGGTAGACAGAAGAGCTTCCATGGGGAATGGTCGCGCCGCACGGTAGGTGCAGCCTATGGTATCTTCGTGGATGCTCTTGACAATTATATCAACAGCAGGTGGCCCTCCATAATACCCGGGATGACCGTCGTCCGTCACATCATCTTCAATAGCCCTTATTTCACCCGATTTGGGATCCAAATACTTGCCGTCGACAACAGGCGTTTTGAGATCACCATGCCATCCAGGATCGTGGAACTGTAAAGAAGCCATGGTGGAAAATGTATGCTAATGTTGGTGGTCAAAGAAATAACTGGACTTCCGATTCTTGAAATCTCCTTGGTTGGCTTATTTGAAAGGGGAAAGAAGATAGTAAGTAATACTATTATTCATTCAAGTCAATAGAAAGGGAAAATGCGACACGTGACCGTGGGGGCCGCAACACGATGCCTCTCTTCCACTTCATCGGTTGGTTCGTGAAGTAGAAAGCCTTCTATAGATAGCAATATGTAACAAGAATTCGACATCCCGCAGTTGATGGGAAGGAAAAACAAAGTTGACAAATCAAGTTACGAAACACAGGCAAATTACAGATCCTTATATTGGAGATTTGAGCCGCAACCAGCTGGACTAGCCTCCGCCAGAGCTCCGTGTCGCTTATAACCTCGAGTTACTAAAAGACCCACCCCCACCCATATTAGGAAATTAGGGGAGGACTTCGAGTCGGAGTATTTGCATAGGGGAGCCTAGTTTTGCCCACGGGGTGGCTAAGAAACGGAAAATCCCACGGGAAACCGCCCCAATGGTCGGCGTTCTGGCCGTTCTCTCCGGACAAGCAAACGCCTGGGCAAGTCGATCCAATCCATGAGTTGGGGACGAATTGGGCCTCTTCGTCGGTGGTCGGCCCGCTGTGGGACAATAAGTCCGGATATAAGTCCGATGAGAAGGGATATGGCGGTGCTTCTGGGCCGGGCTGCCACACGACTCTGCGCTGAGTAGGCACTTGCCGTTGTCTTGTTTCAGCAAGTACCTCATTTTGATGTCAACTTAAATTTCTTGTTTGGGGTGCAGCTACTTGAGCCCGCGCTAAAAACAACTGGGGGAGGCGAGTCGGGACTCTCTCGAAGTACGACTTGTCTGGTGGATATATCACTCGGCGGTTGTTACCAACCTAGGGGCCATGCTTGGGGTCAAAGACGGCCGTCTTCGCATCCCGCTACGGGCTAAGGCCATTGACAGGTAAGCACATCGCTGCTGATGAATGGCGCCGGGATATATTCCAGTCTAGACACCTGGGCGAATGAATCTACCTCCCGTGTAGCATGTGGCTCAGCGCTGCGAAATCCCTCACAAGGCTTGTCTGTTGGGGGTGGAGGGAGGCTGGCAATGCTGGTTCCTGCTTCCTGGTGATGCGGCACTTTGTAAGAGATTACCCCACTGGCTGGACTGCATCTTACATGGCCCGACGTCACCGAAGTTGATTACTCTATCCAGACAAGCCCACGGAGGTGGTCGACCACTCCGATGGTTCCGCGAGCTTGGGAACAACGGATAGAAGTGCTTCTTTTCAGGTCACAAGACGCACTCCCCGGAGGCTGTACTCTCAATCGGATCTTGCTCGGCGCGGTTCTAGGGGCAAAGCCATCTAGTCCAGGAGGCAACTTGCCCATCTCCTCGGCTTGGGGAGATGTCTTTTTTTACTTGATTCAGGTGTTCCACAGGCAGTGGGTTTGCGATTCTTTGAATGGGGGTGACTAATGCCAAATCGGACGGAACATCGGGACCCTGTCACCCTGATGCTCCCTGTCGATGCCCCTCCCTGGCCGAATTACCCCTCCCCCTCCAGCGGTGCTCCCACGGCGGCCATGAGGCGAATAGCTTCCACTAACAAATGCCCATCTTGCACATTGCACTGTTGGCCCAGGTACCTCCGTCAAGCTGGTCCAGGTATTTCCGCACTCGGCCGTTTGCCTACGGGGGGTGGTCACATTGGGTAGCTTCTCGATAGTCCCGCACTGCCTTCTGGCCTGGCCCTGCCACTGGCTGGAAGGCTTCTTGATCGGAGGCCATTATACTTTGCTTAGTGGTCTGTTTGTCAGTCTCGTCTGGCGCAGAAACCAAGTCGCTCTGCGCAGTCAGTATGGACGATTACCCAAGGATTTGTCCTCGCGGGGGAGAGCTTGGTGAGCGCTGAGTCAACCGCCGCCCAAGCCTGCCGCCGCCCAACCAGCGGCCTGCGAAACCCGGATGCGTCCAAGCAGCAGACACGATAGCTTCCCGTCTGGTCCCCGGCTCATATAATCATGACGAGGTATGGCCCCACCGTTGGCCGGGGACCAATGGTCGCTTCTCTTGGCGCATCTTGACTGCTTGCCCTGCAACCCAAATCTTCGCTGCAATGTACCGAACCGATTTTAGTGACGCTACCTCGCCCTACAGTGCGCTATGTTTGATATACGTACCTCATGGCAGTGTGTCTCCTCACTGCTTCCGCTGCTCAGGCGGCTTAGTACTTCTATCTGCCACCTCCCTCATCTCTTTTTTTCTCCCTCCGACCTTTCTCTTCCTTCTCTCCCCATCCTTCGTCTGCCATCCACAAGCTAGGAAGCTAGTCTGCTCTCCTTGCTTCAATACTCAACGCCTAGCTCTCGAGCATTGCCGACGGATTCTTTCCCCAGGAGCAATTAAAAGCTGCCCATCATGTCTGGCGCCGTGTAAGTCGCGACACGTCTGTCCTTGAGCTCCCCCTCCTCCCTCACCCACCTTGAGCTTACCGCCGCTGTGATTACCCCGCCACCCCGCCCCAAAAAGTCAAACCTCACAGCTGCCATTGCTGTTGATCCAAAGCTGCCTCTCCTTTGGGAGCTCTTTATTGTTCCAATGGTGGAGGAGCTTGAGCTTGGCAATTGATTCAATCAATGGATTTTCTGATCCTTTTACACATTCCCTTTCCCGCAGTCGGGCTACTGGTCTGGACATTGCTTATGATATCATACCAGTGCCCGCCTCGCAAACATTAAGCTTGGCGGTCCCCCATCCTCACATGCTTCAATTTCTGCTGCGGCTACCTCTTCGTCGGAAAATGCTAACAATGCTCCAAGCGCGGATCTGGGTCTCATTGGCCTGGCTGTCATGTAAGTTGATCCTGATTCCAGTGACCTCTACATCTGGTTTATTCATACTAACCGCAATGCTCGTATTTAGGGGACAGAACCTGATCCTGAACTTCGCCGACCACGGCTACACCATTGCCGCCTTCAACCGAACTGTCTCCAAGGTCCACCGATTCCTCGAGAATGAGGCCAAGGGCAAGTCCATCGTCGGTGCTGACACCATTGAGGAGTTTGTCAGCAAGCTCAAGTCCCCCCGACGTGTCATGCTGCTCGTCCAGGCCGGTGCCGCTGTTGATGAGTGGATTGAGAAGCTCATTCCCCTCCTTGATGCTGGCGATATCATCATTGACGGTGGTAACTCCCACTTCCCCGACTCCAACCGCCGCTCTCGCTACCTTGCCGGGAAGAACCTCAGATTCGTCGGCTCCGGTGTCTCCGGTGGTGAGGATGGTGCTCGCACTGGTCCTTCCATGATGCCCGGTGGTAACGAGGAGGCTTGGCCTCACATCAAGGACATGTTCCAGGACATTGCCGCTAAGAGCGACGGCGAAGCCTGCTGTGACTGGGTCGGTGATGAGGGTGCTGGTCACTACGTCAAGATGGTCCACAACGGTATCGAGTACGGTGACATGCAGCTTATTTGCGAGGTGCGTAAATGTTCCCTGGGATATGGAAAGAGCATTATGGAACTGATCATTTGTTTAGGCCTACGACATCATGAAGAGAGGTCTTGGACTGACCAGCAAGGAGATTGGTGATGTTTTCGCCAAGTGGAACACTGGTGTTCTGGATTCTTTCCTGATTGAAATTACCCGCGATATTCTGTACTTCAACGACGACGACGGCACTGCTCTTGTCGAGAAGATCCTGGACAAGGCCGGCCAGAAGGGTACTGGCAAGTGGACCGCCATCAACGCCCTTGACCTTGGCATGCCCGTTACTCTTATTGCCGAGGCTGTCCTCGGACGATGCTTGTCCAGCATCAAGGATGAGCGCACTGTCGCCTCCCAGAAGCTCCAGTTCGTCAGCCGCTCCGCCAAGTTCGAGGGCGACCGCGCGCAGTTCCTCGACGACCTTGAGCAGGCCCTCTATGCCTCCAAGATTGTCTCTTATGCCCAGGGTTTCATGCTGATGCAGGAGGCCGCCAAGGAGTACAAGTGGAAGCTGAACAAGCCTTCCATCGCCCTCATGTGGCGTGGTGGCTGCATCATCCGTTCAGTCTTCCTCAAGGACATTACTGCTGCTTACCGCAACCAGCCCGACCTCCAGAACCTGCTCTTTGATGACTTCTTCAACAACGCCATCAACAAGGCCCAGCCCGGCTGGAGAGATGTTGTGTCCAAGGCTGCCCTCATCGGTATCCCAACCCCAGCCTTCTCCACTGCTCTGTCGTGGTTCGATGGTTACCGCACCAAGGACCTCCCTGCCAACCTTCTGCAGGCCCAGCGTGACTACTTCGGTGCCCACACTTTCCGTGTGAAGCCCGAGGCTGCCACCGAGAAGTACCCTGTTGGACAGGACATTCACGTCAACTGGACTGGCCGTGGTGGCAATGTTTCCGCTTCTACCTACCAGGCATAATTCAGATGGTGAAGATTGGAAGCCGTTTTTTTTCTTTGAACGTTTTTTTATAACCAGTGGAATGGAAGGAAGAGATCACTCTCGCCGTTGCTCAAAAAAATACATATAAATATCCTGGGGCAGGGCAGCTCTAATTCGTTTTGAATATGCCATATCATGACGAGCATAAGGATATCGTTGGGATATGCCGCTGTTCTCATCCGCATCTGCAGATGGGAGGAATATTCGTAACTGGGGCAGTTGTATGACCTGAAGGTCAGGTTGTAGCAACGAACGCGGGGAAAAGGAGTCATGGGACTGACGGACAACGTGGAACATAGATAACGATAATATGACAAACTTCATAAACCTTTCTGTGCTGTTATCGTATTCTCTCTCTGTGCTCCGGGCATTACCTTGTGTATGCTAGGGCGCATCGTCTGGGGTCGAAACTTGGGTAAGATTAATGTCATGAAGCAACGAAAGTCTTCCGTATAATATTGGCAAGGCTCAAATGAGATTATTTAGCCATCATCACAGTGAGCATTCAATAAGTACAAATGACCAGAGGCATTATGCAGGACATCTTGCGAGCACCTAGAAAGGACATACGAGAAGAGGACTTCCTGGGAAGTTAAGAAGCAGGGTTACTAAGCATGTACCTGAATTCCTGTGGATAATGGCCTAAAAGGTGCCTTTTCGGCGCGGTTCCATTTTTCTCCACCTCAGGCAGTTCCGCGTTTTGATTGGCCGGCTGGCCTGCCTGTCTGTCGCGAGGAATTTTGGAGCAGCGCGCGCAGCACCTGCGCAATTGCATCCATCAAAGAAGCAGTAGCTTCATTCGCTTTCCGACTGGCCACGACGTCCATGTGACTGCGTATCCATCGATCGACAATACGGCCCTTCAATTAATTGCCGTGCGGTACGGGGAGCTTGTCCACATAGAAAGATCCAGGTCGATTTTTCTTTCCTCTTTCGCGAATTGCACCTTCTCCGTGTTTCCTCGATCGCGACCGCGAAGGCGACGACGGACGATTCAGCATGAGCCAACCAGACCCCAGTCTCAGCGTCCCCCAGGACCTGGTGCGCCATCTCTATCTGTACTTCCACTCGATGAACTTGATTGCTAATAACTAGCAGATGCAACATGTCCATCTCGTGTCCTCTTTTCGATACCCAGCCGTTTCCCACATCAACCTGCAAGATGTTGCGAAATGGCTGATGAACGCTCCTCATGTTGCTCGCGACAAGGCGCCCTTTTTCTGGACATACCTCGATAAGCCCGCAGATGGGACGGTTCTCATGACCTGGCAGCCCCTCCAGAGGCTTGGGACCAACTTCGCTTCTGATGGGTTCGTGTGGGCACCACCCGAGCAGCTATATAAGCATGACTTGGGCAATGGCCTGGTAGGAGAGCGACAATACCCCGGATATATTACATCGCTAACAATTTGATCAGCATCTCGAAATCTACTATCTAAAGGCTGGTTATATTCCTGGGGAACAGTATGCGCAACACGCTCGACGAAGATTTCGATTGGTTCCCGTTCCTGGCCATCCCGCCCAGCCCCAACCCGACTCGAATCTGTTCATTGTTCACTATGGACCTTCCGACCCGAACGACACGATGCCCGTGACGATGATCCCGTATGACCAGCGTGTTCATGCTGCCATGCAGCAGAGACAGTATCTGCAACGGGCAGGTCAGATTCGTCGAAAAGAGTTCATGCTTTCCGACCGCGCCAACTGGCCTTCACTCCCTGAGCTGACCCGCCAGCAAATGGAACCTCAGATGGCACCTCGCGGTGTCCCTCAACAGATGGCGTACCCACCGCAGTCCGTGCCTGGCCCTCCTGCCAAGCGTGCTCGCCACTCTCAAGGCCACGCTCAACAACAACCCCCTCAGTTCCATGGAGCGATCCCAATGGAGGGAGCCTTTGATGATGATGAGGACACCTCTCGGGGCGACATGTTCGATCATCTGACCCCAAGAGAGATTTCACTCGGCCGCTACCAGCAAAACCACGAGTGGATGGAAGAGATTCTATCTTCGCCCTACCGGATCAATCAGATTACCCCTGCAGACCTGGGCCTTGGCCTCAAGGGAGAATTGGCATCTTTGACGGAGGGAATATTCACCTCTCACGGTGGTGATGCCTTCAGTCAGTCCTCTGATAAGGCCTATGTTGGGCGACTGGACGCCGGTAAAGCAGACGAGTTCCGTAAGCGGGTTGACGAACACATCAAGGCAGAACAGGCAGCTATGGATGCCATGAAAAAGGCTCATGAAGACCTTCTCGCTGATATGAAGAAGATGTCGACTTTACGACTCAAAGAGAGGGAACTTCGGGACGCGGAAGACTCTGGGACTGAGCTATGGAGGCCTACCAACGGAAACTCGAGCGAAGAGTCGACAAAGAAGGCAACAGAGGATGTGGTGAAGGAGACAGAAACGGCAACTGGGCTCAAAATCGAGAGCAGACCTAGCGTGAAATGTGTGGAAACTGGAGGTTATCAGGCTCCAGCCCCTCAACCCGTTCAGCCAACTCAACCCACCCAGATGTCTCGGCAGGCATCTCAGAACGGCTCCCAAAATGGCTCCCAAAACAGTGGAATCATGCTTGGTGAATCCGATATTGATATGGGAGGAACCGCTGCAGGACTTTTGGATCAGATGCACACTGGGTTTTCTTCGACATCGACACCTGTCAACAGCTTCCCTACTCCTCAACCCCAACTATCAGCAGCTCACTCGAATGCGGCAACACCATCGAATATTAATGCCGCCGCATCGCCCGCTGTTGCCACATCCCAGGCTCAGCAACAGCAGCAGCCTCCCTCACAGCTTCAGACACAACCACAGTCGGGAGCACAATCAGAGGCAAAAGATATTGCCATGGGCGGTACTGACACATCCGATTTAGCACCGGATCAAGGGACCGGTAGCGGGGATTGGGTAGTTGTTCCGAAGGAAGCCGCAAGTAATGACGCTGGGAACGGGGCGGGAGGCACTCCTTCGGGGGCAAATGAGGGCACCCCTAAAGCATCTGCCATACCTCCAAAGCCCCTCTCAGCTGCTGCCACCCCTGCCGTTACTGACCCAGGCTCTGCGACATTTGACCAGAATGATTTCAGCTCGTTGGGGGATCTCGATACCGCAGGAGACGCTTTGGCTAACTTCGATACACCTGGTCTCGATGGGTCAGCAGGTGAGCTGGGTGATGGGCTTGATCTTCAGATGGACATTGAAGACTCTGCCTTCGGCGACGCTTTCCACGGCGTGGACACAACTGGAACACCAGGGCAAGACTTGTAGGCATTGTGACTTGAAATGGTGACTCAGGGTGCGCGTTCTGCAGGGATGGAGAAGGGCTTCTGTGAAGACCTGGTTTTAGTTTCTGGAATGAGCTGTCTAATGGGATTCAAAGAAGGAGAAAGGATAAATATAAACAAATATCGACAGGCAGCGTGGAAGATTTGACGGACAACGACGGAGAATGGCGTGGATATAAAACCCGCAACACGCGTATGTGGGCAGGCAGAGAGAGGCGTTGGCTACCTTCTCCCTTTTCTTACTTTTTTACACCTATTGCCGTTTCTTGTATCGCGACTCTATTGCATTTATATGTACTTTGGTAGAATTTGGACGGGGAGTCGGTTGTCAATGGATATTCGCGGTTTCTATTCACTTATTGTTCGAGTTTTGATGTGTTGTGTGAGCGCCTCCGCGGTGAGACCAGGGCCCTTGATAATAGATGAGGTAGGAATAATTTGTTATGATTTTTCGCTACTAAAGCAAACACTAGAAACCCCATATTACTGCTACTGTATCGATGAGCACAAGTAGTCTCGACACTTGGATACCAGATACTGTATGCTCGTAAAATCATGCAATGCGATGAGTAGGTCCGTAAAATCAGTTGACCGAAATAGAAAAAAAAAAAAAAAAGCCAAATGCAAACATTGCACGCCGTTAAACCTGTACCTGAAATCATCTCCAAACACCTCCAGCTTGCTTGTGACATCCTTCTTGTCGAGGTCTTACCAGTCCTCAAGCTACAACCCTGAAATATCATCTTTTTTTCTCACCTACTGAAGGGGGTGCGGCATCTAGACCTTCATCTTGTTACGGATGTTGCTGTATCGACTCTGGGGGTAGTCGAGCATGTTATTCGAGAGCTCCAGCGACCCCATGGCATTCCCAACAGCCCCGACAAGACTCTCCCCGCCCGTCTTGTCGCCGGCGGCCTCCCAGAACATGGCGCCGCCGAGACCCTGCTTTCGGATGTAGTCGGCCTTCATCAGGCCGACGGGGACGTTGTCGAACGACACGAGCTCCTTGGTGGTGGCATCATAGGACCACGCTGCCCCGGCTTGGGTGTCGATCTTGACCTGAGCACCCTGGCGAGGGAGGTCGCGGTAGAGCCAGACGCCAGGGTCGGAGCCGGTGTTTGAGGCGACTCCCTGGTACGGCTGCCCCGGCTGCGCGACGGTGTTGAGGAACGAGCGTCCGTAGAGTGGCAGTCCCAGAACGATCTTGCCCGGAGAGACTCCACCCTTGATGTAGTCCTTGACAGCCTGGTCGGTGTTGAACTTGGTACTCTGCGGGTTGGCACTGCTGTAGAATAGATTGGCGGCGTGTCCAGTAGTGGTGTCCCAACTGCCAGCATAGTCATAGGCCATCAAGTTCCAGGTATCAACATATTGATCCATGGCCTTCATGTTCAGGAGTTTATACTTTTCAGGGCCCGCTGAAACGGCGATCGTGAGGGGGTAGCGGTAGTTTTGGTTGTTGTCCCTCGCATACTTATCGAGGGCTGCTCGGCAAGCCTGAAGCAGGAGCACGAAGTTACTGGCATCAGCCTGATTCTCGGGGTATTCCCAATCAATGTCGAGGCCATCGAAGCCCCAGTCACTCATGAGCTGGACAGCACTCGATGCAAATCGTTGACGGCCGGCCGCCGTGTTTGCTGCGGCTTGGAACTTTCCTTGCTGGGAGTAGGTGTAGCCCCCGATGGAAAGCAGAGTCTTGAGGTTTCGGTACTTTTGCTTGAGGAGATAGAGCTGCTTTACGTTTCCGTAGGCGTTGGAACCCGAGGATTCCTGAGAATCTCCAGAGTAGCGAATTTGATAATCTGCCCAGGGATCCGCAGAGATTCTGTTAAGGTTGCCAATTAGTATCCTGGGTAGAATTTGAGATACTCTCGATATGAGTAAAAAGAAACTTACACGCTCCCATCTGATCCGATATCTCCAAAGGCGTATAGAATGTGCGATACTTTGTTTACAGACATATCCTGGGGCCGGAACTTTTGGCCATAGATGGACCTGTTCTCAGAATTAGCAAAGCCAACGTTAAACAGAGAGAGAGATAGCGGCCGAGCTTACCAAGCACCAAAGTAGAGCATGTTCTTGGGGCCACTGACTGGTGGCGGCAACGGAGTTGGAGTCGGAGTCGGAGTCGTGCTCTTGCTAGATACGGGTGTTGTTATGATCCGGCTCGAAGTAGGCGATGGAACGGTGGAAGTTATAAATCCGGATCTGACACCACTTGGAGCATAACCAAGCGGCGTCTGAGGCCCAGGAGAGTAACCGGGTGTGCCAGGAGTTGCTCGAGCCGTAGAGGTAGAAAAGATCACTCCAGGGCGAACGGAGTTCTGAGAGGAGGTCTGACCTGGAGGAGAGTAGTAGTCATAATTGGGTAGATCATAACTAGATGAGTCACAAGGACATGGGAGTTTCTGTGCTGATTTGGGGGGGATTGGGGCTGCGCTACGGGCAGGCTGCGTGGTAGTAGTGAGAGACGTGATGATTGTGGTGACTGTTCCATCTGGGCAGCCTCTTGGAAGTAAGTCGGCCTGTTCTGCCAGAGCAACTGGCGCCAGAAGGGCGATAAACAAAGAAGCCGTGAGCATGGTAGCCGGGCTTCGAAGCTACCACGATGCTGACTCTTGGGGAATAACGAGCGAAAGCAGAATCCAAGTTAACCAAACGAATGTAGGAGGCAATCCTTGTGAGATGGAGGGTATGAGGATTCTTCTGGAAGCGAAGGAGGCAGGTCTAATGGAAAACAATTGAACACCTAGGCACCAGAAGAGATGTCACTGAACAATAGCGAAAGTGAGAAGCAGATACGGTTCTTGAATACTTTTTATTCCTAGCCTGAGCTTAGTGTGAAGAGAGACTGATAGTAGACATGGACATATTTTTGGTGGGACGTCTCACCAAGACAGATGGAATGGCCGCTCTCTGGAATGGGCAGCCACCCATTTAAACTGCAACGGCCATCGGTTGTTAACAGCTGGTGTCAGTTGGGCAGTGGAGACTAATGTCACGAACGGTCCTAGAACATGATCGACGGAGATCTCTCCCACGAAGCATTACACGCAGCATGCAGCGGATGGGAGAAAGACCTTTGCTCGCAGCAATCAACCTGGAAGGCCATATCGCGGCCCGTGAGACGTCCCCGTCGCATTACTGTGACGCGAGGACTAAGACAGCAAGATCAATATCCAACAATGGACAAGAAACCCCGGTTTGCTTGTTAGTTGTTTGCGTGGACGGCTGAAGTTGCCGACAGCACACCTGGAGACGGTAAGTTTGCCGTCGGCGTGGCTGGCTCCTAAAGATGGGACAGAGGACGGGATCACTCACTCGAGCCACATCATTCCGATCCTCAACTAGTTTTCAATAGGTGATAGCTCATTGTTCCCATATGCTATACATTGCAATGCCTCCCAGGGGCAAAGTCAGTGATCGACAATAGTCCCGTTGTATGGCTGGCATCCACTGCTTATGGAAGTGCAACATCAAAATCCAGGAACGAAAGGGGGCTGAGGCACTGCGGGCCACCTTGTCAGGGAGCCCCAATATTGCTTCTACTGCTTCCCTTTCCTCCACCCACCCCATCCTCCGGAGCCAGGGCAATGAGGCGAAGCTGGACCGATGCGGTTGCCTGCAGGGCCCGGACCCTTCTGTTGGCACCTCGTCTCCATCTCGACAAATGCAATGACATAGTGGCCTCCGGTTCCTGTGACTTGTGAGTCTGCACAGGGAGGGACTTTGGTGGTCATTAAATGAGGCACATTCTTCGTAGGGGCGGAGACAGTCAAGGGAGCTCCAAGCCCACTTGTTGGTGGAAGTTGGATGGCGGAAGTACGAGCCAGCAAGAGGCGAGTAGAATTAAGCTTAAAGTTAAGGTGTACCGAATACTTACAAACCCACGCACATTGCACACAGACATCCGTACACAATACATATTGCCATGCATGTCCTAAGGCACGTCTAGGTTAGGCAGGTGCGCGCACATCCCAGCCCTCACGTGACCTTGGGCTGAGATCGCTTCGAGGCGATGTGGGAGACATCACCCGGCCATCCAGCGCCCATCTCCCGGGGGCCGTTACATATCTGGCCACGGCCGCCTCTGATCCTGGGGTATGGCACCGAGAATGGCAGCCTATCTTCCTCGCAGTCGGCCGAGTGCCGTCGTATCCGACGCAAAGCCACAATCCGGAGCGTCACATGTCCGTCAGCAGCATGGATTCCCGGAATATGTCCCCACATCAGACCGGGGATTGCAGACAATAAAGCAATGTGAATGGACGCATCTGCAAGTGTTCGGGCGAGAATCCCCGTATGAATAATATTGAAACTCCAGCAGGGCGAGCCCAATCTCTTGGCATTGAACCGCCAATCTTGGAGTGGCTTCTAGGCTGAGTATAAATTGATCAAATGTCCCCTTGAAGAGTGAGCGCCTCTGCTCTTAGATATCATTTCTGAATCGTTAAATTCGTTTGCTTCGTCTCATCGAGCTCAGCACCCCAGCCCGTTCAACTTAAAATCATGCGCACAAGCATGGAGCACCGTCATGTCTTCCAATGCGTCCATCCGTTCTAATGTCTCCAACAAGACTGCCCAGCCGATTCGTTACGGCTCCGATCTTTTTAACTATGACCAGCGGTCCTGCGCAAGCCAGATTCTTCTCACTGGCTCAAATGCGCGTTCCCAGGTCGAATATGATGAATATGTTGTCTATCGGAAGATAGATGATTCATCTCATGATGCAGCGTCAGGCAAGTATAAATGGCCGCAACATGGTGATAATCATATAGCCCACCGGTATAGTAAAGACCATACCTCTGGGGCCGCCATGTTGGACCTTGCCTTCAGGCATGGCCATAGGCTGGATCGTAACGTACGTTCTATACCAGTTTCTTTTCATCTTAACAAGCAGTAGTTCGCGCTGTTTTACGCCATCTTTTCCAAGCAAGCATCAGCTTCGTTCCTGATATCAAGCTAACAGCTGAGAAGGGCAATTTCACAGCAGCCGATGATGAAAATGATCCCCAGGATGACTCTGTGGGGAGCATGCTTGGCCGTGTTCGCAGAGTGTAAGCAGCCTTACCTCATTCCCTGCCTCTGATGCAGCATGTTAATTCATACCTGGCAGAATCTGCTTTCGCCGCAGCTCTAGGTTAACTGGCACACCAGACCAACTCAGTATGACTGCTGAGGATCTTGCTGACCTTGATCTCCATCCGGCGACTTTGCAATACGCAACCCGAGTTGCAACCGAGTCCCGATTTTGGTCGAGAGACCGCTCAGTGCTGAGTGAGTGTTGGATCAAAGCATAACAAGTCACAATCTCAAGGGCTAATGAACCACCAACTAGGCCTCATTCTATCGTTCTCAGAGACGCCTCAAACCCCATGTGACTTTCTTTCTATGACATACAATGTTGATACCCAGTCAACAACAATATTGATTAGACAGTCCTGGGAACCCCGTAGACACAGACTAGATGAGCTAGATGATGAATATGACCATCGTCTCGAGTCGTGCCGAGATCACTGGGCACACCCTCTCGTCATGCCTGTCATTCTCTTGCAAGTCGATTTTGTGCGCTGTGAGGAAGCTGTCGCCGAGAACACTCTGGACGTCATTCATCTAGAGCAATTGGTCATCGGCGCCCACGGGTCTGGTTCAGGCATGGAAAAGCTGTCAAGGCGACACTCTAACCTGAGCAGAGACGACAACAAGGTTGACCACTACGGCCCAATGAACATGGCAAGTCTCATGAGGAGAGCCCACGAAGTCCTCAGAGGTACTATCAAGCTGCTTGATACGATTCGCTGGATGGAGCGGGCTGTCAAAATTCTGATGCTCTCCGGTGATGAGATTTCTGATCGAGTTTCAGCGTTTGGTTACGCGTCATCCGTCAAGGACTTGAATATGGGCGGTGACAGGTTCGGGAACTTTGAGAGGCAGCCCTCGCCTCTGCCGACCCTTCAAGTCCCTGGCCTGGAACCCCTATCCCCTGGTATTGCCACCCCGTTCACTTCCGATAGTGCTGGCGAGCTCAGCATCCATTGGCATGAACTTAGGCAGTACCTGGAGGGTCTGCTCCGCCTGTCGATGAGTTTGGAGACGGAACGGCGCATGGCTGAAGCCAGATGCCGCGCCCAAATCGACATCGTGAGTATTATATATCGTGAAGGAGACAGAATCAAGATGAGAAATAGTTGCTTACATCACACAGATCTACAGTAGAATGGCCCAAGAGGACAACGCGTTGAATGCTCGGATGGCGGTAGCATCCACCAGAGACAGCGCTTCGATGAAAGCCCTAGCCGTCATCACAGCCATATTCCTCCCCGGAGAGTTCATCGGCACTCTGTTTGGCATGTCCATGTTCGACTGGCTGGCACCCAGCAAGGATGATGACAAGACCGCCGCCGCCGGCGCTCGTGATGAGCCGGAGTCGGATGAGATCCTGAGCCACCAGTTCTGGGTGTACTGGACTATTGCCATCCCCCTCACCATGTTCATCATCTGCGCCTGGCGAGCTTGGTGGGTTATCCAGGATCGGTACTTCCGTCGGCACCTATCCAGGGAACTCAGCGAGGAGCGCTTCTGGACCGAGGATGGAAAGCCCAGGAACCTGGAGCGTAGTTTTATCCATGACTTCTTCTATCTCTCCGCACGACGTGATGAGAAGGCCTCAGTCCCTAGAGGCGTGGAAGGCTGGCCAGCCTCGATGCCAGACAAGGACGGGATGGAAGGGTTGACTCGGGTTCAGACCAGAGCTTCTGAAACGAGACATCGCCAGATCCTTACCGCGAGACAGACCAGCATCAAGCTAACCTCTAATGCGGCCTGAAAAAAAAAGACGGCAAGAACAGTCGCAGCCCATCAATACTCTAATCTCTCTTGGTTAGCTTTCTCCGGACTTTCCCGCGAGAACATCACAGGATGCGGTTAAGATATAGCTTGGGCAAACGCGTTATCACTTATTGCACCAACAGGACCGTAAGTATTTTATTATTTAAATTGTATGTACCAATATATCACGTATTTGAAGTTAAATGGAAAGCCCTCGATTATCCTTTAGCTCGGTGACGATGGTAAATCTACCCAAACGGTATCGCCCACTTGAATAACTGGATGTTGTGTTTCATTTGTTTCGGTTCGTCCTTTATGATTCAGTGCCATGTGTGATCCAAAGTAAACCTTTCCGCCGAACCTTCGTGTTTTAGACAATGTCGTAAAGGGCTCCTGTCGCTTCTCGCCAGTGGACTGATCAACACAAACCATCTGGCACCTTTGACAAGCACCTAGAAGTTTGAAATTATGTTGTCCAATATGTAACGATCGCCACGTATCTTCAGAAAATGGCGGATGATGTTCCCTTAAATTGGAAGAATCAACAACAATGTTGGCCCGGAATACAGCGGCATCAACTGGGGGGTCTCCCTGGCGCATGATGTCTCTATTCAGTGCTTCGACACTGGACTCGTGAATCATCAGGATAGGACTCTCGTTGGACAAAAGGATCTTGCTACCCTCTGGCTGTTCAGAATCCGATTCTGGTGGAGATGGTATGTCGGGGAATGCTCCAGGAAGCCTGCAAGAATGCTTCTGCAGCTGATGTGACTGCATCCGCGCTTTTGAGGAGCGGCTACTTGACCCTTGGCCTCCTGGCGGAAAACGAGAGAGAACACACGGCACATTTAACACCTCTGAGAAGAACCCATTTATCTCAGCGGAAATATACCTGTGTGCTGATATTTTGTCCCCACATACTCGTGATGCCATCTGGCGGTCGGCTTTATCGAAGAGGGCAGGATTATTTGACAAGGGAACTGAAACCTGCTTTCTTGGAGTTCCTTTGTAATCGACTCTAAGAAAGCCAGTCTCAAAGTCCAAAACTGGCCGGAGAAGAGCCATTTTCGGGTATCGTTTCTGGCTGAGAGCTTGGCCTGTCCCCGCGTGGACTAAACACCATTCACGATCCCAAGCGAGACCTTCGGATCGAATCTCCCAGGGCATATGGGCCGGGACGACAAACCCTCCACAGCTTTTTATCGGATATACTGTAATCGTTTTGACAGACAGTGACGGCTGTTTCCCGAGAGAATCTACTTCTCTGGTCAACATTCCAGGCCCTTGAACCTTGGCCTCCACGAAGAACTCCTGCACAAATGCCAGGAACTTCTCGACGTCTGACATTGTGCTCATGGCCCCTAGGCTGACCCTTATCACCCCGGTTGGTTTACCGCCCATGATATCGTTCTCTGACCCGCAACGAAGTCCATTCGAAAAATTTCTCTTCATCTCCCATGGTTCTAAATTCAATGCCGATGATATCCCTCCGGGGCTGCACATCGCTCCAGTGCGTAAATGAAATTTCCGAACAGCAGCTAGCTTTTCAAATTCGACAAGGCTGACCCATGCTCCAGCAGAGTTTTTGATGTTAAATGATACAACAGGGCCCATGTCAGGCGTAGATGGCAATATGTCGGACTGTTGGCTCGGGTAGATGATGCAGACTGGGGTCCCGTTTCCATGTAACATGTCTCGTAACCCGGAGCGTAAAGACAAGGACAGGTTTTCAGTGTGTTCCTTGACTTGCATCATGGATCCAAACAATCTCTGATGAACTGTGAGTGCGATATCAAGTGCCAGGATGTTGTGGAATGGAAGTGTGCCATCCTCTAGTCTGTCGTGTAATGATTCGCTTTTTGGGACTTGCCACTCTTCCTTACCGCATAGTACTAGGTCTACAGTACCTCCTCCAAAGTATTTCCGGAAGTCAAAGATGTTTTCGGCTTCACGCCGAACGATCAATGCTCCCAAGTCAGGGAAGCCAAATATCTTGTAGAGGCTCAGCACAGTGAAGTCTGGTGCTGTATCTGGCTTGCTTAGGTCTAAAGGCGATGTGGCAACAAAAGATGCCGCATCAAGTAGAGTGAACACGCGTGCATCAGAGGAAACACGACCTACGTCCTTTATAGACTTGGACCATGACAAGGGATACCTGCGGCCATCCATGTGTGATTGGGCCGTGTAGGCAACCAAGGTTGGGGACTCGGGGTTCGAAAAAGCTGCCAAATGTGTGCCATCTTGTGTCCAAGAATCGAACGCTGCATCGTCAAGACAGGTACTCTTAGTCGCCTCTCCACGGATTCCTACAAGACTTGTGTGGCAAGCTTGATGGTAGGCATAATGGAAGCCTCGGGGCTGGGTACGAAACCCTTCAGTAACCAGCCTGACACCAGCAGTGGCATTTGCCACGAAGATGAGATCAAAGTCACAGGGATCAGCATGGAAGAAGCTCAGCAGCCGCAGACGGATGTTTTCAATCCGCGAGGTGGAACTCTGGGAGGGCACCGAGGCGGAGTGAGGATTTCCAAAAAGAGTAGAAGTCATCTCAGCAGCGAATTCATCCATGAGACTTTTGGAGTAAAGCGCGGCACCAGCATGGTCGAGATACGTGGCATCTGTGTAGTACGCTGGTCAGTGATTTGAGTAGCGGAATGAAGATGCATGGGAAAACAACCTTGAAGCATGGGATACTCCCGCTGCCGCATGTTTGCAACAGCTTCATTGTAGGAGGAGACATTGGATATGCCAGATGGCAGTGCCGACTCCATTATCCACTAGGATTATGAGGAAGCGGATCAGGTCCCCAAACAAGAGCCAGTCAGATGGAAACGGGGTTTAATAATCTGGCGTCGAGCCTGAATCTGGGGTAGATGCGAAGGGGCCCAGATGGTGGTCTTTCCTCATCGACACCGGCACCTGCTTATCCTTAGGTTTCATGGTATCTCCACGCCAAGGCTATCGCGAGGAAAGAAGGGGCTTGTTGGTAATATGAACCGTGCTTCTTATAGAACCGAGACCGACAGGATGATAGATAAGTGTCTCCATCCAAGTGCTTCGTGCCCTTGTCCAAGGAAGTTGGGGTCATCGTCCCAAGTGGGGGAGCCATCGGAAATCGCCACCTTCCATTCCAGTGACGGATCCAAAACCTATTGGATTGGCTGGTTGCTGCTAGACGGAAAGAGCAGGTAGCACAGTGTTTCAATGGGCGTTGCGGCCGGTTGCGAAGGTCGGCTAGGCCTATATCGCACTAAGCTCCAGATGTTTGAGTGGTATAACAGTGCGAATTCGAGGGCCAGTGGACTTCCCCAGGCTGCATTGCAGCTTACATACTCCGTACCTTACCATGTTTTCTCTAGCCCGGATTTCGCGGAGGTACTCTCAGGCGACGCTCTGCCGGGTAGGTACTTTGACTGACACTGGTGATCTCCATACCCCCTTGTGAGTTGGCCCTCGGCTGTCCAATGAACGCATCGCCCTACTCACCGCGGTGCCTTAGGTTCACTAACAGTGGTACGTGGGTTCTGTACCTTCTTCTGTTCCTGGAGCGGTCCCCGTCCCATCTCCCTGCCGAAAGCTTCACCTGCAAGCCTCACCACCTTCTTCTTCAACGCGTTGTTTGTTTGACAGGCGCGCAATCACGAAATCGCGCAGTCAGCTCTTAATGAGCAGCGCTCCTCATTAATGTTCGTTGCCCTTTCTCCATTTGATATCTCTCTTTCGAGTGCCACGCTTCTTCTGCCTTATTCTTCTCTGCTCTGCTCTCCTCGTGGTCCCTACCTTCCTTCCTCATCCTGGATTGATTCTATGCCTCCCTTCCACACCTACACCTTAACCCCATCTAATTTGTCTTCTCTTTCTTCTACTATGGATCCTCTTTTTGATTTCTGGACATTTGGTTCCAGCAAGGGCTCGCCCTTGCCTCATATTTGTTCCTTTGTTCCCGTTCCTCCGCCCTCGCTTTCTCACATCCTCCGCAAGAGAGACATTTCTCTAACATTGAATCAATTCGCGAAGCAGTAACCAGTCGCAATTCTATCCACGATAGCGCTCGAGAAAGTACATACAATTACGACGAAGAACGAGACGCGCAAATCCACCCGGATCTCCATGGGCCCAGTCCACTAAGTTACGATGGACTCATACTCGTCATACAGAGAAGGGGGTGCGCGTTCTCCCAGCGAGAGGACTTGGGCGCGTGATGAATCAAGAGGCAGAGAGGACCGGGCCGAGAAGCCCTACCGTGCGAGGTCGCCAGGTATGTTTCATGATCCAAGAAACTAGGCTTTAAGCGCCTCATCAACTCGTTGTGCCAGTTTTTGTCGCTCACGTTTTACGTACAGGCCAGGATCGCCGAGATCGACGCCGCTCTCGATCCCCCAGCAACATCGATCGCTACGAACCCAGATCACGGAGAGATGACCGCGACGACCGCCGTCGCATTGGCTCACCCCCTGCGAATATCGATCGCTATGTTCCTGGTCAGGAAAACAGCGCTCCGACCCCGGTCCAAAACCCCCTAACCGATCCTGGCCGTCTCCCGTACCAAGTGGGATTCTCCTACTACAGCGAGTGGTGGAGAATGAACGAGAAGGTCAAAGAGGAAAAGGAAAGGGCTAGGACTGGTCGTCGTCGCGAACCTGAGAGGGCCCGAGGTGCTCGGGAAGTTGCAGAGGAGCGTGAAAAAGAAAAGACAAGGATTCAGGCTGCCTACAACACGTACAAAGAAGACCTCCAAGCAAAAATGGCACGCACCTTCGTCTCGGAACATAAAAAAGAGCAATGGTTCAGGGAAAAATACGTCCCGGAAGTGAGGGACGCCTTCCGATCCAAGCTCAATGAAGTTAGGCGCAGTGCTTACCATCAATGGGAGCAAGATCTGGAGTCGGGTACTTTTGACGAATTCTCCCTCGAGGGCATTCCTAAGGCCGACAGTAATGGAGCTGGCGGAGTTGCTGAGAAGGAGGAAGGCGAAACAACGGCTGCAAGCGAGATTCTCGGAGTCGGTGATCTCAATCCTGGCATTGGTGCCGACATTCGAGACGAGAATCAGTTTCAGCCAACTCTCCTGATCAAAACTATTGCCCCTCATGTTAGTCGAGAAAACCTGGAATCTTTCTGCAAGGAGCATCTTGGGGAAGAAGAGGGTGGCTTCAAATGGCTGTCTCTATCTGATCCCAATCCCAGCAAGCGATACCATCGTATCGGTTGGGTAATGCTCCACCCTGCCTCTGAGACTGCGATGGCTATAGATAGGCCTGACCCCAAGGATGTTGACGGTGACGAGCCACTCAGTTCGCCCAAGCCGGTCTCGACCGCTGAAAAGGCTCTGGAGGCTGTGAATGGCAAGACAGTCAAGGACGAGGTTCGAGGTGACTTTGTCTGCCATGTCGGTGTTCACACTCCTCCAGCTAGTCCTCGAAAGAAAGCTCTCTGGGACTTGTTCTCTGCACCTGAAAGGGTGGAAAGAGACCATGAGCTCGTACAGCGCTTGGTGAACTATTTCGAAGAAACCTTCGGCTCTGATTTCCAGGCGATCCTGAGAGTAGAGGAAAAGGTAGAGAATTTGAGAAGCGCAGGTCGCCTTCAGCCCCCGGCTCCTACGACCACAGCCTCCAAGTCGACCAAGACTCGTGTGCCTGATAATGATGAAGACATGGACGCTGAAGTTGGCACTGTGCAAGAGGAGGACGAAGAGGAAGGCGCAATTGAAGATGAAGAGGTTGACGATGAGGCTCTTCTCGTGAAGAAGAAGGAGCTCGATCTTTTGATCGAGTATCTGCGACGAGTATTCAACTTCTGCTTCTTTTGCGTGTTCGAAAGTGACTCGGTTCATGAGCTCACTCGAAAGTGTCCCGGCGGCCATCTCCGCCGTCCTCGCTCCACTCTATCATCTGCTGCTCGAGCCGTAGCAAGAGCTAGCGCCAGTGGGGAGCCTTTCCCTGAAAAGAAGAAAGGCGATAGCATGGAGGAAGGTGAAGATGGAGAGGTGGCAGACCTTGAGAATAAAAAGTTCCGGGGTTCTACCAATAAAGGCGAACAGCAATTGCTCCGAGCCTTCAACTGGGTTAAGACTTTTGAAGACAAGCTTATGCAGATTCTTGACCCACAGGCTGTTGACATTCGGAAGCTTGGCGGACGCCCCATCGAAGAGGCTATTGATGAAGAGCTATTGAAACACGTCAAGCAAGAGGACGAACACAAATGGAGATGTAAGGTTCCTGAGTGTACGAAACTCTTCAAGGAGGAGCACTTCTGGAAGAAGCATGTGGAGAAGAGGCATTCAGACTGGCTCGAGGGCCTCAATCAGGAGGTAAGTGCAATTCTGTGCGCAGCTCGCTTGCAACGTATTAATCACTAACTTTGGTGCAGTTCGAGCTTATAAATGCCTACATTTTGGATCCGGCGCATATTGCTCCATCGAGGACTGACGCGAACTCTAATGGACACTTCCCTCAACCGAATGGACAAACCGCCCCTGGCACACCGAGAGGATTCAATCTCCAAAACTTCTCAATGAATGGCATGATGGTCCCAGGCTTTAACATGGCAGGCGGCAACTTCCCTCCTTTGTTTTCTGGGATGCAGGCTGGGTGGAACGCCATGGGAGATGACCGTTCAGGAGGACCCATCCGCAGGGGAGGTATGGGTGGTAATCGCGGCCAGTTCCGATCTGGACCATACGACCGCCGTGGTGGAAGATATGACGGTGGTAGAAATCGCACAGGCGGGTCACGCTGGGGCGATGGCGCAGGTGCAGCAGCAGGTGGGCCAAGGGAGGCAGTTCAAGGTCGGAGCTTGAAAAGCTACGAGGATCTTGATCACGTCGCTGGTGGGGGCAGCGGTGAACTGAATTATTAAGTTCGACAGCCAATTGGCGTTGGAGGTGACTTCGTGGTCTTTGTTTCAAGAGGGAGTACTTCCATTCATCAGGCGGTGAATATTCTATCTCCGACATCGAGAAAAAAGAGGGTAGAGAGACGTGCGATCTAAAGGCACGGGGACAATCTAACAATCCGCGACACAGATGTCAATCCTATAAGGGTTCTATATTAGAAGCCTATGTTTTGTTGTACAGAAAGATCGGGCGTCATATGTACATTCATAGTTTATGAATTTCAGCTAATACTCAAATTGATTTCATCTTCTTAATCAGAACTGCAGCTCACTCCAATAACATGGTGCCTAAGTAGGTATTCTAGGATACAAGTACTCTACTACCTACCTACTTAACGGAGTCTGAGAGTTGAAAATAATTGGGGCGCATTTCAAATTATGCGTGAGAATGAGAAGCAGCCAATAGCGTATCCCGATAAGAACGCTGTCAATCATGTTGTCTCCACACCCCGCCATCTCACCAACTTGACTTTTTTTTTGTGAGATCGATTGTTATCCACTATCCACTCATTTCCCTTCTGCTTTATGACCCCGTTCGCTCAATTGCCAAGCGTTGCTTTGATTGTTTTCCGTTGAAGGATTTTTTTAGAATCGAAAATAGAGAAAGAGACTTCCACCATGGGTCTCCTGGCAGAAGCTAAGACGTGAGAGGCTTCAGTCAAACTACATTTTCTTTCGTTGCTAACCCAATCCCGTTGCACAGTCGACGGAGAATAAACCATGATCCGAACAACACCAAATGGACCCGTGACGAGACGACATTCGGCCAGAAGATCCTGCGATCCCAGGGATGGCAGCCGGGCGAGTTTCTGGGCGCCAAAGATGCCCCTCACTCGGAGCTACACACGGCGGCGAGCGCATCCTACATAAGAGTCTCTCTGAAGGATGATATGAAGGGCCTGGGATTCGACAAGGCTAAGGACAACGAGATCTCAGGACTCGACGCATTCACAGATCTCCTGAGCAGGCTCAACGGCAAGTCCGCAGCGTCGGTAGAGGAGGATAAACAGGCCAGGATGGTGGTCAAACTAAACCGCTACGTCGAGCAGAAGTTTGGGCCCATGCGTTTCGTTCGGGGCGGTCTGCTAGTTGGAGACGAGCTTAAAGAGGAAGAGGAAACGAAGGAGTCTCCAGAAGAGACGGGGTCAACCCTGGCGGAGCAGAAGGAGGAGGCCGAAGTACCGCAACAAAAATCCAAGAAGCGCAAGGCATCGTCGCAGTCTGAAGAGGATGAAGAAACCTCGGGCAAGGATTCCGAGTCCAAATCGAAGAAACGCCGCAAAGACGGGGAGAAGAAATCCAAGAAGAAGTCAAGTGGTGAATCAGAAACCAACGACAGCAGCGATGTTGCAAGGAAAGAGAAGAAGAAGGACAAGAAGGACAAGTCAAGACAGCACAGCGCTGCAACTTCAGCAGATGAGTCGGAGAGCACCGAGCGAGCCTCCAAACGGAAGTCAAAGACTGACTCCTCTGCTGACGACGAGGGAGATGACACAAAGGAATCTAAGCAGGCCAGGAAGGAGCGAAAGGAGGAAAAGAGGGCAAGAAAGGAGCTAAAGAAGCTGGAAAAGAAGGAGAAGAAGGACAAGAAAGAAGAGAAGAAGCGCAGGAAACTTGAAGGCTCTGACCGAGAAAAATCATCTTCTGCTACACCTTCAGGCTCTGGAACCTCTACACCACGAGGTAACGCACTCATGGTACGGAGCCGGTTCTTAGCAGCAAAGCGAGAGGCGATGCTCAACGACAATTCAATCAACAAGGTGAGGGAGAACACTGCATACAGGGCACGAATGTTCTGGTCTAAGCTAACCTCATTCTCAGATCTTCATGGTCAAAGCATAAGCGTTGTTGTTTTCTAGACTGTCGTACTCGAAAAGAAGTGATAGAATACTACCAAAACGGTGTTAGCAGGATGGGTGCATTATTTTGGAGTTCTAGCTGGTAATTACGGCGCTCAGCATAGTTGGTTCTATGTTTTCTCATTATTTATATTCAAGTAGATAGGCACCTATTCAAATAAAATAGACATCCTATGCGCCCTACAAGCGCTATCAATCCTCAGCCAGTTATTTGTGGTCGGGGAATGGGGCATAAACGGAGTTGCATCAGGCAGCAAATCGTCTGACCCAGGCATCTATCTTGCTTTACAGGCTTCGACCTGAGACGTGTATGACCAGCCACCGTACAGATGCCTGTCTACTCGCCTTCTACCTACCTACCTAGGTAGACATGTACAAGCTTGTCGGGAATGGCAGGACTTAGCCGGACCCAAAGCAGCCAACATATCGCAGTCTGGGGCCTGCCTTACCCTACTAACTGAATGGCAGAAGAAATAAGACATCAAAGTGAAGAGCAGCCATAAGTAGTTCAACTTTTTTCAATTAATAAGATAACAAAGCAATATAGACCAACATAAAATAATGACGATGTGTAGTGTGCTGTCTTTTGGGCAGTGATCATTGGCTCGAAAGATATGAGCCAGTCGCTACCTCTGCATCAGAATAATGCTTCAGTGTAACGATTTCCCCCCAACTACCTAGCACCTATGTCTCCTGATCTTTTATGCCGTAGAAGGGTCTATCTTGGACAGTATAAACCTCACAAAGTCACTCTTTTTGTTCCCTCGATTGCTGCCAAGCTACGCCGGCGAAGATATATGCCGAGTAGAGCAAGCCACGCACAACATGAGAATTACTATCAGGAGTTACTACCTTCTAAATTACCTATTACCCAATACCTAATGCCGCACATATGTCTGCAAGGTTCCTCAAAGTCTCGCGAATTACACTTCCGCCATCATGCGTTGATACCTGAGGTTTAAATGTGTGGCAGCCGGTGGCGCCTGCCCGCCAGAGAGTATTAAAGCGCTGCCTCCCACTTCCTCACTTCTCACCTTCTTCTCTCTTCTCCATTATTCCATCCTCACACCAAGTCACCTCGATTTCTCCCCTTCATCGCCGCTTCTTCAAATAAAGCTGGCCAGCATGATTCCCATACCTTGAGAAGGTCGAGAGAGCCACAAGTTGCAACATTATGCTCCTCTCACTCTCCGTTTTATTTTCCTACCAGCACTGAGAATGCCTGGAATTGATCTCATAAGGGTGGCCACCTCTGTAGCAGTCCCATCCGCTTCATCGAGCCTATGCTTCACCTGTGGTTCATCAGCGCAGCTCCGGTTCTTGCCCGAGATGCCCTAGGAACAGACGTGGATTCCATCGCCTTGGGCAGAAATAGTCAGATTGCCGAAGACTTGGACGTTGACACCTCTTCAGCAAGGCTTCTCTACGTCAATCTGGGATCCTATAATTGTCTCTAAGCCACCATCTCAAAGGCATATTTCCAACACTTGCGCCACCGTCCTTTTTCTACTCTTCTAACCTTTCTCAAGGGCCCATCGAATATGTAATGGCCAAAGATGGCAACAGTCATGACCGGGCCGTCGCAGGTGCTCTAAATTGTCGACCCAATTTGGATTGTTTGTCCTGGGCAGGACATTAAAAGGCCCAACCTGTGCGGAGATTGTCATCTCTGTCACAATTCTGAGGATCCGCAATGCGCATCCTCATACCCCCATCGCTGGACTCGTTAGAGTCTGGTATTATGTTTCCATGTTTTCGTGGCAGTATTTCTCGGGGTTCATTTCCATTCTTCCATATCGAATTCTTGAGGTTTTGATTCCTCAGGACTCGCAATGGCCAAATGGCTCGTCTCGTGCAGCCGGTTTTTTTCTTCAATCGATTCGAAACATCCGACCAGGTAGAACCAGATGTGGCAAAATCTAGCCTTTATGCAGCGACTGCATAGGGGAATGCAGTGGGAAGAGTCATTGGGCTCGTCACATCTAAGAAGGGTTCGCGGGGCGGTATATAAGAATCGAGGCTTTCGACTCAATAGGCTCTTTTAGAACTTGAGTCACACGCAGTACCAGTATGTAATTTCCTTCTTTCTTTTTTCCCTCATCTCTAACATTTTTGCAGGTTTCTTTAGGGAGCTGGTTCTATCCTCCTCAACCCTTCGGGTGAGGGATCTATCATCAAGAAACATCTGACAGGAGCTACGTTTCTACTCCAGTATCAATTTTGTCGGCTCGCGGGCAATGACGACGATATTGTACTCAGATGCTCGTACCATTATGTATTGATATAGCCAAGAGGCAACGCCCACCAGTCAAGGATCAGCATGAACCGAGCCACAGGTTCCTCAGAGCGACTTTGTCTCCGAGGCATTCCAGGTGGCACTGGTGGAAACTTCTAGATTAACATCTTTTCTGAAGGGGATAGGCGCGATAGTAAGTGTCTGACTAGGTTTAGCCAGGCAACTTTGCCCCGGAGCCAGCATCTCGGACTCGGCCGAGGAAGATGGTCATGATCTCGATTACTATTTGTTCTCAGGGATTATGGATCTAGAAGGGAGTTGAACAGGGCAGAGCTGGTCGCGCCGCTCACCTTGCGAGTATATCGCAATATCAATGCCCATTACCCGGCATATCACTTTCCGACAACGGTATTGAGCATCAACTTTATCTCTTCAACCAACTAAAGACAACACACATCATTCGCAAACCTTGTTTACTGCGTGTTTTCAAGACTTGCTGGTCTGTTTGAACAAATAGGCCATGTATGTCGTGTTTACTGTCAACTTCGACTCTTCACCAAAAAACGAAGGGAAGTAAAGGCGGAGCAAGAGATGAAAAGAGTGGAAACACTCCTTATCACATTTCAAGAGGCAACTTGAAATTAATTCATGCGAAAGGTGCAAACCTCCCAGCAAATGTCGCGAGCAGATCGGAGTACACAATTTTTTGGCAAGGAGGAACTGAGATAAGTGAGACTGGGTATTTGAGCTTGATGCATTGATCAAGACATGTGTTTACTCAATAACAGCCTAGATTCGAAACTTAAATCAATATTCCCAATTTAATGATCCCGAATGTCTGTGACTTCCAACTACAGTATTAATTGGATTCCCGCAGGACAGCTCTACAAGCGTGTGTCGACAGTAGCAGCGTAAACTTCAACTGCGGATTTTTCGCGAATAATTTTAATTCGTTTCTTAGATTAACAAGATATATATGCCCTCGCTCATGCGGCTATCATCATGATACCCTTCCTCTGGTTGACGAGCTCTTCTACTCTCAGATAATTTAGATAGGGCTCGGGTATGCGGTCTGTCCATCTAGATTGACGCAATTCGGGGACATGGCAGCGATTTCATCATTTAGCGTTACGTCCAAAGTTGCTGCACAAGGTAGTTAGTAGGACATTCTTGTGGCATGGAAGCTCCGCGATCAACCCAGGGTTGGAGAGGCTTGGGAATGGCAGAGCGGCAGTAACATACTTGTGGAACAGCTGTGAGAAGATGCCGCCCTTGGGCTGTTGGTCTGACATGCTCTCGCGACGGGTAACGTTTGCCTGTGAACCATGGTGCTGTTGAAGGCCTTCGAAAGCAGGCATCCAGCCAGAACTCTGTGATGGGACAATGTTAGCATTGGTACTGATACAATGTAATGCGGGGTCAAGAGTGTATCTGGACAAGGAGAGATGGGTGACTAACCCTGCGGCGAGCGCTGGTGGTGTTGTTCTTGTTCTCGACTGGAGGCGGTTGAGTCGATTCAGCCATGATGATATATTGCTTCAGGTCGATGAGGTTGATTGGGTTGTCTGTCGTTGGATTTTTGGGAGGAAATCGAGCTGTCTACATTCGTACGAGGAGAAATTATGAAGCTTAGGTGAAGGGAGGGGAAAGAAGACCAGCTGACGAGCCGGCATATAAGTACGCCGTGTGCATGCATGGATGAGAAGCCATTGTGACAAGGTTTCGGCGAACTAGGGGAACGAGTACCAATGACGTTCATGGACGAGAGCTGACGGCGTCGTGCTCGATTGCCCGTTTGGCTCGCTGTGGGAGGTGGCGCGCGCTCGCCTGTTGGAAGAGGGGAAGCAGCAAGTGACGTGCACGGGTGAGCCGAGACCCTCGATGGAAGCAGCAGGTATGATGATGATCAATCGATGTATCATTCTTGGGGTCCTCCTACTCGCGGTGCTGCTTTAGCACGAACGCATGAATGACTCGGAAGCAACGGTCAAACAGAAGTGGCATATCCCAGTCCATACGTCCAACTCGTGGGCGAGGTGACATGAGGTCTCAGACGGTATGGCGGATCCTACCATCACCATGCACCATTCCAGTTCGTCGAGCACTACAAAGCGATCATATGATGGCTATATTTCACACCTATAGAATCCTGAAAACAGCAGCGGAACCATACCGGTTCATGCTCCTCTGCGAACTGAGACATCGACAGCCGCCGCCTAGAGACAACGTTTGACTATTCGCCTTAGCTCGCGCCGTTCATCGCTTGGTCCCCTCGCACGATGGAGAGCGGGGTTGTCGGCATCATACCCTGACGTGCCGATCGAGGCTACGTTCCTGACCATTACAGCTAGCAATGGAATGGAAATTGATACCCTGCGGCCATCGAACCACTCGAACCCCAATCCAGGACAGCTCTGTCCAATGACGCTCATGGGTGGCCCTTTGTTGCCAATCACCATGCGACAACCCATTCAACAACCCGGCAAGATCCCGGCGGCATAAGTCAAAGCTACCCAATAGTACAATGAACGGTCCAACCAGCATTCAGTGATTTGAAGAGGATGGTGTAAGCGAGCATATCGAGTGTATCCACGGCTAGGTAGGATGGCTTACTATTCTTCCATCTCACTCATTAACTCAAGACTAGAATAGCCTCTAGTTGATTTGTCAATATGCTTCCATTCTTCTCCCCTGCAGATCACTACTATTAAGCAGTCACCTATGGGGCGATTCTCATTGTGAACACTCCGTCATACAAGCTGCTGGTGGATCGGCCAATCCGCTCTCGTCCCCATGTGTAGACTGTCTTTGGTACGATTCAGGTAATGATACTCGAGGACGCAATCATCAGGGTATCTAGCTCTTGTGCTTCTTTTGTCTTCTCTATATTCTCTTTTCTTATTTTGTTCTAGAAAGGTATCCGTCAGACAGATCAATCAAGCGTTGTCTCTACTCCTTCTCCAGCCGTACAGCAGGATTGCGTTTGATGAAACTCAAGTCTACCTTGTGGCCTAACAGCTCACGAATGTTGGAAATTTTGTACTTGATCATCGTGGGACGCTCTAGACTCAAGCCCCAACCAAAAACGCGCATATCTTTTGGCAGTCCCATGGGCTCCAGCATTTCTGGTCGGAACATACCACTGTTGCCAATCTCAACGAGCTTGCCCAATCCCTCATGGTAGCTGAAAATCTCCATACTGGGCTCTGTGTATGGGTTGTATGCTGGCTTGAACTTCAGGTTGGTGATTCCCATCTTGGCGAAGAAAAGCTCCATGAACTCCATCAATCCTCCTAGCGTCAGTCCGTAGTCGGCGATAACGCCTTCTACCTGGTGAAACTCTGCCAAGTGCGTAGCATCCACAGTCTCGTTACGGAACACTCGATCAATCGAGAAGTATCGGGCTGGAGGTGGGCGGCCGTCTGGGCCCTTCTGTGCTGCCAACTTGTAGAGCATGGCTGTTGAGATTGATGTGGTGTGCGTTCGAAGGACCAGCTTCAGGGATTCATCGGCAGACCAGGGGTACTTGTAACCGATAGACCCGTACTTGCCATTCTGATGTACCTCCTTCACGTTCTGCCAGTACTCTTCGGGATCCTGTCCCTCTACTAATGCCTCGGGCTTGCCACCGACCTTGGGATCGGCAATGAAGAAGGTATCTTGGAGATCACGGGCGGGATGCTGCTGGGGCACAAAAAGAGTATCGAAATTCCAGAATCCGGTCTCGACGAATTTGTTGGTAGGCATTTCCTCGAATCCCATCTCGAAAAAGATCTGTCGGAACTCGTGGCGTACTTTGTTGAGAGGGTGCAGTGAACCAGCGTCCTGGTCCGCTCCCAAAGCGTTGAAGTTGTAGGGCTTGAAGTTGGCAGTCTTCCATGCACCAGAGGCGAGCATCTCCGATGTGAGGTCGGTTTCCTCCTTGACCATCTCCAACGCAAACTTCTCACCCTTCTCCAACTTGAAATTCAAGACCTTCTGCACCTTGATCAGCTTGCGCTTCTTGAGATCAGTGACCGACGTGGCATCGGCGGATTTTCCCTCCTTCAGCTGCTGCAGTAAAGCTTGTGTGGTATCCTTAATCGAGTCGACCTAGAATAAGAGTAGAGATCTGAGTCAGTCGAGAGCATTCTCATTGAGATGAGGCAGTGGTGCGCATACTGTAGCAACCAGCTTTCCGTCCTTGCCCTTTCCAATCCACTTCTCCTTGAAGGCCCTTCCCCTGCCAACGCTGGCCACATTCTTGTCGCCAATGGTCGTCTCCAATTCCTGGATCGTCAACCCCTCCAAAGCCTGGCGCACCACCTCGAAAACCCGAGCTTCATGGCTACCCTGGGCAGCAATCTGCTCTGCCTCTGGCTCTAATATAACTTCCTCCTTGTCGATAGTCTGGTATGTGATCATGGATCGCGAGGCGAGACGGTCGAGTGCTGCCTTGATTTCGAGCGCTGGGACGGCGGGGAAGGCTTCAGAGGATATGAGGGGGCTTTGGATCGACAGGGCCTGAAGCAGTTGGGTTGGGAGATCTCCCGCGGAAGGAGTATTTTGGATTGCCATCTTCCCGGCAGTACAAAGGGACGTTGAGGCACGCCACCAGGTAAATCGCGTGGATGTGGCCTTTTTTTTCCTGAACTTGGATGTTGAGTCACGATTGGAGAAGCTCGAATATCGCTGGCGTCCGCGGGGTGAAATTTACCAGTGGAGGCGCACGCACTGCGCGCTACAGCTCCAGCCCACCGGACCTGCTGCCGTCAATTGGAGGGGCAGACTCCTATCCGGATTTAGGGTTGGTCCGATAAGCACTATCACTAGAGCAAATGATGGCATTAGAAAGCACGGCGTATATTCCAGCGCAATTTCAAAAACAACAATTGAAACAATAACAGGCATGAATATAATAAATGAATTTATATCCTCTTATTGTGGCCATCCTCGTTAATTCTTTGATTATATAAAGAAGCTGAGCGCAGTGTTCTCGTGGGTCGCTTCTCATGGCAGCCTACTTGTCAAGGTACTTGTCAGAAGCGACGTTGGTCCATGGCTTACTGCGATTTCTTAAAGAATCATATTTAATTCCAGGGGTAAATTTCGAAATGGAATCAGCAGTTCGAATAGTTTTCATTTTTGCCAGCTATGAATAATGTTGCTCAAGCTACCTCGTATGAGTCGTGCCTTGGCAAAGTACCCTCAAGCACCATTGCTCATACTTTCGTACTGCCGCTTTTAGAACCAGCAGTCCCCAGAGTGATGTGGCTCAGACGAGGTCGAGAATTATGAAAGGCGGCAAGCTGGCTAAGCCCAAAATAGCCCTATCTTGACCCCTGCCAACAATCATTGCAACCAGAAGAGTCCCAGGTATTTTAAACGGCAGGCACCGGTCGCCGGCACTACGTACTTGCGAGCAGGGTCAACATCACCTTCGATTGATTTCATGCAGCAACTCCGTCTCATCTGCTTCCATGCGGTTCCTTATCTCGGCCGACAGACAATGAAGAACCGGCGACTATGAACAATGATTCACCGTCGACTTCCGCAGCGCCAAATCGATATTCGACCGACGGTATAGCAGGCGGCGCCGGCCTGCATCATCACCAACAGGATGGAGATGTGCCAAGGAGCCCCGGGTCTCGCGACGGCCAGCGCAGAAGGCGGAAGAACCGAAAGAAGCGGAATCCGGGTCTCAAGAAGAAGCTCGCCTTCGTCACACATCTTCTCAAAGGACTAGATACCGTCGTGCTTGCGGAGCTCAGTGCTTTGTATTATATGGAGTATGTTTGCCTATATATGCCTACAAACGCCTCACTCCCAATCTCTTCTCTTACTGAGCAAATTTTGCACGTTTACCCCAGAGTTATACTGACATTATTATCAGATGCTCGTTATTCCGATTCCTCATCCGAGCTGCCGGCCAGTTCGTCTGCCTCTCCCCGAAAGACGAGGCATCTCCGTTTCTCCTCCCAGCCAGTCGGATCCACGTACTCCTGATTCTTGTACCCAATATATGGTGTATGCTTATGCATCTTTTCGGCGCATTGCCTAAGGGCCCAGACTACCATCGAGGATATCTTCACGGAGGCCTCATTTTCGACTTTATCGGCCAAAAACCTCCGCAATATCGGATATACTACTTCATGGCGGACTTGGCTATACTATTCTTACAGTGTTTCATGCTCACAGTGCATTCGGAGCGGGAGAAGCTCCGCTTAGCTTTGAAAACCTTTCGGCCCATTTTCTCAGATCCAGTAACAACAGCTAGGGTTGCGCGAACTATCGAAGAGCTGGATGCTGAGGAGCAGGGTATGCAAGGTGTGTATCCAGACGCGGAGAATGAGTTAGGAGATGTAGAATTACAGTCTCTTGGAAGGGGTAATGGAGAGACAAGCTCGGAACGGAGGAGCGACCTTGAACTATCGGGTCGTCCCAGTCATGAAGGGTCCAGGTCCCATTTAGCAGATATACTCAACTCTGGGAATGCTGTGATTGGCGAATATCACATAGTGAACACCATGCGCCTTGCTGCCACGGAGCTTGAGCGAACAACCAGTACTTCCATTCAAAATATCGGAACTCTAGCTGCTCTAGAAGCGGAGCGAAGAGGCGTCACCCTGCCATCTCGACCAGGGCCAACAGTTTGAGTCTACCTACATACAAACATCAATTCACAATCGCATATCAATATTACTAAAATTGTTGAATTTTAGACTTTTTTTTCCTTCGCCTTGAGTTGTCCAAGACCGAATTTGTATCTATCTATCCTTGATTATGCCATCTTGCGACCTACGTTTCCAACACCTGTGCCCTTGACTGAAACAATTATATCTCCAGATTCGTCCTCTGTCACATCCCTTAGTCCCCAACTGCTCGCACCAAAAGTCCGCAGGTCCCTGGCAAGACCTATCAATTCTTCTGAGCCAATAATATCCCTGCCTACTCTCAACCGCCCAACGTCTTCGGATCCCATGGCCATCAGGGTCAGAACTGATGTTGCAGCAACTGGGCTGACGCAACCTCCCTTGGCAATCGTCTCGAGCAATTGATATGCGCAGTTCTTGCCGATATCTTCAGGCACCTCGCCTCCGGAAGGCGGCACAACCATATCTGCCGAATACAAAACTCCAACTGAGCTTGACTCGGCCACCAAGCTCAGACCAAAACCGATACCCAAGCGTCTCTTGTGCCCGACCTTCTCACCGGGAGAATCCACCAGAGGGGCCTGGTCGTACTGGGCTGCGATGTGGATATCGGACACCAGAGGGTTAAGAACCTCACGCGCTGAGTGGATCATCCGTGCGTTGTTGGAAGCAGACACGCCAGTTGAGTATGCGACGCCTCTTATCCTCCTTATCCGGCCCGGGTTACGATTTAGGTGCAGCGTCTTGGGCAGACGAACTTGGCTTGCGAACCGCAGTTCGACTGTGCCTCCGCCGCCGCGGCCTCCAGGTCCGGCACATGATCTCTGCAACACTCTCAACTCAATTCGGGCAGGAGGGATTCCAAAGAGTCCGAAAAGTGGTAGGATGGCTGTGCGGAAAGTATCGACGGAGGGATCCCCCGTCTGGGTGGAAGACGTAATCACTCCAGGCCCGGTAAAACGGACATTCATGTGTGCTTTTGAGAATGGTGCCAGCAGACAGAGAGGCAGAAGGTAGTAGGTGACTCCTCTGGTGCAGGTGGCTGGAAGGCTGTGCTCGACGACGTCGCCCTCTACAGCGCCCTGCCCGGCAATTGTTCCTGTGATTAGACCCGGGTGGTAGGTAATCGTTGTCCCGGTATATGAGATCTGCATCGAGCTGCCGTTCGTGACGGTCTCGAGCAGGCGCAGGAAGGATATTTCATGAGGGGCGAGGCCAGGGTTCGTCGGCGAGGAGCTTCGGATCTTGGAAATGTGGACGGGCCTGCCCGTCAATGTTGCTATCGTGAGTCGCTGAGCAAAGGCTCTATGGCCTGTGAAGCGCAGGAAGTCTGGCGTGGAATTCGACATCTTTGGCGGTGGTGGTGGTAACTCACAACCTCCCAGAAGAGATCGCTAGAGAGCGCCCAGACTCGCAGGCGCAACAAAAAATTATCTTTCTGCCAGGTCCAGGCGACTATTGCGGCAGATATAGAAGGCGGTGAGGCTTGGCCCCACTGAAAAGTCCTTGGTTTGGCGACTTATCGATAATGCCCCCCCCCCCCCAAGTCCAATCCGAATTGTAGCATTTTATAAGCTGGCAGTCGTTGAAGAAGCAAACTCGACAAGACTGGAGACGCTTTCGAGCGGCGGAACTCGCCAGTAATGACAACAATCAGAGCCGCTATGCCAGCCAGGTCATCTCTGTTTGATCTGACGGGTCGAAATGTGTCTATATGCCGAACCTGCCTACTCATCCGACAACGACCCGTGCAAGTACAGCAGCCATGGATCGCAGCCTATTCGTCACAAGTACCACGAACCAGAACGAGATCACGAACGCGAAGACAAGCGCGAGAAACCGGTTTTAGAAAACCAACTGAGTCGGAACTTCTCAGCCAGCTCGCGGAGGCCCAAGAAGGAAGCAATGACAGCCCGCACACCATTCGGTTTTTCGAGCAGGAGGGTGACAAGCGTGTGGAGCTCCAGGACGATGGCTCATTTGAGCAGAGTCTGAGTGGCCTCGATGCAACTGAGTTCAAGGAATCGCTTCTGAGGATGAAGAATGCACTCCCGTCTGATCAAGAGAAGGAAGCCTTCGAAGAGGTAATGCGTGGGTTAGGTGGAAGTTCGTGGGACAGAATCAGGACCGCAGAAGATATTGAGCAGATGATGTCGGGGGTGGGCAATTACAACGCTTCCCTCGACGCGGAGATCGAAGAAACAGCTATGCAGCTACCAGAGGACATACGGGAGCGGTTCCACCTTGCAATGGCGGAGTGGTTGCCCAAAATTGAGGATGGAGTCGCCCCTCAACGCAACGCAGTCCCTCAGATTCCGCAGGAGCCTTGGACCATCAACCAATTCAAGAAAATTGCAAGACTCAATACAGTCATCAGCAAGGTGTCTCGGGACATGCTCCGTCCGGCTGGTCTCAATGAGAAGCATGTCCTCGCTGTGTATAAAGCGTATCATGCGGCTCGACGGTCCCTTGCAAGCAACTGGAGTGGCATCCCGATCAACGTCTGGGATTTTCTGTGGAATATATTCTCCGCCAACTCGAAAATCAACAAACAGCGTTTTGCCCATGTCTCTCAACTTTCCCGGGACATGGCCGAAGCAGGAGCAACCCTCAGTTATCCTCAGCAGCTGCTTACCATTGAAGCCCTGTTTGTGGATGGATGGGAAAACAAGGCCATTGAGAACTGGAAACGATGTGTGGCCACGCTCGGCAAAGAGTCAGAAGAAACTTTCCAAGACTTTTGGGAACTTGGAGTTCGTATGTATTGTCGGATAGGCGATCTTGAACATGCAGAGAGTGCCACACAAAGGCTTCTTGCGAATCACGCCGACCCGCGCATCTTATTACCAATGATTCAGACTCTGTCTGAGCGTGGTACGCCATCTGATCACGAAAAGGCATGGGCCTCATATCGACAGATGAGAGAGCTCCTGGGACGTGATATGAATATTAAAGACTACGATAAAGTTGTCTCATACTTCCTGACTACGAATCAAGTTGAGAATGCCCTTTTCGCATTCGTCGACATGATGAGTGACGGGTCAATCGATATGAAACAGCTCAAAAGAATGCCATCGGTTGTGGCCAACAAGTTCTTCCTTGGCAAATGGCTCAAGCGTCTGATCGGTGCTGGTGACCTTGATGGCGCCTACGCCGTCGTCGAATTCATGAGACAAAAAGGAGTCCAGGCCGCTCCAATTCAGTTAAACGGCCTTATCGGAGCCTGGCAACGTTCCGGCGGCGCCGACAACATGGAAAAGGCAAATGATCTGGCTTGGAAGATGATTGAGGCCCGAATAGCCTTTGTGTCGGCTCGAGAAGCTGGCAAATCCATCGCTTATACTGAAAAGAACAAGGTAGCTTCACTGCCACCAGCAACCCTGGAGACCTTCTGTGTGTTGGCAGAGAACTACCGGACGCGAAACCTGCAGGCCCAGATGGGCCTGCTTTGGGATGCTTTCCGAGACGCCAAGATCAGTCCAGATGCCTTCATGATGAATCAACTGCTGGAATCCTACCTTCAATCAGGGCAGGCCGAGGAAGCCGAAAAGCTTTATCATACGCTTGTTGTTGAGCAAGGGGTCACCCCTGACCCGTACACCTTCAGCGCTCTCTGGAAGCTCGTAGGCATCAACCGTTTCTATCGCACAGATGATCAGATGATCCGAAATGACATTGAAACTGCTCGAAAACTGTTTGCAGAGACAGCAAAGTTCAAGAGCGTTTTCCTGGAAGATGGCATGGACATCCAGCTCTCCCGCAAGATCCTGCATACGCTTCGGCGTTTGAAGGACCACGCCGGATTCATGGTTGCCCTGACCACACTCAAAGAGCATTTCAAGTTCCTCCCAACCGAAACCCTCGTGGTGGAGATGGTGCTAGGCACCAAAAAACTTTCCTGGGATACCCCAGCGCAGCGCAGGAAGCTGTTACTAGCCAAGCGTGAGATCGATCAGGAACTCATTGCCTGGGCTGACGAAGACATGTCCAAACTCGAAGGCGAGAAGAGGGGCGTGGCACTGTATGAATACCTGCAGAAGAAGCTGTGGCCTGCAATGAGCAATGATGAGGGGACCAGATCCTTGGTTGACGTGGCCAAGCAAATGGGCGTGTACGAATTACTGATGAGCAAAAAGGGCAGGACAGACTTATAGACTGGGGAGAAGTGGATCAAATATTGTACATATATTCTGGCATCTTGTAACATTTAGATAGATAGGTCTCCAAGGCTTGCTTGTATACTAGGTATTTCGCCAAGTCAGAACATGCATGTATAATATTAATGATATCTCGCTCCACACCACTGCCTTGAGAGGCGTGTGACACTGGGCCAGGGCTTGCTGGTATCGAGATGTGTTGAGTGGCATTGATAAGTTAATGAACCCTATTCATTCTCCATGCCAGTCCGGAACTCCAGCGCTAATGCATTGATTTCTAAACCACCCCGAACAGAATATTCGCAATTTCTTTGGTAAATAGCCGTGTGCCTCTACCACGGGTTATCTAGGGAAGATATTGGGGTACGTGTTTCCCCTGGTCCCATAGAGAGCATATCGCTCCTCTGTCGATATATGGCTGGGCCTACCAGTTCTTGCGGCGGCCTCTCCCTCGTGCTCTTCTGACTCTGCCCCTGCCCCTGACTCCGCCTCGGGCTCTGGCTCGGAATGGCGGCTGAAGGGCACCACCAGGCTCTGAATCTCCTACGCCTGACGCTGCAATGCCCGGCCTCTAACCCGTTGTCATTTCAACGTCTTCGTTTCCCAAACGGTCTCCCACAGAACTCAGGCCCGAACTAGGTGACCGCGCATCTCGGTGGTCCACGCCGTTTCCGTTTATCTTGGGCGAAGGGGACGGTTCTAGATTCCCGGTCCGTTGGGTTATCCAATCGTCAATACTTTTAATGTCGCCTCCACCCTCGACCTCAATCTCGCCTGTATCCGCCGGCTTCCCCAATATCGTGCCCTGGAACTTGGCATCATCCGATGTCTTGTTATGTCTCTTTTTCAGTGCTATCGTCGTAGGTTAGCCATGCTCGCGGAGAAAGAGCGAGTTGAAAGGCGAGGAGCTGCGTCTCAACTCACCGTGTAGATAGTCAATCTCGTCGTTCTCGCCGTCCCCCTTGGCAAAATCCATAATCTCCTTCATCCGCTGGCCAGAAAACCACTTGACGAACTCCTCGACGCCTCGTAGGTCCTCCTCGCCTAGCCACTCCTGCTGAACGGGTAGCGCTTCCGGCAGGAGAGCGCCCAGATCCTGCAGGGCCATCCTGATGTCCACCGTGGAGAAGTCGCCCGCGTCGCCGTGGTTGTGCACCGCATGATCTGCCGTCTTCTCGCAAAGCGTGGAGAGGTAGCGCGCGGCGAGGTCCGTCACGCAGTCCAGGACCGCAGGACTGCACGCATGGTAGCCCGTGGCTCGCAGAATCTGCAGGACGGACGGTCGGAGAAAGGCGTGAAACAGGGTCGTCGGGGCCGGCATGTTTGGGACGAGTCGCCGGGTGTGAGCCGGCCGAAGTGAGATAGATGCAGAGGGCGCGCGAGGTCGGATCAGTAGGGGAGAGAAAGTTGAGGCCGCCGAGCTATGTGTGCTTGAATCTAGTCGGTGCTGTCGCGCGCGCGCAGAGTCGTCATCGGCTAGGACGCAAAGATATCCATCAGATGGCGCATCTTCATCCAACTCGAAAAGAAAGCTAGCGATGTTGTGTACTTAGGAGGGACGATGGTGGTGGAGAAAATAAACAAGGCCACTTCCGAGCAAGCTCTAGTTGATGCCGGACCTGGATGATCACCAACAGCTTGACTTTTATTAGCTGCAGTGCTTCTGGGTTTCGCGGGGCGGCAGGCACCGCTGCAGGTGCACCTTCCAGGCGGCTCGCACAGTGCCAGTAGATACAGTGTGTTCTCATTTGTGTACTGTCCCCCAATGCCCAAATATCCATTCGCCATCGTCATTTGCATTACATCCTTTGAAACACCCGCTTTCAGAAGTTCCGTTCTTTCTGCTTTACTCAATGAAGTATCCAATTTGATTTTTACTATGCTATTCATCAAACATTTCTCTGGAGGCAGTTCGTTTTCAATACGACACTTAGAGTTCCGAAGGTTGCAAAATGACATCCAAATATATGCATGAAAACCCGTGCTAGTCGAAGGCAGTAAAGACAGAAGCGAAGTTCATCGTAACCAAAATGACAGCGATAATGCTACATGGTTAGTTTCCCTGTTCCAGAGGCCAACTTTGCCTCCTCATCAATACCACTGTATTTGTTGATCCAGCCCAGTACCTCCCGGTGCCACACGAGAGAGTTCTCCGGCTTCAATACCCACTATTGACAAAGTCAGCTTTCATATCACATTTTGAATATGCAAACTCTGTGGAAAACTCACATGGTTCTCGTCGGGGAACATGACAAGCTTGCTCGGGATGTTGCGGGCTTGCAACACATTGAACATTGCCAGGCCTTCCGATATCGGGAGACGATAATCCAGCTCGCTATGGATGACCTGATGCCAAGTGTCAGTCTGGTCAACTCGAAATTCTATCATTTTGATATTCTCGCGGTACTACTTACCAGCTGTGGGGTAGCCCAGTTACGAAGGTGTCTTGACGGGTCCCATCTCTCATATCCCTCTCTATTTTCCCATAGCGTACCGCCAAAGTCGTGCTCTGGGAAGAAGAGTTCTTCGGTGGACCACTGGTTCAATGTCGAAAATACGCCATCGTGGCATACTAGCGCCTTGAACCTTCTACCAAGATCGTGGCCTTGGATCCAATCTTTGTTCGGCTCAATTAGCATTGAGTCTCGATTTCAACACAACTACAACTGGAAGATAGCTCTTTGAACTTACTGATCATATAGCCACCATACGATCCTCCCAAGGCTACCGCCCGGTTGGTGTCCACATACTCGACATTCTTCTCAATATGCTCGAAACATTTAACGAGGTCTTCATATGGATCACCACCCCAATTATTAGCAATGGCATCGGTGAAATCCTGGCCGTATCCCGTACTTCCCGTCGGGTTTGGGCAAACCACGACGTAGCCTTGCTCTGCAAAGATTGCTGGGTTCCATCGAGTGCTCCAATCATCCGTCCACGCCGACTGTGGTCCACCATGGATGAGGAACGCAAGTGGGTATTTCTTGGCCTTGTCAAAATGAGATGGTGTCATCACAAGAGCATGAACTTGGCCCCCAGCAGATCCGGTGAACCACAAATCTGAGCACTGAGATTGACTCAGTCCCAAAGTCTTCCCATGCTTTGAACTGGATGAGACCTCTTTGAGAGACAGAGTTTCGGTGTCAAGAATGGCGTAGCTGGAATTTTCCACCCGCGATTTGGTGCTGATGAGGAGGTTTTTGCTAGATCCGAGGGTTTTTGCTTCGATGACAGTCCCGTTTTCGAAAATGGCTTGCGGAAGCTCAGTTGCGAGCAAGGGAGACGAAGGCAGCCTCCACAGCATCATCCTACCATGTTTGTCAGCCGCCACATACAGCTCCTTATCATCATCGCTCCATGTGATCCAGTCGGGCCTAAGGTCCCAGCCACCCTTATCATCGCTTGTTTGATAAAACTCCTGGACATTACTGAGGTCGGACACATCTGGAATCAGCAACAGCCTAGGTTTATCAGATTCATACTGATCCGACTTCATACGAGAGAAGGCAATCTGCTTCCCGTCTTTGGAAAAGGTCGGGGACTGGGAGTAGCCTCGTAGACGGCCAGTCTGGACGATTTGAGGAACAATGGGCTTTCTCAACCCCTCGCTGTGAACTGGGATGTAGTAGAGGTCTGTTTTTGTATACCTCGCGGCGTTCAGCTCGGGATCTTTGGCTACAAATGCAATACCAGTGGTTGAAATATCGAAATCGCCAGTACCGCCGAATGGTGGCACGGGACTGCTCAGTCGAGTACCAGCCAGTATGTTGGTGAGACCAGGCTGTGGCAACGACCATCGGCCGTTCTCCTTTGCCAGAATGCCGAACCAGAGAGAGTTCTGGATCTCATTTGTCCAGGCGTCCCAGTGCCGGGCGAAGAGCGATGTGTACACCTTGGCGGAAGACTGAGACTTGGCCTCGGCAGAGGGCCAGTACATCTCACCACTTGGAGTAGTTGGCGCAGAGCAGCACAGATAGGCCTTGGTGGAAGACAGCTGCTTGATCTTAGTGTTTGATATGTTCCCAGCAAAGAATTGTATCATATAAGGCCTTCTAGCGAAGCCGATATTAGCACTGCTCCGTCAAGTGAAGATGTTGCAGCCCTTGAGTTGGCATGAATACTGACTCTGAAGTAGTCTCTGTCACCCGTTGAGCCATCAACGCGGTACAGCCACGGTCGGTGGGCTTGAGGTAGGCAATCTCATCCTGGCTAATCCAGACAGGATCGCTCGCAGCTGGGTTCTCAGAGATGAGGTGTGATGCGCCATCTTTAATGTTCAAGACTCTGATCTGGGATGTCTTGACATGGGTCTCAAATGAGTACGTCGATACCTGCGGTTGGAGGTCAATCAAACGAGGCACGAACAGAGCACGCGACCACACAGAGTAAAATCGAACGAAGGCCAATTCATGGTTTCAATCAAAGTTCCGGGGTGCTGAAGGGAATGAGAATGGAGCATAGACTTACAGTATACAAAAGGAGATTCCCGGTCGAGTTGGGAATGCCAGCTGATCGGCGCGGGGCAGCGAGTAGCACCTCTGGGGTGAAGTGTGTGGCCTTGATCGTCATCATGAAGGATTGAGCTTGGGCCAAGCCCAAGAAAGCTGGAGCTCAATCTGGGCGACGACCTTGCTTTGCAGGTGCACCCAATTCCTTTGCCAATGGGTGCAGCTGCTGGCTGTCCAGGCAGGTCGGTCGATGTTGAGGCGTGTATCAGTAGATACCTAGTAGTGGGATGGTGGTGTAAGTTAACGGCTGCTAGTCACGATCGACTCTGGGGCAGCAGGATGGGAATCAAGCCAGCAGGGGTTCGGAAACGGCTCGGGGTGAAACTGACATCAATCAAGAAGCAGAAGAAGGGGAAGGGGAATTGCCGAGTGCAAAACCACTCGGTCTTGTGTCGTTCACTTATATAAAAGCAAAGAAGGTAGGGAAAGCGGTGCAACAGGCATTCTATGACCAGTTTTACCTTCACTTCCCCTCTTCATCCCCTCACTCAGCTCTGCCAACCCCGCATCCGCTTTAATGGTTGACTCAGAACTCGAACCTACATTGACGTGGATGGATCTGGAGAGATGACGCTTGTGCCGCCTGTCTTTGTGTCCAGCTACAACTTACCTACTCTCTAGTTGAAGCAATTCGTGAAGGCAGACCAGCGCATCTCTACATGCACCTACCTCTAGTACACGACTAGCCACTCACTGTTTTATGCCATCGACTGCCGGCACCTTTTTCAACATCCGTACCCTTCACATGGTTGAGATACGGGGACTGCTTAGCTTCTGTTCGGTCCAGACCAGGGGTCTTCCTCAGGCTAGACATGGGCAATAGCTGTAATGAAGTCCGCCGTCTGATCCAGGATCCCCGTATCTCCTCCATCAGCAAGGAAATGCAGATCTTTACGGCTACCAAACTCCCATCATCAGCCCCTCACTTGTACACACCACACACATCCAAGTGGTAGTTAGCCTTCAAATTACCTCTTTGGTCCGTCCATCAACTCCTCCCACCACCCCGCTCCGAGTGCATGCGTCCCACCACCACTGCTACCACCTCAACCATGATTCATGTTGTGACCGCTTCTGCAAATGGCAATGCTTACCTTGACTTGTCGGATATCCCACATCCAGATCCAGAGTGGCTTGCCCCTCCGTCCCCAAAGAGCAACATGACGTCCAAAAACGCCCGCCCTTTGCATTGAGCCTGCATGCCCAGGAGCCGAGCTATCCTCGCATTCTTGGCCATCGCTATACTGGCACGATCTTCATTTTGATCTACCGCCGAGGATGGTTGGTCCTTATCAATGCCTTTGCCAGCATTCCATCTCTCGACTCAGAGCTGCCCAATAGGTTCCACCTCTAGCCAGCTTGATCAACCCCACAAGAAGCCAACCATGCTTCCACTATCACGAGAGTCATGTTCTTTCCCCTCTTTGACCCCCTCGCGTCGTACCGAACGATTGATTCGGGGAGAAACCTAATAAGAAGCAAAACCCAATTTATTATCTATGTCTGAGACCCCTCAGAGAACGCCGTTTGTCCGTCCATCCGTCCTACCAATCCCTCCACCCGCCTCGTCCCCCCTCGGCAGTGGTTTCGGTATTTCGCCTTTATGCAACATATCACTCTGCAACCCAAATAACAACAACGCCTGCAGGATCAGTGCTCGTGACCTGAAACAAAATATGCTGATTTATCCTCTCCCACGGTGTTCTTGTCCAGACAATGACCGTAAAGAGTTTCATCTTGCCCGCTTCCCCCACCCTTCCCTGCCATAGAACTCTCGTATATTCACCCGCCTCTACTTTCGAGACGCCCCAAAGTTCGTCCTCTTCTTGTTCGTCCCCGACTCGGCCTCGCTGTCGTCCACGTCCTTCTTTCCCTTCTTCTGGTTCTTACTTCCTCCGGTAGTAGTAGGCGTGGCGTTCCCGCTGTCCTTGAACGAGGCGGACATGGGAGTCGGGGCATGCGATGCAGGTGTCGAGCCCGGCGTAGCAGAGTCCTATTTTTTCCAAGATTAGCAATCAGCGCAGATCGCGTGGTATTCCCCAAGCACGGCACTTCCGGCACAGCGTGGGCGCGGGCACAGTTTCTACTCACAGCGTTGTTTGGTCGGTACGAGATGGACGACCGCGAGAAGACCCGGTTCTGCTCCGGGGGACCCGTCTTTCGCCTCTGCGCGGCGGCGCCGCTCGTGCCCTTCATGTAGTTATCAAACCCAGTGATGATGTTCCCGCTCGGTGCGCTCTCGAGGTACGCCAGCTCCTTAGAGGCGATCCCGTCTTCGACCTGGGCCTGATTTCCGCCGCCACAACGTTAGCAAATCCAGAAAGCGCCTCTCCGTATCAAGTTGTGAGTTTTAAGGTAAGGGGACGTAGAAATATCGTACGAGTCTCTTTTCCAAAAGTCTCCTCTTCTCGACGAGATCGCGCACGCGCGCTTGGGATTTCTTGTATTCTGCCATGTTGGCTGACACGCTTCCACCTGAATCTGCTGCGGCACCGGCACCGCCTTGTTGCTTGTCGGCCATACAATGAAGCGCGGTTCAACGTGCCGGTACTCGATGGCCTTCGATGGGTAGATCGCGTAGGTTGATGAAGATTGATGGAGGCGGATGGAGGAGCTGTTGCTGAGAAAGTCGAAACCGTCAACTGTTCGCCGGGCGGTTCGCCAGCATGGGGTGCGCAAGCTTTCCGCTGTGGGTCTATGTCTCCCGTACACCATCAAGCACTGTCATGATAGTCTCCTACCTATGCTTCTTAAGTTCGGGGCAAGTATTCTTTGCAATATCTCATATTTCTATATTTTTACTTGTACTTGGGTATTGATATTAATTTCCTGGACCCATCAAAGAATATTGTGAAATAGTTCTAATATACTCCCTATTGTCTGTTTGCGATACCTACGTATAGCGCTGTGAGGCTCTCCGAAAGCAAGGAGGCTGAATCAAATAAATGCATGATTTTTCTTCGGCTTTTCTCAACTCCATGGTATCCAATTCAAGCAAAATAAAGGAAAAGGGAAAATCACCAAGTAATGATAGAAGGTCTGGGGCGCTTCAGCAGCAGTTAGTAAGCCCTTTTATAACAAATAGACAGCCACCAGCGGATGATCTCAGCTTTCATATCATTTCGTGGCAAGCTTAAGTTGGGAGATATCTCTGAGCTTGTTTGAGGATTCTCGGGCTTCACTCGGCCTATGCCTTTCCGGTTGTTAGTATAGGCTAGAAGAAGGTTACAATCCCGCAACTCCCTGCAGTTCAGGGGACACTCACCTCGCCTGTTCCGTTCACCGTCCCCTACTTTCAAAATCGGCTCAGGAATCGATAGGTGGTGCATCTTCCGAAACATCAGCGTTTTTTCCGCGAATAGGTGAGAGTGATACGCTTGAGGTGTTGCGTGTCTGGTCCGGCGTTGATCGCTTTCTACCCTGATTGCCGCGCCCAGACTTCCCTTTCCTGTCCCGCGAAGAGCTGCGTCGGCGATGACGGCTCTCCTTATGTCGCTGGCTTCCCTCATCCGGGGACGCATCCCGTCCGCGGCTACTACTGCAGGAGCTTGAATGTCGCCGAGATGGAGTTGACGAGCGAGATAGTGACCGCGCACGTCTGCCAGCAGACCTGCTTCTCGAAGAAGAATACCTGCGTCGTTTTGGTGAGGGAGAGTTACGGTCAGACGAGGCCGAGCGTGATCGTCTGGCTCTACCAAAACGGTCTCGCCCTCGGTCAGACTTCCTCTGTCCAGACCTTGATCTTTTTCTTGGGTGGCGACGGTTTGAGCGCTCGCTTCTGCTTGAAGAGGAACTGCGGCTACGAGAAGCCGACCTCGAGGATTCGGAACGTGTGCGACTGCGTCCCCGTCTCCATCCACGGTCTCGGCCGCGGTCGCGGTCACCTCTTCCTCTCGGATAGTAGCTGTCGCGTCCGTACGAGTCACGCGACCCACGGAACCGATTGTCGGGAGAGCGTGAACGATTACCGCCCCGACCACCCCGGGCGCCTCCATCGAATGCGCGCTCTCCACGCCGACCTCCCCTTGAGAAATTCGGCCGGCCACCGTCTCGACGGTCTCGATCCTTCATTGTTGCGATTTCCCGATCTCGGCGGTTTTCGTCATCTCGTCTACGCCGCGTCTCTTCTGCTGCACGATCGGCTTCAATCTTCCGACAATATTAGCACGTGAACATTAGATCTCAATTGAACAAGTCATGGACTCTTCACAAACCTTTTCCTGCATGAGCTCAAGCTTCTTGGCCTCGAGCAATTCTTTGGGTACACCCTGAGGGCTTGCCTGAGCACTCAGCAGCAAGTTCCAAAGCTCTTTGCAAAACGAGGCTGTATCTTTCTCCAGGAAACCCGTAAGCTGAATTTGTAGAGCTTTGATATCCGGCTAGAAAGGCCCAGTTAGCAGAAGCTCCCTCGAGACGCTGTAAAGTAGAGGCAAACGTACATGTCGAACGCCTTCGACGAGATTGAAACAAAGCTCAATGACCACATCATCTTCGTTCCCCAAAATATCCGAAATTCGGTTCGCAATCCATCTATGAATCACGTCCGTTAGAGGTGTGCGGCCATATGCTGGGGGTAGGGAGATAGCAACTTTTTAATGACCTGCACGTTCACCTTCTGCATGTCCACCTTCTGGCTGAACTCGGGTGGAAACTTGGTCGACTTTAAAAGCCGAGCATCGACACCGGAAGCCATGGCCGAGGCTTCAATCCTGCGCGTATATCTAGGTGGTATGCGCGTTACGGGAGCAAATGGCGATCTGGATGGCAACCAGGGGAAGGGGGACGGTATCGGGAATTGGCTGAGGTTGTATGCAAGAGGTGACGTCGAAGCTGTTGGTGAGATTGGCCCCAAAATTAGGCGGGATCGGCAGTATCAGAAAATTTAGAGGCAGGAAACAGTGCAGTGTTGCGCTGGGGTTGGTGCACAGACCAGAGACAGGGGCCTGTGGCACATCATTAGCTCCCCTGCTGCGGGCCTGAGGGCCTGGCAGTCGGTGCAAACCGCCCGCCAACCGAGTGTCACCAGCACATTGAGGACTCCAGAGCTCACCTAAGCTCTTGAATGTCCCCTGTATGTACCCTGCCAACTGGATCTAGAACCCGGCGGAAGCTTGGAGGTTACTCTCTTGACGTACAACTAACAGCTCCATTCAAGAAGGGACTTTGTATTGATATCAATAGCTTCACTACCTACCTGTATTTCAAATTGCCCTTTCGCACAGATTGTCTCAATCACATCAAAAAGATTCCCGAACCCCGGTATTGATTTCACCATGGAGAATGAAAACATACACGCTCCCACTGTGCCCTCGGGGCCAACCAGCTCAGGTGCCACCAATGGTAATTCAACTCATCTGAGCTTTGCTGAACTTCAACGGAAGAAGGATGAGGTGGAAACCGAGCTCAAAGCCCTCGGAAGTGTTTTAGACTCTGTAAATGACGAGGTCCTAACCCCCCAATACTGCTCTCAAACTGACCAGTTGCGAAGCACAACGTCAATATGGAAACGCCACTGCTCACAAGGGACGGGTTTCCTCGTGCAGATTTAGATGTCGCCCAGAGTAGGCTCTACAATTTACTGTTCCAAATCCATACCGTTGAATGGAATGACTAACAAAGGGCTATGACAGTCCGGACAACAAGAGCTCGCATCATTCGTCTTCGGAATGACTACAAGAGCCTAATGAATACCATCGAGAAGTATCTTCACGAGCACTTCGCCAGTCTTGACGAAGACGCAGTCGTGGAGGTGCCTGAGCAAACCACAAATTCCATCCTGCCGGATTCCGAACCCGCTGTCCTCGAAGAGGCGTTTGCGAAGGTAAACACAGTTGCTCCCAACGGTCCCGCCGATGCTGCTGGGCTGAAACCTGGTGATGAAATCCGGACATTCGGCTATGTGAACCACACCAACCACGACAATCTCAAGAAGGTGGGAGAGTGTGTTCAGAGCAACGAAGGTGTACGTCTGGTCCCGCTGGTATTCCCTTGCTACTTTACCCGTGCTTGACTGACTTTTGCCAAAGGCCAACATCTTCATTCGAGTTTCCCGTACCACGCCCGGTGGGGCTGCGCGCCAGGAACTTCGCCTCACGCTCAATCCCAGGAGGAATTGGGGTGGCCGAGGATTGTTGGGCTGTCACATCGTTCCCATCTAGAGACAACTATCTGGGCCTTGACAGACTGATAACGAAAGTAATGACAGCATCGGAACTGCCACATCACGCACCTTCCCTCACGTAGCAATTCATCCCTCGTGCAGCTTGTTCATTGGTTCATACACACACAAGTGCAAGTCAGGCTTCGCGAGTGTTGTGTAAGCCAGAGTGACAAAGCAACGTCTAATCAGAAGCCCGTAGGGTCAAATAATCGTGGCAATATCCCATGGCAGGAACATCGGACCGGACTGCCCGTTTTCGAATGGTTCGTGGTGCTCTGGCAAGGTGGAATGGCAATTTAAAGTCTGCTCGGCCAGCGTTGGGTAGGGTCTGCTAGGATATCCGATCTTTATTTGTAATCCAATTTAAATTGGAAAGAGAATTGATACCCATATACTACAATAATACTAGTGCGATCTTGAAGTGGAAGAGCTGTCTTACATCGGTGAGTCAAGCTGTTGATAATATAGGCACCCATTGCATGCCTAAGAAATTTCGTTCAGTTGGGCAGCTGTGGTACGATTTGCGAGGTCCGTGAGGTATCATCTCAGCAGAGTGGCAAGCCAGCTCCCTGCAGCAAAATCAGGCTAGCTAGAGCCCTTACAGAATGGTTCAGCGGCCATGGTGCTCCGCAGAGGCAACTAGAACAATTGCAATGGTTGAGCCAGTGACGTTATCTCCCCCAGTGGCGGGTCTCTGGTCTCCAGGCAACCTGCTGTTAGGCTCCCAGGTGTATTGTAGTGATTTGATGCCTACCGGTAATATCACGTGCAGCCTCCCACCCCTGGCCGACTGAATTTTTCGCCTAAGGGCTTCCATATCTGGCCAGCCCAAGATTCCCCGCCAAAACATCAAGGCCGCCCGACCTGCGATTCTCTTTCTCTCCCCAGTGCACTCGCAACAAAGCTGCGACTTTTCTTCCAGGTACGCCCAAAAACATCCACCGCCCTCCCAGAACAAAGATCCGGCCTTTTACACCAGACCATATAAACCTCTCGATTCCCGCCGCTTCCCTCTTTTGCGATTTAATCAGATTGCAGTCGATCGCTGACTTCTCAATCCACTTCCTAGCCACCCCGCTTGTTTACACCTCTTGACCCAGATTGTCACCACACCTCACAACCATCCAAAATGGCTGAGCAACAGGTTCCTACCTTCAAGCTTGTCCTTGTCGGTGATGGTGGTACCGGAAAGGTATGATGATTCTCGAGGAGGTCTTCGTGAGGCGCGTACAGGTTCGCTGCGCAGCTTCGTCGAATACCCCGCCATCCTGGAGTTTTTTTCCTTCCAGTCTCTGTGACATCACATCGCTAACCAAGCATGACATTATCTGCATACAGACCACCTTCGTCAAGCGCCACTTGACTGGTGAATTCGAGAAGAAGTACATGGCCACTCTTGGTGTCGAGGTTCACCCTCTTGGCTTCAGCACCGTACGTCTCAAAATTCGTCGCCCCACTACCGACCGCTCTTGATGCTAACCACGAGAGCAGAACTTTGGCAACATCCAGTTCGATGTCTGGGATACCGCCGGTCAGGAGAAGTTCGGTGGTCTCCGTGACGGTTACTATATCAACGGCCAGTGCGGTATCATCATGTTCGACGTCACCTCCCGCATCACCTACAAGAACGTCCCCAACTGGCACCGTATGTATTTCATCCGATGAACCTCCTGTCAATCACCTGGATGCAGCCGATTTTCTGACACAATCATTAGGTGATCTGGTCCGTGTCTGCGAGGGAATCCCCATCGTTCTCTGCGGCAACAAGGTCGATGTGAAGGAGCGCAAGGTCAAGGCCAAGACCATCACCTTCCACCGCAAGAAGAACCTCCAGTACTACGATATTTCCGCCAAGTCCAACTACAACTTCGAGAAGCCTTTCCTCTGGCTCGCCCGCAAGCTCGTTGGCAACCCTCAACTGGTACGTCTTGCTCTTCCTCTTATCCCTTCTGGCCACTCTTGGTCCAGGTGTGGAAATTCCTCCCCTGTAGCGCAATACTAACACCAATACCAGGAGTTCGTTGCTTCCCCTGCCCTTGCTCCTCCCACCGCCCAGGTCGATGAGGGTCTCCTCGCCCAGTACGAGCAAGAGATGAGGACCGCTGCCCAGCAGCCTCTGCCTGATGAGGGCTCTGATGACGACCTGTAAAGGATGACCAAAAACGAACGTTGAAGGCGATTATTTTCGCCGAGTGTTAGATGACTGAGATGCATTATGGGACTGGGCCAGCTTCAGTTCTTACGGGAAGTCTATTTGCACCCGGAATGACCATTTACGACATTGGGAGGAAAGTTCTTGAGGGGTTCAGGAGTGTTGACCAGAGACGGCGACCTAAGGAGTGTCCGTCGCCCTTTCTTAGGGTAGATTTAAGATGATGCTGCTGAAGGCGGTATCGTCCATTTTAGCTAGACTTAACACGCATATAAATATGATGTTCAGACCTGCTTTGCGAGGTCGTTATAATACACAGCCTTCCGACCTTGGGAGACCACACTATTTTACGCTTTTGAATTGCAGATAAGATGAGAAAAACAGTGCCGTTTTCGCTCCTATCCATTTACAACCACCTCGTCTTGCTCGTTCAATGCAGGACTTCGTGAATTCCATCGAACGCTAACTGCCTGACGACGCATCCTTGCGAAGCCAGACCACTCGGCTCGGTTGCCCAAATGCCGTGGCCTACCCTAGACTTAAAAAAGCCATCTGTGATAACCTCGTCCAGACTAGACATTAAGCTCATTCGTGAAACTTTACAATGGACACAATTCTTAAGGTATGTTTTGTACTGAGAATATTGTTTGGTTGTAGAACTTTGGTGTATACGATATATCTTATCCAAACACGAAAGTGGCATTATAACTGTAGCACTATCGAGGGAGTGTAAGTTGCGACAATGGAATTTAGCACGACGACGCCCACCCCGACGAGAGTACAAGTCTATATATTCGTAGGTAAACTCGACACCTGCTAGATATTGCACGGAATCTGAATGGGATTATAGGCAACAACATATTGGTTAGGTTCAATGTACGGTCAAAGGAAAGACATTTTTACGCCCTGCATGCCTGGAGGGTGCTCGCAGTCGACGCATGTAATTAGACTGTATAGAGCGAGCTATCGATAAAACATGAAAACTCGAAGATGATACCATTTATGCATTGACAGCAATAATCAAGGAGCACAGATGCAAAACGAGCTTGCTGCAGCCACACCAAGGACGCCCAAGTGATCACCATGTGCGTGGGTAGGGGTAGGTGCGTCTACAGGGTATGGCCTCGTACGGGACCCAGGCCTACATGCTCGTTTGATTGCCGGCGCCTGAGGGTCACTTTGACCCTAACGGAAGCTTTGGCGCCGGAGCAACAGTTCAGAAGAGAGCGCTTGGGTAGTTCCTCGAGAAATACCCATCGAAGACTCTGTATACCGAACAAGGCAGGTCGTCCAGCATTTCGGTTGGCGGTAGGACAGGGTGATCACTCCGAGGAGGATTTTGTATCTACCGAGGCGAGCGATTGGGGCAAGCAGCGCTACATGGGGGAGAAAGTGGCGGTGCCTTGTCTACCCCCAGGCCCAAGCTCGTGTTACATGGAATGACGCGAACATCCATGACAGACGGCGGCTGGCGAGGCCTGTTGATTGATTGCCTGCCCATCCCACCCCTATTAATGGCCCGATGTACGTTAATTAGGTGCCTGCTACTCCGTTTGATGGTACATTAGCTTAGGTCGGCACCTAGCAACTACGTACTATGCAGCGTGTTCGAAAGAGAAAAGGCGGCATAAGAAGTTTAAGTGCTGGGCAGGTGAGATATGTAGGGAGGAGGTTGGGAGTGGGAATTGGCCCAGTACCTGACCTGCATGCATAGACAAAGCCAATACGCTCAATATCAAATGGTATGCTCCGTTTAGTTTACGTACATGACATTATTACCAACTTATTAACAGTCAATTATTAAAGGCCCAGAGCAAAGAGCATTGGTTCGCTGGTGGGACCCTGTTCAATCTATTTAATCAATTAATCGATCCGTTCAATTAGAGGGCGCTGATTGGACAGGCAGGCGGTAGTGGGAAAATAAAAAAATAACAATAAATAAAGAGCTCCAAAGCAACGCGTGTTGACATATTTCCTAAAGCGGAAACGGCAACACCCCGGCGCGCGACGTGATTTGGCAGAACGCAACGACGCGCGGAGAGGACTGCGTGAAAATGGCGCCTCCAGCGAGCAAGGATGCCACCCGTTGGGGATTAATTTATTTCTTAGTGCGGGCTTGTAGATGACCTGAGGGAGGCTAAGTATTGTCATGTGCATTGTACGCGCCACATGTCTTATGGGAGGCCATGCAGATGTGTACATACAGATGGTGCAGAGAACAGGTGAGGATGCATGAATCAAACGGCGACCGGCTCATACATGCTATGTTTCCTTTTTTCCTCTTGATCGGCGTCGTCTGTGGGAGCCCTCGTTTCACAACCCAATCTGGGCCGCAAAGTGTGTAGACACCATATGCAGACTACGTAGGTGGCATTAGGTGGTTGATTGCTGTCGTGTTGGGATGAATTCCGGCCCCTTCTTGCCCCCTTCGCTCGCCGAACGGACAGGGTTCTCAGCTCTATGTTTGGACACGCTTAATTAGTTGCATGCTCTTACAACACAGAGGTGCATCGTGCTCCCCATCCGGAGGTGGTTGATTGGTGGTGCAGCTGCATCAGGTCGGGTACCTTTGGCTCCATCTGCACCCTGCCTGAACCATCCACCTCTTTAAGAGGTACCTCTTAAGTGTGTACATTGCAGCCCGCGGTGCTCCGGCAGGTACATGCGGGCGGCACGAGGATCGCTGGGAAATGGCAGGCACAGCGCGGTTGGGCGGTGGGGCTTGGCGGGCGCGCAAGTACTGCTGGAGGAATGGCCGCGGCCAGTACCAGCGGCGGCGGTCCCGATCCATTAATTGATTGCGTGAAGGTGCTACCGGACTAACCACTCTTGCTTCGGATCAGACCAGACGTACAGCGCCGACAGTCAGCGAGAGCCTCATCAGCCATGGTTATTGCCCAAGCCATTACCTACCTACCTAACTCAATCAAGCCTCGCGATCGTAAACCGCTTCTTCCCTGCCCGACCCTCCTCCCCACCCCAGTTTTGTCCCCCCTGGCCTGGTCGTGGTCTTGGCCCTTCGACAGCATCTTAACCTTGATCTACCTGCCACACGCACCCACCCGGACCTCGTCCAATTGCACACCGCGTCACGCTGGGCATCCTTCTTCTCTTCTCTCTTCTCCCGACCCTCACACGACCTCGTCTTTCGTTTTTTTCAACCTTCGACCATTCTTCCTTCTTCTTCACCTCTTTCTGGAGAGTCGGGCTAGTAATGTCTATTTCCTTCTAGTGTCTCGCTCCCTCTCCTCTTCTCTCGACCTCCCCATCCTCACCCAGTCCGCGCCCCGCCATGTCGTCGGACCTCCAGCCCGCAACAGCCTCCTCCGATGAGCAACAGCGCGCGACGATAACCCCCCCGATTGCCACCCAGCAGGATCTAGAGTCTTCTTTCTTGTCGCAAAATTTGGACCATGACACGTCTATCAGCAGCGTCGAAAATGGGGAGAAACACCCCAAGGCGCGCCGGAAGAGAACCACGTACGTTCAATATGTCACATGCTAACCTCCAGCCCACGCAAGCATGTCTTGGTATTTGGGGGGATTGAATAAACCAATTGAAAGAGCTAACATATCATCCCTTGCCCAGAGCTAAGGACAAGATGATTCTCGAGGAGGCGTATAGTAGAAATCCGAAACCCGATAAGCAGGCGCGTCTTGAAATCGTCGAGCGCGTCTCTCTCAACGAGAAGGAAGTTCAGGTATGGGCCGAAATCGAACCAATTGACGACGCGTTTCTGTCGGTCAGACCTTGGGTTGCATCGTGTCTGACTGGTTTTGTTCTTCTGTGTAGATTTGGTTCCAAAACCGTCGACAAAACGATCGTCGGAAATCGCGTCCACTTTCACCACAGGAGATTGCTACCCTGCGATATAATGGATCTCAGAACGTTGGCGAATCCTTCATCCCTCAAGTCATGAACGGAGCTCCAGAATTGGCCGTATTCTCCGTCTCAGAAACTCCCGCACCACCTCCGTTATTGGCTGCCGTGCCTTCAACTTCTCCGTCACGGATTGCTCCTAACCCTTCATTGCCGCCAAATATCCCGGAGACGCCAGTTGCTCCGGTACCGCCTCGAGCCTTGCCCGAGGCCACTCCCCCACAGTTACCGAACCAAGAGGCCTCTTTCTCGTCCTCGCAAGAGTCCCTGCCCGCGTCTCAGTCATTCTCAAGCTCTGTGGGATATCTTGCCAACCGTTGGAACATTGGCAGTTCCTTCAATTCAACCCCTCCATCACATGGTTCTGGGGTTGAGGAGACTCCCAAGTAAGTTGGACAACCTTGGTCGCTGTTAGAATTCTAAAGATTTGTTCCTTACCTTCATCATCACAGAAGCGAGAACTATATTTCTTCCAGCTCCCCACACACATCCCAGTCGGGAAGCCAGCCCAGATCACACGTCAGGCTCTCATTATCACTTGAAGGCAAGGCAGAGCTTGTCTCCAATGATGCGTCGCCTTCTCGACAACCGCCACCCAGACCCTCCTCCACAATTGATACTCTACCGCAACCCCGACCGCGGAGTTTACAGCGTAGCCATAGCGCCATGCCTAGTATCACTCTTCCCCCAATCTCTGCACTGACGAATAGTCTCCCCCCACCACGGCTGCTCAGGGGTCGGTCGCGTGACGTTCATGCCTGGGAGTCGTGCGCAGACGCGGATACGCACGATCAGCTCACTGAACAGGCTGAGCATGAATCGACAGGCTCTGCCATCGCAGCCATCACCCTCCTGCGTTCATCCAGTGGCGTGCTACAATCAAGCGGTACTAAGCGTAATGCCTCGTTGTCTCGATCAACGCAACGACCACAGCAAGCGAAGAGAGCCAAGCTGGGCAGAGCCAGCTCCAGCATTGCGCGTCTTGAAAACGCCGTATATAGCTCAGACAAGCTGAAAAATGACACAGATGACTGCGGGAAGGTCAAGGTCTCAATGCTTGTTTCGCCAACGGACTCGGACAAGGAAAACTGGAGTCCCGACGAAGATGGAAACTCAGATAGCTATCGGCAGCGTCGTCCTCTGCCGTCGGGCGCACCGCCTTCTAAGTCGCAAAATACCCGTCGTCTCGGTCGGATCCTGGAAGGTGCCAAGGGACCTACGTTACTGGGGAGTGATCGCCATCACTTCCCACCTGGACCCCGCCGGGGAGGCCGAGGCGTTGTTGAGATCTTTGAGGACTCAAGGGATCCAGATGTGCGCAAGCCAAATGAACCAGAAGTTGAGAAGTTTATGCGTGGTGATGTCAGCCCGAGCAAGAAGGGTGACATGGACTGTGTTGCGGGACTTCTCTCATTGAGCCAGGGCGCTTGGAGATGAAGACGGATGTACTGATTGGTTATATGCATGCATCCCCCCTCGCTGCTGCCAGGATGGCTCGAATATAGATCGATCGTATATGACGATGAAAAAGGAAAATACTCAGGATTCAAAGAAACAGAAGGAAACAGGAAGGAAATGAAACAACGAAGGGAAGAATGACAAAAAAAACCAAGTGAGCTGGGTGATGGACGCTGCTGTGCGCTCACCCCTCTTTTTCCGAATTGAAACTCATGGGTGGTGGATGTCTCTTGATTTACGGGCTGCATCTTGGATTTTTGTCTTTTTGGGTCATGGACGGAGCTGGTATTACGACGCACTCCTACCGCTGAGTGTTTGTATATATTGGGTGTGTGTACCAGGTCATTTCCGCTACTGGGTATTTTGCCATGCGACAGCGTACGAAATGTTTGACGAATGGTAATGCATTAAGTATGACATCTTGAACCAATCACGCTTTTTCTCGGTGCATGACGTGGCATGTGTGAATGGACGGTTGCAGGCTTGATATTCATTCCGTAGATGTGCTAATAACTCTGGTAAATGCGTGTCTCGGGCAGACAATGCCCATCCTTGATATCTTCGCTCAGACGCAGCAAGAGCGAGTCTAGGCGATTCTAGCGTTTCATAAAAAGCAAATATCTTATCGCCAATCCCAGCAGCTCTCAATAAATCCTCAGGCGACAAAACAACTCCCTAACTCCAGATCTTCTAATAAGTCTACCGCAATGTCTCGCTATGTTTGAATTCCATGCTCTTGTCATAATATATCGCCCCTCGGTTGGGGGCTTGTCTTCTACTTGCACACAAGGCGTCTTCTTTGATTACATTTCCAGCATGCTCATTTGCCGCCGGATCGGGCTCGCGCTCACACTGCCATCCTCGCTCGGGTAGTACGCGCTGTCGGTGTCGATGTCCCACTCCTCAGCGGCACCCCCTGTCGAGTAAGCGTTGGAATCGAATGGCTTCTGCTCGGCAGCGCGGACATTCCATCTAAGAGTGCGTCGTACACTGTCAAACCACTCGGCGTCCGTTCGTGTGACAGTGGGGAAGGGATACTGCGAGGCTGCAATGGTGACGGAGTCACCCTGCCTCAGTTCGATGCGGCCCTTGCCGTCAAAGGCGCAGTAGGCGGTGGCGCGGGAGTTTCGTGGGACCACGACACGCAAGGCCATAGTGTCTGACAGCACCATGGGCCGGAACGACAGCGTGTGGGGACAGATGGGTGTCAAGAGGATGGCTGGAAGATCTGGGTGAACAAGCGGACCACCTGCAGAGAGCGAGTATGCCGTTGACCCAGTAGGCGTGGAAAAGATGCAGCCATCAGCTTGGACGACGGTGATGAGCTCTTCATCTCCATAGAGTTCGAGCTGCGACACGTATGGTGAAGGCCCGCGGTCGATGACGAGCTCGTTTAGGACTTCGAATTCGTCTTCCTTGTGCATGTCCGCCCCGCCAAGGGCGTTGGCGCGCCACACGGTGCAGGTGAAGCGCATCCGCAGGTTGATTTTCATTCCGTCATCGCCCATGACACGGTTTAGATGCTCCTTGTACTTCTCAAACTCGAACGTAGTCATGAAACCTAGACTTCCGAGACTGAAGGAAAGCACTGGAGGCACTATGCGCTGAAACAGCCAAGAGGTGAAGAGGACGGTGCCATCTCCGCCAAGGGTGAGTACCAGGTCGAACTTCTCCGGCTGAGCCCAGCAAAGGTCCGGAGTCCAGTAATGCAGCATCTGCTCAAACCGAGAGTCTGTGTTGGAGATGCCGGCGGCATCGAATCGCTTTGAGTTGCGCAGTTTTGCATCCACATAGACGTTGACTCCAACCTTGGACCCGTAGCGAGGTGTGCTCATCAGCCAAATAGCCAACTCTCGCGTCAAGTGCACGAGCTGATTATCTCTAGCCTTGGTGATGATCATCACATTCCGTACTGCGCGCTTCACAGGCCTGCGCTGGAGCTGCTTCGACACCTCGCGGACTCCTGTGGCTGTCTGGACAAGTCGTGAGTGCGACATGGATTCATCATTCTTGATCTCCTCTAGAATTTTGTCGATGTCCACAGCCTCATCGAATCTTTTATGGTAAAAGCATGGTGAGCGCAGGTGGGGGAGGGTTGCCATGGATGCTGAGTTGGCGAGGTCGGTAAGGGCCTTGGTGAGCCTATTGGTGGTAGAAGCTGATGGAACATTTAACCTCTGGTTCGGAGGTGAACCGGCACTGAGTTCATTATCTGCCATTGTGGGGGGTTGTAAGACAATGTGTCATAGATGAATAGATCCCGAGTTAAGAGACCAGCTTTGGGTGATGCAAGTTGAGGTCAGTCTCGGCGAGCGCTCGAGAGTAGCCGAGGCCCAGATGGAGTCGGGAATTCTGGTTGGGTGAGTAGGTGATGGGGAGAGTGAGCGGAGCGCAGGAGATCGATGATATATACGAAGGCCAATTCAGTCGTGTTTGGACCAGGACAGGTTTCCCGGAGATGTCGGGGTTAGAGTTCGAGCACTTGTCGAGTACTCTGCGCGCTTGTGCTCCGCAGGCTTCCGCTTATCACCCAGACAAACAAATCATGTTGGGGAATGAAATTAAATTTCTCCTTTGTGTAATAATACAAGAAAGGCAAGGTGGGTGTGCCAATATCGTATAGCGCCCGGTACAAGGACTGGAATGAGATAGAGTACGGTAGGTGAAGTAAAGTGTAATGTGTGATGAGGTGAATTGGCTCTAGTGAGGCGTTTCTTGTCTTGTGGGTGTCCGTCCCTTGTTTATCAACGCCGCCAGGAGTGAGAGTTGTGGGCGGCGAGGCACTCGGATTAATTACGTATCGTTACCAGGGAAGGTCGCCTCTGAGCGGGCCAGCCACTTATTTGCGCGACCAAGGCCAAGATCCATCGGATAGCCCCCCATGCATTGCAACCTGCCAGCGAGATCCGTTTGGGCAACGATGGTGCAATCAGGGTGCGGAACAAGAGCCCTGGTTTCGGCCATGGTGAGCGAGCCAGATGCATAGTCGGACGCTAGCAGTCGCCTCCCCCAGCGCACCGAGACGGAAATAGGCCTTTGCGGCGGACATGAGCATGAGGGGTTCGATCACTAACCCAGCCGTCGGGGTGACTTGGGTCCGTAGACACACCTTGCATGGATGTGAATAATCACATCACATTTGATGGCGGCTTTATCAGTGGTACCGGGCATGCATTGCATTTGCCTCGGAATCCTCAATCACTGATTTTGGTATCGACTTGTTTCTCCGCGCTGTCCGGCTAGCTTTTGCCTCGAATTGCTGGGGTCACCGTCCCCCGGAACGGACCTGTGTTGGTTCCGTGCATTCGGCAAGCTATACGGAGTATGTAAGCATGCACTTGCGGGAAGTATTATCCGCGGGTTTATAAGCAACAAGGAAGAGAACCAAGGCCAGCCAAATCAAGGCAAGCCCTGTTCGCAACCCTCTTCGCTCTTCACCCACGCAACCTGCGGTGAGAAAGCGTGGTTGAATCTGGGTGTGTGACCACCTGCTTTGAGTAAGTAACTATCGTCTCCCTTAGCCTATGTGGTGCGTGTGATATTATCCACATGGCCTGCCGCTGCCGAGTAGCAGGTCAGGGTGAAGCGCTGTGATAGCAGACGGCCAAGAAGCCACTTCTTCAGGTGATGGATCGCGATATGATAATTGGGTGCCACGCGTGATGGCGGTGATCGCCTAGTTCCATCACTCGATGGCAATGTGGGATTGAGCAGTACCGAGACAAGCGACTGACATAAAACATAGCACACCTAGAACCTCCAGTGTTGAGTTCAAACACAATAGCGCAACATTCAATAAGTAATAAACACAATATCGAGCTAAATATTGTAGAAGATAATCTGTAATTCTCCTATTATTGCGTTTATGATTATCGTTAAGAGGTCCCCGATTTGCATGAACAGAGCTTTGGTGTGCCATGTTTTATGTCAGTCGCTTGCGAGAGTAATGACCCTGCATGGGTTGGGGGCCGATATGAAGCTCCTCTGTGATAGTGGCTACACCGCGTTTCGCTTGGGTCGGGCTGGCCTCGCTCTGGGTGTAACCGAGGCGCCTGAGATTGACGACCTGTCCGCAGATGTGATCCGCAGGTTACTGGAGCCAGGCCGTGGAGCTGGCGGCCAATCCCATGGATCACTCTGAGTATCACCGAGAGAGTATTCAGGGAGCTTTGCTGGCTGGCGGACTTTTGGCGGGGTTTTGGAGGGTCTGCATGGGGGAATCTGGGAAGGAGCGCACCTGCCCTTCCTGCCTGGACATCGTGACGGATTCGTACCTTCTGGATTCCCCGATGAGTCCGATCTGGCCAGGGAGCACTGCTGCCCCGAGATTTCGATGGCACCCTGGAGACCACGTCATGTTCCACGTCCTGTTCGTTGCATTTTCCCAGCCGGGGCTGAGATACCATGCTGCCTGACCAACACACCAAGTTTTGTGATTATCCAGGATGCTGTCACCTCACACTTGCACTGCTATCCACGTGGTGTTGGCCCCCATATCAAAGTGCGCATCGAGGCAGGAAGATAATTATAGCATCTTGCGTTAGTATTGGAGACAGCTGCATGAGAAGTCACCACCAATGTTACACTAGCCTAGTTGGCCAATAACGTCTCTTTGACCCAAGAGAGAGATCCATCTGTGATATTTCTCTGTCCTGCGCTGTATCTGTATAATATATGCTCCCCCTGAAAAGTTCCTCCTTGTCCGAAGGATCCTCCTATGCCGACAACCCTTGGATGCGATTGTTCATCGGTAGCCGCCCGCCATGGACCAGGGCTACCGACGAAGCACGCCGTGTTGTGATACCTGTTCACAAATGGCACCTTCCACTATCACGACGCACCCAATCCTTCCCGCTTGCTTACCCGGAGAAGCCGTCTCTGTATTGCATTTGACTCAGGTACGGCTCCATCGTAAGCATGTGTAGTTTCTTGGCCTGGTGTAGACTGCCTTCCCAGCATGCGTAGACCGAACTGGGATGATGGGATTCCCGTCGTTGGTAAGCTGTGACAGCATATGACCGAGACATATCTGGTGCATGGACTATTGGGGAGGTGAAATTAATCCATAAATCAAGCGACACCGCTCCCCAGCGCCGCGTTATAACCACGCAGCTCCTCGTGTGATGGAAGAAGAGCCAGTTGTAGCTCCTCACTTCCAGTGGAGGTCCTTGGCAGACTTGGCTTGCATCACTGATCGAATGAAGTACCTGATGCTGGACGATGAGATCTCGTCATCCTCCATCAGCACATCAGTTCCGTCCTTGTGATCTCTGGAGCAGGCCTTCTCGCCGAGCTCTAGCACTTTAGCCAATTCTTCGACAGAGAATGAACCGGTGCTCTCAGAAAGAAGGAGTCCACCGTCGCCTGTGAAACCAACTACATGAAGTGACTTGGCACGGCGTGCTTCAATGGCGGTCGGTTCCAGAATGACACGCCCAGTTGAAGCGCCGTCCTCTGTGATAGCCACAGTGCATGCCGTGACAATAGATTTTAATGGAATAGAAGCGGTGAGGAGGCCCAGGATAGCTGCATGCAACAGAGCGGGTATGACTGGGAGGTTCTGGGGAGTTCCAGGTTAGGATTTCAGAGAAGCAACATTTGAGGGCAATGGAGTGACCTACCAGCTGGGCCTGCAAAATTTTAGCATTTTCATAAGCATTCTCAGGAATCTCGACAATTTGGAGGGTGATTTGGATCATGGTTCTTGGGAAATCCCTGATGGGAATGAGCTGCCGGAGCGTGCTCTGCAGAATAGATTCTAACTGCCTCTCCGCGGTGCCTGAAAATGGACTTGTTAGCTACGCTCTATTCCTTATGAACCTCAAATCGTGTGAAAGTTGACCAATTCATTACCTCCTACACCTGCTGCTGGCCGAACAACAACATCGACAAGCGCTTCAAAGGCATTCTCATCTCGTCTGGGAGCTTCCACGGGACCATTGACGGCTGCCGTGACGACAAAGCCTTTGTGGGAAAAAGTTGCTGATCCGTCCGCTCGAGGCAGAGGAGCTAGATCAGCGGTCGGCTGCGAGGAGAGAGCCATGTTTCTGAATATCTCCGGGAGGTTTGACCGGCGATTTGATCTGGCAAGAAATTCCACAGTTACCAATAAAAGCGGAATTGAAGCTTTTTGACCCTATACCCAAAGAGAGCAAGCGACAGGCCTAGAGGCTGGTGGGGTGATGAGGTAACATGGAAGGGTCTATCCGCCACCACAGACGCGCCAGTGCCTAGAGCCCCGCGGCTGCCACTATAACCTGATACCACCCCGGTGGCAAGCTTGCGACTTCCTCGATTTCATTCCCTTTCAAAGCTTCAAGAACACGACAATAAAACAGGGCCAAAGGAGAAATATTTCAGTAAAGGACGTTCTAATGGCTACGGAAAACCCACCAGCATCCTCCATCCCGAACCTCAAACAAAGACTCCCAAAGCTTGAACCTCGAAAACGACGACAGGGACCCTCGAACCCAACTCCCATCCCAGATACTCCCGCCCTCCCCTCGCCGCCCGATACGTCCTCCTGGACCTACAAGACTCCCAAGAAGAGGATCCTCTCACCAAAGGACCACGATATCTTCCTCGCTTCGCCCACAAGCACCCTCGTCAAAGCATGGATCTTCAACCTCGCAGAGTCGGTCGTCGACATCCCCTGTTCGGCAGTCAAGGACACTGAGCTCAGCAATGTCGCGAAGACAATCATCTCCATCTTGAAGGAGGCAGAGGGCTTCGTCGCCAAGTCCCCCCCCGACGAGCAAGGCGGCTCCCGCTTCGGGAACAAGGCCTTCCGCGGCTTCATAGACCTCGCCAGCGAAGCCTGCCCCAGATGGCACCGCTCGCTCGGCGTATCCGACGACGACGCCATCGCCGAAGTCTCGAAATACCTCCAGCAGTCATTCGGCAACCGCAACCGCATCGACTACGGTTCGGGCCACGAGCTCAACTTCATGCTGTGGCTGCTCTGCTTATACCAGCTAAAGATCGTCCAGCGAGATGACTTCAAGGCCTTGGTCCTCCGCGTCTTCCCACTCTACCTTTCAGTTATGCGCATTGTCCAGATGTCATATTATCTAGAACCCGCAGGCTCGCATGGCGTCTGGGGCCTTGACGACTACCAGTTCCTCCCTTTTCTCTTCGGTGCCTCTCAGCTCCTCCACCATCCTTATATCATCCCCCGGTCGATCCACCAGGATCTCACTCTTGAGGAGTCTGGCGAAGATTACTTGTATCTGGGCCAGGTCAACTTCGTCAACAGCACGAAAACGGTCAAGGGTCTTCGGTGGCACAGCCCCATGCTCGATGACATTTCATCTGCAAAGTCTTGGACCAAGATCGACGGCGGCATGCGCCGGATGTTTGTTGCCGAGGTATTGGGCAAACTACCTGTGATGCAGCATTTCCTCTTTGGCAGTCTGATCCCGGCAGCCGAAGGCATGAGCCCCGAGTCGGCCACCGACAGGAAGGATGGAGAAGACGACGAGGATGTGGACCCTGATCATGAACACGACCACCCGCATGACGGCACAGGCTGGGGCGCCTGCTGTGGCATCAAAGTGCCCAGCAGTATAGCGGCAGCTCAAGAATTGCGCAAAAATGGCCAAGGCCAGACTCTACGGAGGATCCCTTTTGACTGAGTTTGTAAATAGAAGCTTTAGGAGCCACGAATGCTTAACAGAAGAAAAGAAAATACCCATATGTAATGTTATCAGGGTTCATCTAGTCTTAGTGGCAAATAATAATGAAACAGAAGTTTAAGAAACTCTTTCAGAATATGTACATGCTCTCATTTTTTGATTGAAGATGGCAGGTGCAAGATATCTGCAAGACCCCGTCAAGTGGCTGAAATAAAACATGGCATGCCAAAGCCTCCATACAGCCTTAGATCTCGACACAATAACAAAACAATTATCCCACTTATCAACATAATACCAAGCTAAATAATATAGAATAGTTTGTTGTTTTACTGTTATTATTTGAAGTGGTCTCTAGCTTGCACGAAAAGAGCTCTGGTGTGCCATGTTTCACCTCAGCCGCTTGCCCGTGAACAGTGGTAGAACCATCTTCTTACTAGATTGAAGAGCTATCGCGAGTATATTGACCGTTTGCATTAAAGATATTTATTTCCTGGTTAAGCGAAAAGACCCAACTAATCCACTTGCCACAAAACTGAAAACCACATGCTGCCGTCCGGATGTTGTGAACAATTAACAAAATAAAATAGAAAAAAATCAGATTGAGCCGCCCCTGAGGGTATAATACGTCGTAAGTCATTCGTGTTCCTCCCATTACGCCTTGTTAATTCGAGACAAATGTCCTTCCCATAAGATTATGCCAATTTAAACAGGCTTTATTTGCTGAAGAGGCAATGCATCAGCAATGGTATTAGTTCACAAAACTGGCATAGGACCTGTTTCATCCGAGTATTCCTGCTGTGAAGGTGCCTGCCGCATCTGGCGGGTGTTGTGAATATCGATGAGCACCTGTATCATCGTTTCCACGTCTCGCCCAAGATAGGCAAGTTCGTCAAGAGTTGGGTAATGTGTTGAGTTTTGAGTGTCCTTCTTGCGGAAAGCGGCGAAAACAATCCCACGGTCAACCAAGGTTGCTGTGGTTGATTGAGTGGAAAGAGACGAGCCCGAGCCGCGTTTATCTCCGACGGAACGAGGGTAAAATGTATAAGCATAGGCGCATGCAAAGTCGTTCTCAGCTTGTTCATCTCGATACTCCATCCATCCTGGAGACTGTAGAATCTTCGTATGGACTTCAGACGAGATTTGAAATGGTGAGGGGCTATGATGCAAACCATACGCAACCAGAAGTCTCCCTGTCATGCCCTCAATAGGGTATGAATCACGGGGGGAATGCGAGGCTGTATTTTCGGGCCACAGATTTACGACGTAGAGCATGTCGAACTTGTATCTGCTGGCAATGCGGGCCGCTTCAAATGCAGCAACCCTGGCTGGGCGGCTTGTCGAAGGCTGCTCCAAGGTTAACAATGGTGGATCTCGCAAAGGCAACGACAAAACTGAAGGTGCCAAGGTAATCGAGGCATAAGACCGACGTGGATCATCGGAGAACAAAGACTCTTCAGCGTATGACTCGGCGACATTTTCATCGCTGAGTGTGAAAAAGTCACAAACTTCTGGCTCTTGGAGAGATGCGTTCGAAAAAGAAGAATTGGGAGAGATCTCCGATCCCTCAGTTTGGTCAGGGTGAGAAATAGAAGCTGTAGTAGGGTTGGTCATTGACTCTCCTAATTTCCGTTGGATATCGTCACACAAGTCTTGATTAAGGATGTCGATGGTCTGGTTGCTGAGAAGTTCCCAATCCGGTAGAGGGCCAATCTCGGGGGAAGACTCTGGTGTTGGAAGAGACTTGTAAGTATAGGCCGCAGGGTTTGAAGAGATTGGCCGTCCCAGCGAGGAACATTCTGTTTCAATATCGGAAGATGGAGGCGTGTCAGTCCGGTTTGGAGATATGTGGAAATGCAATATGGATGATGTCCCAGAAACAGGCCTCGAGGGTGCCTCGGGCAGCGGTTTAGAATTCAACTCGAAGGGTGAAATACACCCACGTCGAATCGGAGGTTTTGGGAAACCAAATTCATCGAAGGTGCACATCTGTCTCGAGCGCTCACTATCAAGTGAAGATGATCGGGGACGAGAAAGTTGCCATTCATGGCAAGTCGATGTTGCACGAGACTTCCGGCTGTCGATCGATCCGTATCGCTGAGGGAAGTCTGCTTCATTGGTGCCTGGAAACCTGGCTCCTGGGGTATATCGCACTTCCTCCCGAGCAGCCATACGTGAGGTTTTGGGTCGAATGAACGATGGTGAGGGAAACTGCAAGTCCATAGTTTGCTTTGTGGGACTGCTGGGTACGGTGGAAGCTGTAACTGACGCCCCCAAGCCTTTTCGCTTGTGAAAGAAGAATCTCTCAAGCTTATCTAACCCGTTCGCCATCGTATAAAGGTCTGGGAGTGGAGTAAGTATGGTGCCTCATCTTGGTCTAGGCATATGCGTCGGAGTTAGATGTAACGTACTGACTATGAGTGCTGACTCGGTAACTGAGAGGTATTGCTGTTTCTTGGTATACCAAGGTAATTAAAGAGACTGCTGATGCAGTGTTCGGTCTATGTTTGGCATACACACGAAGCTCAAGGCACACTCTGCCCAACACCGGCGTAATAATACTTCTAAAGGTAGTTGAAATCTGAGATAAGCGCAGGTTTTCTTGCTCTTAGCAGATTCTGTGGTTTAGAGCTTGAATCGGAAGTCATAGAATGAGGCGTGATGAGGTCAGTATTCGTTGTGTTGCAGAAGGGAACCCTTGCTGTGCAGTGAGGATTAACTCTAAATCTTGGGCCTGTGTCGAGTTTCAAGTTCAATTGAATGAATCGTCGACGTCGCGGGTTGGAATTGGTTGGAAAACCTTAGTGTTGTCCAGTCTCGGTTGTTTTTCGAGGGTAGTAGCCGCAGGTTGTTTGGATACGAGATAAAGAATTGCCTCGAAGGATACTTGGAATTGGAGTAGGTGTAGGTAGAATTCGTATTCCCTTCTTCCTTGTTCTTTTTCCTTCGAAGCCGAAGTGTGAAGGGAAAGAGCAAGGGGGCTGGGGCGGGCCTGATAAGAGGCAGGTGCGATGGAGGTGAGGTGAGGTGAGGCGAGGTGAGGCAAAGGTGAGCTGCCAGTGAATCAGGGCAGGTTTGTCTGAACTCTGCTTCTACCTCGCGGATCCAGCTAGAGAGATTCTCAATTGATCCAGAGATGGGAGAACCAGGCTGGCTAACACCCAAGAAGACACAGATCAGAGTTGCTCCTCCTGGTACGTGTAGAAGCTGCAAGAGACGAGCGTTGGTGTCGATGGGCCAAGGGAAGGGAAATCAGGGAGAGGCAAGCCACCAGGTTACATGGATGTGGAAGATATCTGGTTGGCATCCTTCGAAAATGAACGACTCAGGCCTTGGGTGAGACGAGGAACGGGGAGTCTTTAAAACAGGGAGTGCCTGTCTCTCCCTGTCGCTGTGGTTGAGAAACATGGAGCCAAACCCAGTACGAGGCATCTCAGGTAGGAAAGAAGGCAGGCAGGCAGATATCACATTCGGACAGACCTGCGTGTACAATGTGGAACACTGACGCATCTACCGCTATGAACCACAGGTGTTCTGTCTATTACGCTCAGGTAGCGGCCAAGTACTCATGGGGCCGCTGCTCGGTTGGAGGAGGCATGTGAAGTGGCTCTGCACAGAATGATGGCTACACAAAGGCGTCCGGGCGCCGCCATCATCCATGCCCATGCCCATGCCTCCTTGGGCCTCTCCACACTCGGCGAGCTACTGAAGCTACTTGTGTTTTGCATCGCCTAGGAGATCTGAGCCGGCACCTATCAGAGCTGAGACAGACACATTTCCCGATCGAAAGCCGAGACAAAACAGCATACCTATCCACACACCCAGGCTGGACCAGCTGAATACCTCATCAACAGCCAGCAAACACACCCAGAAAGGGAGAGCAGGGAGGCAAGGGTGATGGCCAGCCTAGAACATGTTCGTTCATGCCGGTGGGGAAGATGGGAGGATGCCTTGATGTTGAGAGCTGAGCGCACGGTCTGGGGTGGTGGGGTTTCGTTCAGACGCCCTTACCGACGCCTTGATCGACGCAGAAATGCTGCTTCTCTGCTTCCACCTACATGTTTACATGTGGGCGTCGGATCGCTGGAGAGCAGATTCAGAGAGAGCGCCTCCGTTGGCCACCATGGCTTCGCCACCACCTACGAGACAAGGCGCTCCATCAATATCAGAATCAGGGTCCTTGTCTCTCGGTCCGTTCTGGGGAAGCGGGAAAAAGAAAAAAAGGCAACGGGCCCTAGGAGAGAGCTGAGAAAAGGAAAGAAAAACAACGGCTCTAGGGAAAGAGACACACAATTCCCCTCAGGTGCCATCATGTCTCCTCAGCAGGGGAACACTTGTCCAATCTGCTCGAGCCTATTATCAACGGTATGGCGGAAGTGTCCATACAACATGGACCAGCCAAGATCGAGTGCTGGTCAAAGTTACAAGCGTTGAGCATCATGGCGGCTTCTTGCTTGGTTGCCGCAATCTAAGCTGCATTGAGTGATCCGCGCAGCCAGATTAGCGTTTCTCTGCATATATCCGCCGCGTATCGATACTTGCTCCCACCCCTCAAGCCGGCATTGGCCTGCTCTTCCAACCCTCCTTGCTTCTTCTGCTTCGTTTCCTCCCTCGTCGACCAATTCGCACCGTCTCTCAGCAGCCCCTCACCCTCACCCTCACACATTCCCCACGCCCAAGGATCGATCGCCATTGAATGGGGTCTCTAGCTCCAACCGCCAATGCAATGCATGCACAATGTCCTCCCTGAGCCCTCCCTTCACTTGGCATCGCGTCGCGTACTAGGGAAGGGAGCTGCAGGTAGCAACGGATCAAGACGATGGTGTAATTGTGGGATGGAGGCAGACACCTCCGCGCAGCCCTCAAAGTCTGCGGAAATGGCCTGCATACCCGGTTATCTGGCTTGCATCACGGCTACGCCTTGGCTTTTGCAATGCAACAGGTGTCCATCTACAAACATACACCACCAACCATCTCCATCAAAACTGAGAACGCACATTTTGGCAAGCTGAGCCGCCCCGCTTCTCTCCTCCCTCTCGTGCTTTGACCTGTTGTTACTCTTCTCTAACCGTAATCTCTTGCCCATTTTGCTAGCTGAGCAGGCATTGCTGAGTCGATCAGTCATCTTGCCGCAGCACAGGTCTTCTTCTCTCACCGGTCTCCTCTTTCCTCTTCCATTTCGATGATTATGTGGAGATAGGTACCGACAGTACGGCCACTGATGCCATTGATCAATCCACCACCAAGCCTGTTTTCTTTCGATACGGGCCACTAGTGGATGGCAATGTAGCCCTGTGTATGGTGATGATCTAATTGATACAGTCCACGTGCATTGATCGATATTGGTTTCTACACCAAAGGCTCCCGAGATCGAAGCCCTCAGATTCGCCAGAATTCAAATGGCTTCTCAGTTTCAGTCTCGCTCGTATGCTTACAAAAAGCAAGCATGGGACTGTTCAGGACCACCCCAGCTTGTGGCAAGCGTGGCAAGCGAGGAGTCCACAGGTAACATGACCAAAAAAGCAAAGACAACTTTGGTCACGGTCCCATCGTGGCTCCAGACTTCGCCCACAGCCAACGCGAAGCCTCCCTTCCCAGCAGTTGGGCTAATAGGAGCTCTTCCGGCACTTTGGGGGTTTCCTTGCATAATTTTCTAGCTTCGTTTTTCAACCTATCCTCGAGCTAGGACCTTGATTGTACAGATGCCGGCCACTACGGGGGGCACAAAATGTGCAAGACATTAAGCCACTGTCCGCCACCGTATCACATCCCCGGTAGCCAAATGGGGGGCTTAGAGACGAGGAGGCCTTTTGTTACAAACGTACACAGGCCTATGGCGTCGTGACGATCCACCATTGAGCCGAGCCCATGTCCAAAGTGGCCCAGTCCACTCCTCGGCTACGCAAAGCCTTGCTTTTATGTGTTCCGCCATGGGATATGAAAAGAAGAAAAAGAAAAGTCACCATCCTCACGCCGTGCTTCGCACATGCCAATCCATGAACTCAGCGAGCTCGGTCCGAGTATCTCACGAACTCGGCACGTGTTGTGCTCCCATGTTTTCATGAATTTATTTGGCCCTCACCATACCATTCCCCTTTATCTTGCTCTCTGATATATATGCTTGTAGTTTACTTACTTTGGAAGGCTGGTAGATGATTCATGACAGCATGTTACCACCCAAGGCTGTCATTTACCCAATCAAGTGGGCGACAGGAGAACTGAGACATGTAATGGAAGAGCGGCCATGAATAGACCACTTTCTATGAATATAGGAATATTCGGTCGTATGAAACGAAATAAGGTAACAGTATACACTGTATGCTCTCTTGAGTATTTCTTATTGTCACTTCATATTTGATAATACTGATCGCAAACCTGAAAATAAGCAGCTTAATGTTTTGAGTATCTCGGTCTCAATGTCATTCAGTTGCCAACAATCCATATAGTACCACTAAGAAGATCACACCCGTGGTTGCATTTCGCATCAGGCACATGTTTTCGGGCATGGTGATGAAAATCTGTCGTCTCATCTTGAGAACCCTAAACCTGAGTGACAAGCTGTCGATTTCTCACACAATTTTCATACCCTGCATATGCGGAAACATACAGAAATGAGCGGAAGACTGGTCAATTTTTTCCAGACCAAAGTAGGATAGACTTCTGATCAGTAGTATTTTTAATCACAAATACTCTGAGGCTGTGATATCCACAATCAGCTGCACGTAGATGTCTGTGCAAATTTTTCATGATGCAGAAGACCCAGCCTCCGAGTGTATTGTTTCTTCATCTCTCCCTTTGCCCAGAGAGTCCTGTTCTGGTGATAAACGAGTACGCGCTCAGCACCAATAACTGTCCTGCCTTTACGAACTCTTCCAGTCATGTTTTTAGAATCAGTAGAGGACTTCTAGTGCAGAGGAACCCGGAAGATGGAATTACACGCCTGATATTCCTAGACAGCCATTAAGGCGTTTGTCTTGATGCCAAATGACAGCCGCAGACGTTGAGCGCTAACGCCTGAGTACCTCTGCCCAACCAATAGTCTCTGTATGCTCTCTTCAGCTGTAGTGATCCCGCCTGGTAGTCAATTTAATTAATTGTGTATATTATGCGGGATGATGTCCACGACGCATCGTGCTAACGGTCGCGGCCCCTTACGGAGACCCCGAACGATCGATCTGCCAAGACGTGCAGGTTCTGCTCCTGTTCCAGACTGCCATACATACGCATGTGCCTGTCTCCTTCAGTCTGCCTCGCCTGTTCTTCTGTCTCCGCTTATATTTGTCAAACGGTTCTAAAATCCCCTAGACATACATACTTACATCGAAAGCAACAGTCTAGCTTCACCTCATAGATTGATACCTGCTCTCTCCCATCCCCAGTCACCAAACTAGTGGTTTTCTAATAAGTCGTCAGATCACGCCACGAGAAATTACACATGCAAATGAGCAAATCCAAGCTTTGTACTTCTAATAGGAAGGAAATACCAGCTCACTAGCAAGAAAATACTGTCTTGAGTTCCGTTGACGGCAGGTAAAATGTCTGGCACCAGCCTTTCTTCTTGACTCAGATGCATCTTGTTCCTCTCAACCCCAGTCAGGCGGCCGCCCAGAGCCTATCACTTCTCTATGTACATGGATGAGATACACATTTGGTACCTCGTATGGTAATCCATTACTCGATATGGGGAGAGGCAGTGAGTGATCTGCAACAAGGGGTTACTCATAGATCGGAATAAGCGCAGCCACCTGTTTGTCCGAATTGCAGCTCACTGTCTCGAATCCGTTCAACATTCACGTACCCCGGAGCTTTCTATCCCCGTGCCACAAATCTGAAATCCTCGTTTTTAGGGTCGTACCAGAGCCGTTGGCCAAGGCCCCGGTTTCACTCTGACAGCTTCATGACCAGGCCTGTCTGCTCAACATATGCATGGGAAGGGGGATTTAGCACCCCAAGAAGGACTCAGCTGAGTGACAGAGAAGATGAGACATGAAACTGAAAGTTTTTTATGTATAGGCCCTTATGTATATATGATTAGAATAATAAAGTAGTATAAAACGATAGAAATATAGAAACAATATTCAGTGTATTCTCTCTTTAGCATTTATTATTAACCCTCAATACTCTGATAAGGCTGTTCGCAGACTCAACGATACGTAGTGTAATGCTCATCTGTCTTAGATTCAATGCCAACCACTTGGACCCTTCAGTTCAGAAGCAACTCGGAAGAACAAATGTTGTGCACCTGCCGGTGGAGTTTGTTTTTAAAATTCTAGACAGCTGGCGTGATACAGCGTCACTTTACATCCCGTTCTGAGACTGGCAATTGAAGGCCCCGCCCGAGAATCACAGCCTTGAAGCGCCTGCTTCACCATCAATTTCGCCGAACAAATTCATGAATGCACTGTGAACCTCGTCCGTCAGGTCACTTGCCTGTAGACTCCGACCTCGTTTGGAAAAGGCGAGACGGGAGCTCTCCTAGAGGCGCGGTTAGTCAGATATCAAATGTGTTGGTCGGCTGTTGCATTTCGTTCTTGTGAAACTCACTCTGGTAATGGCACTTCCTCCAAACGCAGCCAACTGAATCATTTCGCTCTCACCAAGCTTCTCGCTCCCTGCATCCCAAAGCTCGTCGAGATATGCCTTCCTCCAGGCCAGGAACGTGGCGACAGATCCTGTTAGGGTATCGCCCTGCCCACCGCTTCTCTTCTTGCCGCCCTCCATGTCGTTTTTGATTGTGTTCTTCCCATCAGAAATAAAATCGCTTGCTCCCTTTTCTATGATTGTCACTCCTTGCAGTGCCTTTGCGAGAGCCTCTACCTTGGCCGTCTCACCTTCCTGGCCAGTCACGTTGACCCCCAAGGCATCACACAGGCGCTTAAACTCGACCACGTTGGGTGTCAGTATGGCCTGTGTGTAGCCACTGACTAGACCGGGATCTTTCTGAACAACCAAGAGAGCGTCGGCATCCAGGACAAGTGGCAGGTTCTTGGTCCTCGCAGCTTGGATTACCAGGGCCACGGTATCCTGCATCAGCGGATCTCGACCCAACCCTGGCCCGATGACGAGGACATGGAGCCTGGACATCATGTCGATGATACGGGAAGCCACATGCTTGGGGTCAGTCTCTGAATCCCCGGGTCCTTCTGACGATGAGGCTGTGGGGGGTGACTGGCGCATGAGCGGATGGACCATTAGATTGGGCGAGTACGTCTTAATGACCGCAGCGGCACCCGGAGTACAGATGACATGAGACTTGGTACACTTAGTTAAGAGACGCAATCGTCACAACCACAATCGTTATAGGCTGTGTTATTGTATCGTTGAGGCAGAGACTTACCATATCGCAGCCAAGCCTGGCGCTGGCCATGGCGGAGAAGTAGGGCGCACCGGTGTAGTCTTCACTCCCCCCCAGAACCGCCACACGTCCAAGCTGGCCTATTCATCATAAGAATATGTATAAATGTAAGAGATGATTCTCCAGGAAAAGTCGCATACCTTTATGGAACTTTTCAAGCATTGGCGGAATCATCCGCTGGACCTTGCCGAGGATCGCCTTGGTTGCGTTTGACATCTCGGGGGCGGACGCCTCAGCGGGCATAATGGTTGAAAATGGGAAATTCGGTCGAATTAATCGATGTATTGATATACAATCTAGAGAGTATGCATCAAATGCGCGGATGGGGATTAGGTTTGGTGCGGAGATGTTGGAAGGAGAGAAGAGTGATTGATGCTCATGGTTACCTACTTCAGCGCTCTCCACTTGCAGGTCTCGGGGGACCATAAAATGTCATCATGACCGTTACGACTTCATCTTTCTTTGAACATCCAAGTGGGTGACACTGGAAATGGCACACCCAAATGAAGACCCAAATAATCACCTAAATAAATACCCGAATAAATATCTAAATATCTAGACAAATAGCTCACTCTAAATAGAGATTAGAGAATATCAATAACTTAGGCCTGGATGTTCTGTTCCTTAAATTTTATAGCGAGTATTGAAAGATAATATATCAAGCATGTGTTAATAGAGTGCTTAAGTGTGCCATTTCCAATGTCACCCACTCGACATCTCAACAGCGCATTGGATGGTAGTCGCACAGCATTTTGAATTTCTTGCTGTCTAAAGCACTGCAGCTTGTATAGGTGATTACAAGTCAATGCCTGCAAAGCAGTCCTAAGGCAAGCAAAGCTTTCAATTTGTTAAAAAATAACACGTTATATAGGTTCGAACACGAGGCCTCACGAATGCGCACTAAGCCTAATTAGTTCAAATTTGAGGCTGAAATTTCAACTTCAAGGGCGATCGCGAGCAGCACGTAGAGGCAACGTGAGGATAGGCTCACTTTACTGCCCGCAGATCTAACCCTCTGCAGCCACCAACAGCAGCATCTGGACCTGCCTTCCAACACCGTCAATTCACAGTCAAGGAGGTCAAAAAGATAGTTCCTTTATATAGCAAAAAACTCCTCTATAGCTAACTATCCTCGTACTGCGGGCCAGATCTGAGACCTAGTCACCCGTCTAACAATACTAAGTGAACTACAGAGCAGAAAACACACGATTTTTTTCTCCTAGCAACGCACATCACGCCGAAGAGTGACTACACGCCGTCAGCAAGCATAATACCTGCCTAGCCGTTCCACACTATATCTCATAACCAGAGGGCAGATAGTTCCGTATAATGTCCAAGTAGCCAAGGGGTACCAATCCCTCAAACCATTTAACCACCACACGATATAGGTAATCGGGCTGATATATGGGAGGAATTACTTCAACAACTAATAAAGTATTCGCAAGAGAAGGGTTAGACAGGGCACAAGGCAGCAATATCATCGCGAAAGGAGACAATTACACAAACACGCCAGACAGCGATTTCACAACAAGAGAGGCATTTTCATACATATAGTTAACTAAACCATACAAATCTTCATACATAACATTCTCAATTGAACTCGAGATCTCAGCGCTCATCGCATCATTCCAATTATCCCAACATAGACCTCAGATCTGCCTCCTTAACACCAGGAAAGGGGAGTAACCAGTTAACCGGCGCATCGTTCAAAGTCAAGTCTGCACTGGTCAACAGAGGGATTATTGCTGCGTATATCAGGGAAGTCGAAAGAGGTATCAAACATAATACCTTCGAACGATTTAACGCGAGATACTATTACATACGTGAGGCCCGGAGCGAAATCGCGAGTCGAGATATCAACAACGATACGGTCAAGCATACAGCCCTAACTCTTATAAACTGTGATACTGTAGGCAATAGTGAGAGGGAATTGGGTTCGAGTGTACAATACAGACCCTTTCATAAAGTCGCACGTTGAACGGAAGATAGGCACCACATTCCTCATGCTCTCGTCAGGAAAGCAAGCAAGGCCATTGTAATGATCGAATCTGACGAGAATAAACACTAACGGTTTCCTGAGAGGATCAGTTATTCCCAAATCCCAGACGATATCAACAACTTCACCAATAGCACCGTTAACGAGACCAACAGTAGTCCAGACATTCTCGGTCAACATAACCCGCGCACCAACACACAGATGAAGTATCTGATTAAGGTTACCCGCGCTGAAGGAATCTACATCCTTTGCTTTCGGGCCAGTATTGCTGGCTTCAACTCAGATACAGGGGGAATTGAGGCATTCCATGTATTCCTGGTTATAGTCCTTGACCTGACGATTAGTAGGATAGACTCACAAGCCGTTATCAAACATGGCGACTTCGGCCAAAGGCAGGTTAGCTTAAACTCGTTAACAGAGGAGATTGAAGTATTGGATTATAGGCGAATTCAAGCGGAGGCCAGCAAGAGCCTCACGGAAGGGTCTCTGGTCATCACCGTGCTAACGGACAACCTGGACTAACTCAACAGTCTGATCGATAGATTAGTACGCATTACGCCCGGCCAATTCGAGTTCATAAGTCAAATACACATTCGAAAACAACGGCTTCTCCATTACCGGAGGCAGCTAGTAAAAGTCTCCTAGAAGAAGGATGCTTCGGCCACCGAAGAACTCATTTTAGTAAGATGGATAGATCTGTCGAAGGCGTCGGTCAATGGAGCCGAATATACGAAGACCAATCATAGACTTCTCGTCAATAACAAAGTATCTTGTATATCGGAGTTTTGTTGAGATGTGAGAGAGGTCAGAAGGACTGAGTGGCGGCAACTCGGCGAGAGACTTCAAGATAGGCAGATGTAACAGAGAATGAAGAGTACTGCCACTGATCGCGTTAGCTGCAAGGCCAATTGGGGCTCCTCGGATGACAACAGTCTTATTAGGGTATATAGCTTTAAGACTGGAAGAGATTGCCTTGATCAAGAAGGACTTTCTAGTTCCTCCTGGGCTATTAAGATTTACTTGTAACGGCGGTAGAATTGGCATGTTAGGGTCAAGAGTATCGCATAAGTGTCGAACGAACATATTATGAACCAGTCGTTGTTCTTCATTTAACAGGGCAAGTTGTTCATCAGTAAATGTCTCATCTGCTGATTCAACGTAAGTCTCCTTGTACGACTTCCAATAACCCTCGCGATTCTGCAGGATATTGAGATGCCGACCAATATGATCACGCCAGTTGTAGTTGATATCAATTGGCCGATTACCCAACAGGTCAATGTCTTCAGTTTCCAGATCCTGGTTTAGAAGTTGTACCACAAGGTCTTGCCAGGCCTCTTAGGGCAGCTCTTCTTCCTCTCCAGGCTCTTCTTCAAAGTCAAGCGGTTGGGCAGGTGGCAGTTCAGTATAGTAGTCATCAGGATACGCCCCTTGGTGGACCTCTTCGCAATATTCAAAGGCGGCAGTAAAGGTCTCAAAGACTTCACCCTCTACTATCTTCAACTGATCAACTGACTGGTAAGGATGGTGCAGCATAAGACGAATACGGCAGTAGTCTTCACGGGTACCATGCTCAACCTCTGAACGATAACGCGGGAAATAGTTGAGGATCCGGTTAGCTGCTATTGGAAAGGGTCGCCAAGTATGCTGATTGTGGTCAATTTGAGTGAGGGAAGTGAAGTATATAAGGCTTTCCCACTCGTCAGAGCGTCGAAGATACTTCTCATACAATAAAACAGTCGCTCGAACACCAGTATCCTCGATAACCTCGCTGCGTAGAAGCTGGTTAAGAGATCAGCAGTCGACAGTAACGAGAACGCGAGTGGATTCCTATAAGGGCAAGTTAAGAAGTAAATGACTGACTTCTTGCGCAGACCAATCTCGTTCTATTGCAATTTTATTCATAAACTTGGAGACAAAGCTCACAAGCGGCTGGCGGCTGCTGATCTTGGGCATGATAGCTAAAGCAATGTCACAAAACAACTGAGTCTTTGTCTCGGCCTTTGAGCAGTATTTCGCAATATAGTTGATTACAGCATAAACAGATGTGCAGGGAGAGATATCATGATTAGCACCCTATGAGATACTGACGAGACGATTGTAATTATTAAGCTATAGGTTATTACAGCTACTATCAAAGATAAGGTACTGCGGGTGAAGATTCTTCGTAACAATAGGCTCCTCGTGAGTTAATCTAGGAAAGAAGAAGCGGCACAACTTCTGCTCAGATAAATGGCCGCTTAGAAGACAGTGTTTGCGAAGACAATAGGCTTCCGTACAACAATGCCTTTGCACGCGATTGATCATCTCGGACAGGTTCTGGAACGTAGGTTCAATATCCCGTAAGACCAAGATATTACCCTCGGCGGCAGGAATCATTGGTCGAGTGGGTTCAGGATTAAAAGCAGAGACGAAGGTACCCCAAGCCTGCTCAAAGGTCAACTTGGTAACGGCATCGTTGAACTCCGTAGATAGACTATTCTTAACCCAGAAAAGCCCGTGAACATAAGTGCTTCCTCTGGCCTGCTATTCGTAGCGAAACCAATGGTCAATAATATTGAGCTTTAGCTTGAGCACGAACTTGAGAAACTGCGTAAAACGATGATGGAAGTGATAGGCAGCAATGTGAGGGTTATCACGCAAGTTCGAGGTCGCAATTCGCATCTTCTCGCGATGGTCAGCTGCAAGCCACTGCTCGTAATTTGGCATATGCCTGTGAAGACTATCCCAATGAACGTCGGCAGCTGAGAAGGTCATAAAGGTGCCAGGGCAACCAAGACCTCGAACCATGGCCTCAAGACCTTGACGTTTGCCAATCCAAAAGGGGCGGGTGCCACGGATGCTGCCAGAATAGCGAACAATCGATTTGAGCAAAGTGGCAGATTCAGGAGTGTCATGAACGAAGGCAGCTCGAAGTTGTTCAAGATCAACTGGCTGAGCCGTATGACCGGGTCGTTTGATGAAAAAGGCACTTCGTGAGTTCACCTGGGTTCTTATTAATGTATTGAATGCCATATAACGAAAGCGAGGATGACGGGCAAATCGGCTAGTCTTGTGCTTCATTGCGTACTGCAGATAATCGCTGTATTTGATCGAGCGAATTCGGGGGGCAACGAAATCTGCCTGGCCGTTAGGATACAGCGTAGGAAAGGCAAGAGATAATAAAGGCTGGGAACGATTGAATTCATTCAATGGTTTGAACGGATGTTAGGCATACGAATATACGGCTCAGACCGTGGTTCTGCCTCTCTCAAAGGCACTTGTTCGTTCGGTTGGGCCGGCTCTTGCTCTAAGAAGCTGCGAAGTTCCTCGAGTTCAGTCTGGCCAGTAATCATGTTTGGCACGGCAAACCCGTCAAAGTCGTCTTCAGCCGGAAGGTCAGCCTCATCAACAGTTTCCTCAATATCAACATCTGGGACGATCTCGTTAAGGACGCTGGAAGCAACATTGCCGTCTTCAGGCAACTGGCTGAGACGATGTGTGTTAATCACGATATCACGATACCCAGGGTGATTTGCCTTGAGATAAATAAGCCAAGCTCTAATATGACCTTGGCGTACACGAAATTGACTTCTGAACTGACGAGTTATATGCGGTTGAGTTGTGCCGTTTGCTGGCTTCAAGATAATAATATCAAGGTCGGGAGGCAACAACGGAAGCTGGGAATAGAGACTGCCTGTATCACGCAGGAAGCTGATAACATGGCCACGATATTTGTATTGTTGGCCACGGTGTTGAAAAACCTGCACATGCACATGAGCTCGTGCAATAAGCATCTCTTCCACCTGGGAGAGTTCAGGGAGATATTCCGGGACATCACCAAAATCAAGATGATTCTCCTGACTATAGAAGAAAGGTTCCTCGTCAGCCTTTCTGCGATCAGCATCATTACACTTGCGGCAAATCTGCTGAGAGCTGAGATGCTGATCGAACCAGCGAGTGTTGCAACGAGCACATTCATCCATGACGTTTGACGCAACTGCCTCCCTCTAGGCTGCGATTAGTTGACGGTCAGAGTCAGAAAGTGCAACAGCTGAGAGGTCATTGTTGAACTCGACTTCCTGTTCGATCTCACCAGGATTAGAGGCTTCTTCTGCGCCTATCAATTCTGACAACGTTTGAGACAGGCTGGAAGGAATATTGCCGCGAGGTTGAGGGGGGCGAAGCGCAAGACCCGATATCCCGAAGCTGCTCTCCGTAGACGGATGGCTAACTTGTGAGGAGGCATACTGCGAACTCTGAGCTGTTGCACGGCAAACATTGCACTCTTTACACAATGTTCCATCCTCATCGAAGAAGTCGCCTCTCTGGCGTAGATGATGACACTGAGGGCAAACCTCTTCATCAGGGTCAGATGACTCTGGGACACGGCCAAACGGAGCTGGAGTGCCCTGGCTCTGGCCAAGCAACTGCGGGATGCCAGGCGTAGGAGATGGTTCCAAGCCCTCACGTCGTTCAGCTCGATGACGACGTTGAATTGCAACCTGATCTCGACGAGCTTGCTGAGTATCAGGACTCTCCTGTGAGTCCACGCCGCGACGAAGAAAGCGAGGCAAAGAGCTCGTGGTACTTCTGACCAGAGTGCCGGCTCGTGCCAATGGATTCGGGGTGCGTGGTGCGGGAAGGATTAATCTGGATGAACTAGGCGTTGCTGAAGTAGGCGTAATTGCAGGAGGCTCAGGTCGGGGTACAATTGGCTGGAAGCGTCGAGCCTCTTGTCTCTCTGGCGACTGAACTTCAGTTGAAGGTCGCTTGGATAGTCGTGAACGAACAGAATCAAACACCTAGTTGGATGAATTAGCTAGCATATCAGAAGTTGGTGAGGCAGGAACTCACTCGATGCGTTGGTGTTTGGCTCTGCTTCTGATGACACTCTAAGCACTTGCCAGTAGGTTTTGCAGCTGGATTCCGCAAGTTGACGTATTGATCAATACTCTTGTCTTGTTTGCAATGAGTGCAACGCTTCGTCACGGCGGAATCACCAGCTACACCATCGCGATGACCTGACGGACCACCAGGCGGAGGATGTGGCGGCGGCAAAGGAGGGTCCGCGGCGGCAGACATTGCGTCCAATTCGTCAGGAAGTTGGTTCGATCGATGGATATATCCTAATACAGCAAGGATCAGCAATATTCGATGCTTTTGGATGTGTTGCGGGTGGAACTGACTTGGTTGCGTTGGGTAAGGTGGGTGTGTGTGATGTGGTTGCAAGGGGTTTGTTGTGGGTTCCTCTACATCTACTACCGCTGTATAACTGTAGGGCAAGATGATATTAACCTGGGTAATAATCGATGCATCGCTTTTTAGGGCTCAAGCTACATACTAAACTCATTCGCCAGCCTGGTGATGCCTCTCTCGCCAGAACTGGTATCGTCCCCAACATAATGAATTTTTAAGAAATAAGATTGTTAAGAAATGTTTTTCTACATCTACTATCGCCATATGATATCTGTAGGGTGAGATGATACTAACCTAATGATCCCTATATTGCTTTTTAGGGCTCAAGCTATATACCAAATTCATCCGCCAGCCTGGCGATGCCTCTCTTGTTAGAACTGGTAGCCTCCCCAAGATAATGGATTTTTGAGTAATGAGATTTTCAAGAATTTTTTTTTCTACATCTACTATCGCCATATGATATCCGTAGGGTGAGATGATACTAACCTAATGATCCCTATATTATTTTTTAGGGCTCAAGTTGTATGAATTCATGTTCGCCAGCCCGGCGATGTCTTTCGCATTAGAAATGATAGAACTGTCTCCCAAGGCGAGACATGCACAAAGACTGAAAATATAGCTGGGGACGCACGCAAGCATTGTCTCATGTTTTCAATTGATTCTAGCGATAGTGTAAAGCGAGGTCTTACGCTCTCACCCGGTTGCTTCGATTCCAAAGTTCCTGTTGCGCGCACCTCCCCGTACCATTTGCGAACCACAAAATCTAACCTTCAATCTCCATTTTCGCTCTCCATTAGCTCGTCGTTACAGCTTCCCTTGTCCCTTTTGCATACTCATTTGAAGCGCGTCTTCTTCGAGGGATCAGCTGTCGATTCCGCATTCAACGGGCGCTTTCCCTTTCCCTTTCCGGTGTCGGTTGATTCGTAGGTAGTTTTAGGAGCAGGTCCGCCAGCAGGTTGAGTGGCTCCTGGTTCAAGCGATGCGGGAAGTCTCTCATGGGTGATCTTCGTGAACTTAGACAGGTGGCTAAGTCTCAGCCGCTTGAAGTTTTCAGTCAGAACGCCGAGTTGGTTACCGAAATCCTTCACTCGAGAACCGGATACGAATACATCGGTATGCTCTTTGAAGAACTTCTCCATGCGTTCATCCATCTTCCGATCTAGAACCTTGTCCACTTGCCGTTCGATCAATCGCTGAACCTCTTTGTTCGTGGGGCATTGCTCTTCGTAGGCAAGAGGGACGCATTTGAAGCCTTTGGGTGCGTTGATGGAACCGTGGCCCTTTCTGTCCAGCCACTCACCACATGCTTGATCGACCAATTCCTCGATGCCCTTTGATGTCAATTTCGCAGATCCAGTTTGCTGGTGGTTTTCAGAGCTCTTCTGATGCTTTGCCGATGGAACCATGGTAGCGTAGTCGCTGACGTCCGGGTGCCAGCCGGGGTAGTGTTTGAGTGCATCAGAAACGGGCTTCTTGTTCTTCATGGATTGCCCAGGGAATACAAACATGAAGAGTACGATGTAGACGAACGAATCTGTTCTCTGATACTCTCTTGCCAGAGGGTGTCGATTGCAATCGTGCAAGAACGATGGCCGTTGGTAAAGACTTTTGAGGCCATCGAGGAAGGCTTTCTGGTGGAATGCGCGAAGGTTTCGGCCTTGTTCACTCCAGAACTCCGACGCCCGAGCGAAGTATTCTTGATTGTCCCGGTGGATAATTTTTGGCCACTCATCACATGGAGGCCCAGTGGTTGGCTTCATCGGATCCCCTCTCTTGGCCATCGGAACGTCACCTTGGACAGGCTGAGCCTTCATGGAGATTTTTTTGGAGATTCGAGAACCGTCTGAATCGTCGGCATCTGAGAAGTCGCCGTTGCTTGCCATTTTAATAGCAGATGTAGGCGTTCGGATCTGTTGGGAAATTCTTCGCAACGTATGGTTTAGTATTGCTCAACCCAGTTCTTTATCGGATGGTTTCAGAACTTACCAGAATATCAATGAGAATGATTGCTAAAGGGAAGTGTATGGACAGATAATGAATTGGATCTGGTCTGTATCCACGTAGAGCTGAAGATATCTTAGAGGTGTGTAGATGTAGGTAAGATGAAAGTGAGAAAGAGTTTTGTAATGTGAGAGGAGAGTGAGAAATATATAGGCAAATTTAGTGCACAAGGGAAGGCACCACCTAGGTAGGTAGGTAGGTACCGTAATTTTCCAAAGAAATAATCAATAAAGGAAGGAGCAATGAGGAATAATGCCTCAGGCCGCTATCCTATTTAAAAGAGAATTCCACAGCTCTCCCCCGGCAGGCTCTTTCTTCTCCTCTATATATTTTTTTCCTCTCAGCGCGCCATCCTGCCATATGTTTTACAACAAATGCCATCAGAAGCGAAGCAATCTGCCCGTTACCTGGAGAAAGTTTTCGAACTCCCTAAAGAAATAGACCCTCAAAACGAATCATCAGACGAAGCGTCTGAAGGCTCCGACTCTGATTCTGATGAACAAAGCCGAGAAATCGACCAGGCCATAAAAAGAACCATCAGAGCCAATTTATTCAAGCGTATCAAAACAGAAGAAGGAAACATCGCCGGAGCTGCTCGTTGGGAATTCGAAATTGAATTCGCCGAGCAATATAACGACAACAACAAGGCTCCATCAAATCCAGCACCTCAGCCACCAGGCGGGCTTACGGTTGGAAGTTACACTTACTACCCGACACAAGACTCTCCGTATTCGGAGGCGTTCTCAGACCAACAGCGCCAACAATTCAGACAACACTTGTTGTCGATACGAGACTGGTCCAAGATGAACGAAACCGTGGAGTTCGATGATGAAGAGCTTCGAAGCCCTCTGCCAGATGTTCTTGGTTTGGATACCAACGGTACAACGGGCGTTGCCGACCTTTTTGATAATGCCAACGAAAGCGAAGATGATATTTCTCAATCTGACGAGGAAGAGGACCTTGAGAAGTTTGATTCCAAGGATAACACATCTGAGAAGGGAGACTTCGAATCAGAAGAAGAGGATGAAGTTCAAGAGAAACCCAAATCCACCAAACAGAAGAAGTCATCTTCTAAGCCAGGCAAGACTGGACTGAACTCTGGTAGGAAGACTATGGTTCCGTACGATATCTCTTTGGGACCAGCCAGTGGAATCATCAGTGGAGTCCCTTGGATAAGTGAGGACGAGGAATCTGACGGATCCACGATGACCAAGGCCAGAATCGCAAGGGGGATGGCCGACTGGAGGATGGGAAAAGATGTTGCGACCTCGCTTGGGCTCCCATAGGAGGAAGCCAAGTGCTGGGGAGACATTCGGTGCAAGGAGAAGCCGGCTGCCAAAAAAGGCTCCAGCCAGGCTAAGAAATGGACCCTCAAGCTGGCTCTCTTCGATATTGACTGGAGATTCGCCAGGGCTGGCTTTGCAGCAGACAGAGAGGGGAGATTTCCGCTAAGCCACCCTCTGGAGACCAGATACTCAAATGTGGTTGGCTGGGTGCAACTTCTGTTTACAGACCCGTCAGTAGCCAGATCTGCAGCAAACGGTAAGGGTCCTGCACAGAGTGAAATCAGCGAACTTTCACGTCTTAAGACCCAATGCAAAAATCTCTATATGGCTTGTCTAAATGGAGATATGGCCAGTTATAGGGGTAAACTACGCAGTTACACATCCTATCTACCGGACCCTGATCTAGTTTTTGCCTCACAATTTATTGACCCTTTCGGATCATTTAACGGTGTTATTGCAAGCGCATTAGGGGCTGCTGGTTACAGCCACTACATGGAATTGGATAATACAACACAGGCACAGAGCCTGCTGTACCCGCCGTCAGATCAGAATCAAAAGCTACTCTGGGCTATAACTGATGCCAATCATCGCATCGCTGAGCTTGAGGCTCGGCATAAGGATGATATTGATCGACTAAAAAGCGAGTTGATGGATGAAATCGCTGAGCTGAAAGGCAACACAGTCAATCAGACTGCTGCCAGACCTGGAGGTATTGAAGCTCATGAGCTTGCTACCATCAAGAGCGATATATCGAAGCTCAAGAGCGAGACAGCTGAGATTACTACAGTCAAGGGCGAGATTGCAGAATCCAAGGATAAACAGCCAGATCTATCCCTTTACTGCCTGAAATCAGACCTTGGACAATTCCATGACGATCTCATATCGAAACTGAGGGAAAAGTTTGGAGATGTGAATGGGAGGCTTGATAAGGTAGACAAGGTTCTACTATCCAAGGAGAACACTACAGAAAATCTGAAGAAGCTAGCGGCAAGTACAGTCCAAGCTGCCATAAAAGAGGCCAGTTTCACAGAGCATATCAAGAAGGTAGCAGAATCTACAGCAGAATCTAAGATTCAAGCTATGGTCAAGGAGGACAGAGCGGCCAAATCGACGGCAGAAAAGAAGCGAAAGAGAGAGGCATCAGTTGAGTCCAGACGCCCAAAATCGACTCCAAAATCGACTCCAAAGCCGACTCCAAAGCCGACTCCAAAGCCATCTGATACGGAGAAGAATCAGAGAAACCATCTCGCGCTAGATTTTTGAGACGAATAGGCCTCGGATTTGCATAAGAAAGGTCAGTGATGAAATTACCTCGCACGCACGGGGATCGTTGGGCATGTAATTGCACTGGAACCATTGGGAACTGGTTACGAGCAAATTAACGGGACGTGGTTATTAAAAATGGGGAAATGGTTATGCTAGCTATGATATTCTATACTTTGGGGATTTCTTCTTCTTTTTTCTTTTCGAATTATTCTTTGCTTAGTACTTTGGTAACTGGGGAATTTGGTCGTGACCAAACTTGCAATGCATTTTAGCTTAGATTCGTCTAAGACATATCTAGATTCACGGATTATGGAACAAGCTTTTATCTTCACCTTCTCTGCTAGCAACTTCGGCCCCAATGATGTGAACGTGTCTGTAACCCTTGGTCGTAATTACAGAAATACAGCCAGGATAATGATACTGAAGCCGTTCAAGGCTGTTTTACGGATCATTTCCAATGAAGTATAAGTTGGGTCAGATGTGATTGTAATTACCTGGCGCATCTAAATCGATTATTTACAAAGAGAGAGTGGAAACGACTCAATTCCATATGGAATAAAAAGAATAAAGGAGAATTTCAACCGTATAATAATAGAAATAAAGCAAATCTTCGCAAACAAAACATTTCTACGCAACTCCATTTCAAGTTTACCCCAGCCTCATCTTCATTTTCGCCTCTTTCCAACCTATATTCAGTTACTTCTTGTCTGATGCCTCATGAATTTCATCTGTACTGGCTGTGTGCTTGCCTCATTGCTAGCAATAGACTCGTCGACCTCCTGGAATCAAGCAGATCTCTGTTGGTAGTGAAAAGTTTGGCCAAGCCCTCAAGAACATCAATCGCATCGCCAATGACCGGTTTCGCATGCTTCCAGAACGCAGTATCCTTGATTTCATCATTGACATACGAAGTATCGATCGTAAATAAATGAATGCGAATCAGATCATTATAGAACTCGAGTCAGTTGGCAACTCATACCCGTGCATTTATAGCAGTCATGTCCTGGATGATCACATTTCCTGGTCGTTTGAATCATCATTTATTAAACGGTCAGAGCATTTCATAGCAACCGGGTTTTCCATTGCATCTGGTGTCTCCCTCACAGCCTGCGGGCTTCGCTTCATCCTAGGGCAGCCTAGTCTAGCACACTCACAATTACGGAAGCGCTCCTTTCCTTGAGAGGAAGAAAACTAAAAGGTAGAATTTTTTTACTGAATTATAGTGGTTGAACAAAAATGATTTTGATTGGTAAATTGATCTTGCAATAGCACGCATGTTGGTAATGAAATCGATGCCATTTGGATGTGATGCTGAGCCCCCCCCTTCTTCAAACCGGAAAAGCATATATGTCTATGAGAGCCTTCCCTGAGTGCAATAATCGACATTGTGAATGATGCATCATTAACCTTAGGCTAACAAAAATGAGAATTACATAAGGAGGTCCCTAATGCATCATCCACGACCTTGAAGAAGCTTTAGTAGCTTTCTGATTTTCAAGTGTTATGTTCCCCCCCTTCCATAGGAACTGTTCCAAGTCACTACCGTCCGGCTGTGTCTCCTGTATAATGACCTGGGTGTCCTTACGGACCAAATCCTTTCGTAGCATGGTGATAACTTGCTTCTTCTTAAAAGCCTTCTCCAGCATGAACGCATCAATAGCTGAGGTTTCAGCCAGGATTTCCCATGTTTGTACCTTGCGTCGTTGCGGAATCCTACGAACTCTCCCAATAGGCTGCTACTTCTGATCAGGTTGCTGTTAGAATTAGATGTAATGCGCCGTGCATATTAACACCTAGTTCTCCAACATTGGCAGTAACAAGTAGGGCCATGGTCTGATTTTCTGATTGATTGAAGTCGGAGAGAGTTGTAGCTCGTTGATCGATATCAACAGTACTATTGTATTCCAAAGTTTACACTGCAACACCTTATCTTCTCTGTATAAGCGGTCTAAAGCCTCTTGTATGACATTCAGGAATAGATTATATGAGGATGCAATGACCATGCCTCCCCCAGGGAACTCATCTACAATTCGCTTTACAGTGTTCAAAACTGATTGCACCCTGGGCGTGAAGATCTCGATATCAGGAAATGTGTTGCGCTTCCTTTTCCACTGTAAGGTGAAGGCAGTGTTAGACCTAGACTGGCGGCATGCTTGAGGTCCTGTCTTCTTGCCTTCCTGCCGAAAGTCTCTCGCTCGTATGTGATCTCATCGACTAGTTCCACGTCCCCTATCTCTGGATCATAGATTTCGTCATTCTCTTCATCGGCATAAATGAAACTCTCGTCAAGACTCTCTTGTGCCCCTTATTTGGCTGTATATCGCTTGTTATTATCTTCATCATCAGAGTGATTATCATCTCCAAAAAAATAGTTGGCGTCAGAATAACGGGGACTGCGAAGGTGTTTTAATCCCAAATTTCCATCACAGACCAGGAAAATTACGGATAATAGTCAATAGTAACAATAATAAACTATTGAGTAATTATTAGACATCATTGTCTACTTTATAGATAATGATTCCTGGCATAGCGGTCGCAATTCTGTCGTTATTGAGCAACCAAATACTCCTCGTAAACTACAGTCGAGTTGTGACATAAAAAAGGAGTGGTTTGCAAATCCAAGACTACTAGGTGAATCTTGAAAACACACAAATCAAGGACCGCAGAATTTTTGCGCTACATAACAGTCCTGAGCTTTCAGTCCATCTTTGATTGCATAGTACGTGTATGAGCGGCTTTAGCCAACAGTTCTCGCCCGACATGAGTCTTGATAACGATGAGGATGAACCGATGACTTTTAATTTGAACGAGACTTTGTGAACCTTGATAAGAGGAGGAGGCTTAATGACGTCCAAGGGTCGAGCAATCAGTGCACCAACAAGTAGTCTCTTCTTGAACAAGCAATCCGGGGGCCGCGAATCATCCATAATGTCACCAGCTGTGTTGCAAAATCCATCCTTTTTGATACGGAATGCTCAGCGCCCTGCAAACAATGCTAGCTGGCCATATAAGTCGCGCCATGTGTTATAGATCGGTGTTCCAGTCAAGAGAATTACGTGCAGATCAGGAAGCGACCGAATACCCTCGTTGAGTTGACGGTCAAATCTCTTAGCAGAATGGTACTCGTCGATAATAACTACAGCGAATTTATTGTTGTGTTGAGCATAATATCCGGAATGTAATGGCGCCATAAGAGTCTTTTCAACCGAGTCAAGTCCCTTTGATTTCAACCATTCTGGTGATCTCAGGTGTTTGAACATGTGTTAGGCTTGATTTCCATGAAATTCTTTGGCTCGAGATCTGAGAAACCCTTCAATACAGATAAGAATGCCATACTATAGGAGTTGCTGGGGTCTCCAGTCCTTATTTGTAAGGACAAAGCACCTGGGCCGTATTTACTAGGCGATGTATTAGAAACGTATGATCTTTATCCCAAGCATTATACTAGTATCTATTCTCACCAATACGCAGTGCTTTTGCACTTCAGCATACCTTTGAGAAGCGCAGCTTTTTGCGCAGATAGAATATTCTCTGCATACATCGCCGAGGCTCAAAATAACACTATCGGAGCCTCTGAATATGTTGTACGTCCACAGGGACTGCGCAGGGGGGGAAGCTCGTGTTTGGTGATAGTCTGGGCATGAAAGGTAGTGCATCGAAACGCCTCTACGATTTGACCTTCAAAGAAGAAGCATAATTTGTTACTAAAAGTTCATGAATAGAACTTGTCAGCGAGGAAAAAGTATGGATCTGAAACCACGTCACTTACCCCATATGGATGTTCTTGTCATGGCAAATGAGGCTTGGTACTGAATGGGCTCGTTTCCAAGCGTTGACGTTAGCGAATGGCTGGAAGAGCAGTTGTCTCCGAAGCAAAAGCGCTACAATGTGCAAGATTTGCCCATCTCATTTGCGAAATGCATTAAATTTGTCTCATGAACCGTCGTGATAATGCCAGTTTTGAAGGTCTCCTATATAGGGTCGACCAACCGCCTTGGGGTCTCAAATGGGTGAAATAAAACATGGCATACCAAAGCTATTTTCGCATAAGACAAGGACCTTCTTTTTTATTAAATACAATAGTAAGAGAACAATAAATTTATTATATTTAATTTGATATTTCACTTATTTCTAGCTAATTATTTTGATCCTATGTTAAGATTCAGCGCTGGGGTGTTTACCTTGTGTATGCCCACGATGTTGATCCAACCGATTCGTGGGATGGCGCATGGGGCGCACCATTTTGGCATCGATTGGACGAGACACGAAATGGATGATTTAATTTCCCGAATCTTTGGGATCGAGTCAAGGCATACATTTGGTTTTCCCAATACACAACTTCGCGCCAATCGACCGAAGGCGCCCATTCAGAAAATGTCATACAGAGTCTCTCTGATTGACAATGCGAAGAAGCCAGTGCATCGAATTATTTCGAGTTAGGTCCAGAGTAGATGTGTGCCACCTTCAAATGTTCTGAGGAGCACTTTCTGAGAAAACGAGCAGCAAGACTATACCCTGTATTCAGTCTGAGATGGGTGGCTCTCAGCTCTTTCTCATCTTTGAGCAAGCCCTTGAAACCACTGGAAGTTTCGGCTACTATAGTTGAGGCGTCTATTTCAAAGACCTGATGCACTTCCATCTAATTCATATTATGGTGGCGTAATCGCTGACATCCGGATGCCAGTTGGGGTAGTGTTTGAGGGCATGGAAATGGGCTTCTTGTTCTTCTTTGAATGCTTCGGAAACACAAACATGAAAAGTAGAATATAAACGAACGAATCCGTTCGCTTGTACTCTCTCGCCAACGGGTGTGTATTTCAAGAGCGTGTATCCTTGAACGTAGACCTAAAATAAGAGTAAAACTACATATAAGTAAAGAAGGAAAGTGACAATAAAGTGAAAGATAGTTGACTTACTTGAGTATGCTTGTAGGAGTTATTTATGGTCCTCTCCTGTATTCGGATTTGCATGTTCCGAATTATCGTCATTCGGAACAACTCTAATCCCTCCATGCAATACAGCTGGTGCTGTGTCTCAAGATAGTCCATCTTGGACTCGTATGGACAGCTCGTATCATTTTCTCGGAGCTTGGCTCGTTCTGAGCCCATCAATCCTTCTTCAGTTGGCAGCGGCTGATAAACTGGATGTGATTTGCGCTTCTATGAGCATATGTAGAGCGATATTTGTCTAGCCCACTGAGCGTTTCCGTGGAAGTTGAGAAATCGGTTGCCATCCCAATAGCACTTGACCCAATTTTCGCACGTGCGCATTGCTTCTTTCCATCTCTGCCCATTGTTCACGACAGGAACCAAATTTCGGTACAATACGATATGTCGGGTTGGAAGAGCAATGCAGGCGAATGTCAGTTTGATCCAGTGTCGGTGATCTTGAATGGGAGTATCGGATTAGAAGACGAGTGCAGAATTTTCAACGAATTGAAGTTTAGCTTATTGCTGGGGATCTTGAAAGAAAGTGTTTCGAGCTTGGATGGCCAAGGAGGTAAATAAACAGATGATGAAAGATGAAATCTCGGCCTTTCTCCCATACAGAATCGAAATTTCAGGACAACATAGCGTATGTGTGTGCAGAGTAGTACAAGAATCTTGCTCTCTGGCTAGTTAGTGTAGGCTTCTTCACCATTGCAGTTTTTTGGAAAGGAAAGTGAGGGGAAGAGGGGAAGAGAGAAGGATATATAGATGAAGGGGGTATTGTGTTATTATTTTCATGTGATTCCATGTGGCTCCATGCTGTTGCATTATTGTGTCTCGATAACTCCATGTGATTCAATGCTGTTGTGTTATTGTATTTATACAATTCTGTGTGATTCTATATTGTTTCGCTATTATTCTCGTATGATTATGTATGACGAGATGTTATTACGCATTGTTTCCATACTATTCTACGTGATTCTATGTTTTACTCTATTTTCCTTATGTAGTTCTATCAAGTTATTTGCTATTCCAATACTAGATTCATAACAAGGATCTCCCCATGTGTGCTCAGAGAAGCAAACGTCCCTCATGGCCTATCCTCCTCCATGGAAACGCCCAGGGGCTTAAACGTAGATCTCTCCATGTGTGAATAAGGACAGCGCAGAAAAATCGCACCTGGCCTACCAGTCTCCATGGAAGCTTTCAGGGAGTCAAATAAAGATCTGTCTACGCCTGCTCAAAACAAGAAGAAAGAGGAAAATTCCATGATATTTTATTAACCAAGATATGAAAATCTGACATAAGGAACATGAAATCTTTGGCCAGCAATGGGCAATTCAAGATATGATTGCTGAGTTGTTGGTGTTCAATGATTCGAATGTGCGGTTGATATCGGAGGGAACACCAGAAGAATAACAGAGGGGAACGACATGCTTTTGTCTAAAATAGAGCAGGGAAGCTTCAAAAGGGAAATAATCTTCATGGCTACCAGCTGATGAGCTGCACACTTTCGCAGAGATGGCGGGTAAGTCTGGCATCTCTTCTATTGGCTTCTTCCAGTCGTTGTGTCTATTCCCTCCGTCCTTCCACATGACCTTCGTTTCAGTTCAGTGTGCTTAACCAATCGGAAGAATTACATATCTTGTAATCCTTGGTCGGGTGTAATTCTCATTCTGCTCTTGATGATTGCTTCGAGCCGATTTACTTGCCGATTTTATTTATATTCTCAACACAATGCACCATCCTCGGTTGTTTCCCATGTCAATTGGTGTTGTGAGGGTTTTGTTTCCCCAACCTGCGTTTATTCTCGCTGAGTAGGGTACAAGCATGACGGCAAGCACCAAATGTATGGATAATGCGGTAAATGCGCGACCCAACTCGAATATTTGTAAAACTTTGAGACCCTTGTATATTGATAGCTTTGGACCTTTGCTAAGGTTCTCTGCGCCAATGTCCCCGGTGCTTGTATTCGTAAAAGTCGACTGTGCGCCCATACTCCCAGTCTGAATGACCACTGTATCCATTTGTCTCAAAACATCAACAGCACTCTTGTAGTATAGATTCTTCTCTTCCCACTCTTCATGTCCCCTCTCTTGAGTCCTGCTTCTACGTAAGGTTTTAGTTTCCTTTTGATTCAGGCATCTAACCAAGCAACCCAAACCTAGGATTTCTAGCTAGAAAGGGATATCTTAGCTCAGAATGCCCGAAGCTGGGGTCTGATGATGGAGAGTTGGTACTCTTGTAAAATAAATCCTTCTCTTTCTACCCTTCATCTCTCGACTGTTTTAATTTAACATCAGGTTTTCATTTCACTTTGCTTCTATCTCTGGATAGCCCAGTATACCTTCCAAGATGAAGAATTCATAAGAAACAGGAACTACCTACCAACCTTTCCATATCTACTACCACTATATAGCAACTATAGTGTAATATTTTACTCACCTGATAATCCCTACATTGCTTTTTAGGTTTAAGCCATGTACTAAATTCGTTCACCAGCCTGGCGAAGCCTCCCTCGTCAGGAATAATAGAAACATCTTGCCTTGAGAGATATATACAAAGGCTGAGACCAAAGTTAAATGTTTTTCTATTTGCGAACCACGAAATCTAATCTTCAGCTTCCATTTTCGCTCGTCGTTCGCTCGTCGTTACCGTTCCCCTTTTCCCTTTTGCCTATTCATTTGAAGAGCGTTTCATCTTCGACGCCCCAGCCGTTAATTCCGCAGTCAACGGGCGCTTTCCCTTGAAGGGTGAGTATTCTTAAGTTAAGTATCGAAAGGTGGAGTTTATTCCTTTGAAGAACGTCCCTTCTTCAGAGCCCCAGCCGTCGATTCTGCAGTCAACGGGCGCTTTCCCTTGAAGGGTGAGTGTTCTTGAGTTAAGCATCGAAAGGTGGAGTTTATTCCTTTGAAGAACGTCCCTTCTTCAGAGCCCCAGCCGTC